AAGTTCCATTTCCAATTTTGATCTGGATTCTCTCTTCCTCTTTCGATGGGTCTCCGCGGCAAGATGCACCACTTTCTGCTTCGCATTTTCGGCAGAAATGGAATCAGACAGCTTAAGAATATCAGAGAATTCCAAGCATTTTTGGATCAGGCCCAGAAGGTCCTGACGACTGCGCCAGGAATCCAGGTACTCGGGATTAACTGGGTTGTAAGGGACGATGGCCAAGCGGTCGGAGGTGGGATCATGATCCTGGTCAGGAGATAAAGGGGGGGAGGGAAAAGACCCGCAATCGAGGTCCAAGGAGGGGGGAGAAGAAAATGGCGGGGAGGAAGGGGAAGGGGGAAGGGAGCTAAGGAGGGGGTGAGGGAGAATCGGCTCATCCAGGGAGAAGGGGAGGTCGAGTAGGGGGGCAAAATTAGAATTTGGAGAGAAAGGAGAGATCAATCGATTGCAGGGGAAAAGGGGGGGGGGGATAGAACTAGCTAAGAGGAAAAGAAATGAGTCGAAGATTAGGGGAAGGGAGTAAGAGGACGAGTGAAGTAGGACCAGGGATGGGTTTGGTTTGGGAGGGGGGCTGGGGAGTAACGAATGATCATTAGGAGAGGAGGGGATTGGGCCGAAGGAGAGTAGGATCGGCCCAGGGGATGGGGCCTTGAGTGAAGGGGTAGGAGAACACGATGAAGGCGAGGCTGGGCCAGATTCTGAATCGGGCTGGGCGATATGGTGTTGATAAGGCAGGGGGCTCAATTTGCGGACCCAACCCCTATTGCTCCTGTTCTTACTGATGTGAAGGGAGGATGGCCGCCGTATTGAAGGGACCCGACCGTTCAATTCCGGTCTCATTGAATAATATGCGCCCTGCTTGGGAGCGCGTCCCGAAGTCGCAACGTGGCTCGAGGAATATTCCGCATGCACTCCCCCACGACGTTCCGCCTTCCATGCAGGAGATGGAGTAAAAATCTGGTCAAGGAGTCTCCGACGATTCAAGTCCGCCGCTGGGAGCGGTGGTTCCGGCGCCGGAATGATGTTCACAACGAATACGGTGGTGCCAAACCTGATGGAGATGATTTTAGGCAGTTCTGATAAGGGTCTGACTTTGATACGGACGCACGGATTTGACCAATCCCTGGGATCTGCATCAATGAACTCCCCGCAGATTTGTCCAATACTCTGAAATACATCCCAAGATCGGAGAAAAGGCGGAATCCCAATAACCAACAACCACTGCAGACCGCCTGGGGATGCAAGGCTACGTCCGTCCTCCTCTTTCCAAAATTTGATGATTACGTTCCAATTCCGAAACTTGGCAAATCCATCTTCTTGAACCCTTATGGCTTCCTGCAGGGAAGCGCAAACCATGTACCAAAGGTCTCCCGTTCTGTTGGAGAAAACCGTATTTTCTGAAAGATCCCATCTCTTGCGAGCCCGATTATTGAATTCATCTGTTAAAGCAGTCGGCAACCCCTGGTTCTTGTTGTCAAAGAATCTGATCACAAGGCACTTATCTAGGAACTGAAGCCTTTCCTCAGTCCCCTGTTCTTCAACTTCCACGAAAGCATGTGCTTTATGGTGCTTGACGTAACTCTTTCCTTTATCCATTGGAAGCCCTTGGATGACAGCATCTAAAGATTTCCCTTCTTGAACCCAAGCGTTCCTTACAATGGGAGCCCTTGGCGTAGTTTTGATCACAGGGCGATTTAACCAGTTAAACAAGCCTTCCCACTCGCTCGGAACGAACGGGATGGAGATGAAGAAAGAGGATCCATTTGCCAGAATCTCCGAAATCTTCAAGAAGTTTCCCTCACGGCAAGCAAATCTAGCTATTCGAATAGTACGGGAGGGAGATGTATTCTGGAGATTTCCGTTAAGCCCCCACCCTTTACTGCATATTTCGCTCAATGATTTCCCAAGCCATTTAGCTTGGTGACATTCAAGAAAAATACATCTTCTGCGACAGCCTTCCCCTTCCACTGAGATCCTGATAAACCTGCACTTCCTCGTGACATAAGACTCTGCCGTGACTGTTCTGCTCCCAATGGCCGACCGACAGAAGTTGACGATCGACTCGCGTTGAAGACAATCCGATGTATTGGCCTTGGCAGTCCCACGATCCACCGCTGCGTACCTGCAAAAAGAAAGACTCTCCCCTGACGATCCCGCTCTCACTCTCTCTCTACCTCTCATTCTCTCTCTCTTCTTCTTCTTGTACGAAAGTTGTTTGATCGATTGCCAAATAGAGTTCTTACATGATCAAGAGTGGGGTCTGGCTGTACGTGGGCACCGGACCGTGCCGCCCACGGACTACCACGGCACGAGCACGGTCACGAAATAAATTGGCCAGCCCGGCACGAGCACGAATAATTTATGGGTCGTGCCGGGTCTAAACTTCATGGGCACGAGCACGAAATAAATGGGCCCGAAGCGTGCCCGTGCCGGGTCTAAACTTCATGGGCACGAGCACGAAATAAATGGGCCCGAAGCGTGCCCGTGCCCGTGCCGGCCCAAGCACGGCCCAGCGCCCATGTACAGGTCTGGCCCTGTTTTTCGGAAGATAAGGAATCAGGAACATTGTGACAAAGTTATGATTGGACGTTTGGGCATTATGTTAAAAAGTAATGAATGTTAACCACATTATGCGGGCTGGCCTGTTCCCAGCAAAGCAACCATGATCACTCTCCACCAGTAGTAATTATTACAAACTAATTCATGGTTTGCCGATTCAGTTATCGAAAGTGGGAGACGATAGAGGAGACATTTGAGAATTTGTGTTGGTTGATTGGTCGATTACGTACACTCTCCAATCTCCATTGATTTCGACTCATTGTTCCACTCTTTGGGGATGAATAATATGGAAGACGAGGTGTGAATTTTAATGTGAATTCCCAGTCAGCAGCAGCGCCAATTGCCAATTGCAAATGGGGAATTAGGGAAGTGGGAGCAGCTGGAATGGATCACTCCTCCACCCACTGCAAATTGCAATACTTCCACTTCGGCCACTTGATTCCAAAAGATCCAAGCAAATAGAAAATTGTAGGAGATGCCTATCCAATTGCTCTCAAGAATTTGAAAAAGTATATATTTCTTAAAGGGGGGATTTTTTTTGGTCAATTATTTCCGTTGCGGATTGACACTCTGGGTCCTTGCAACATCTATTTCGTATGTTCATGTCGCTTGAATGCCGCATTCTTGTATCGTATATAGAATGTTTGTTCAATCTTTGTGTTGGTAGTGTACTAGGTCAAGTAGGGTCTCACTCAATTGATTCTATTTGTGTGGTTGCATGATCATATGCATTGAGCCGTATTCGCATTGCCTGCCTATATGCTAAAATACATTTAAAGAAGATAGGATTTACCCCTAGCTAAGAAAGTCGATTGCATGATCATTGAGTTGGCACATGTAGCTATGAGGCGAATTGTGAGAGTGAGACAAGATCATTGCAACAATGCCCATAATAGTGATCCTCACACAAAAAACGTGCCATAGATGATTATTTGTATCCAGTAGATTGCATTTCAGGGGGGGGGGGGGCGGAAGTTCATCACGATTGTATGAATATATCATAGTGTACAATGATGACATACATGGTTGTAAAAATATACTGATTGCAATAAACTCGTTTCTTCTATAAAAACAATTCTCAAAATTCGAGTTAGAATGAAGGTCATAGAGAAAGGTAATTAATTGTTAATTTCGTTGATCACAATGCAGTCATAACTTATGTGCCAAAAAATTCAAAATACTATGTTACAACAAATAATATACAAATCGAGGGAAAAAAAATTTAAAATATTTTCAATCTCAATCATCGCATCTAAACCAACTTAAAATTAAGAGACTAGATAACGGTGCACAACTACATAACTATGGTTAGGCATTACTCACTGGTGTAGTCAATTGTTTCGATAAATGTGGCAGACCGAAACAAACCTAACCCTAAATCTTTCCATGTATAAAATTGGTTTGTTACATAGATACGGTTGCAAATTGCAAGGAAGAGCACATGTGTTTTGTTTGGCTATTTAGAGAGAGGAATCATTTTAATTAGGTGGGAGTGAGGGCCACAAACATGGGGACAAACCATCATCCACCGGACGTACTAGAAGGTTTAGTGGGTCAGTAATTGTCTTTTCTCAAAACCTAATTATGATGTTAGCACAAAGTATGGAGTGCGTGCTTGCTAATAAGAGGGGATTTGAGGATTTCTAGTGGTGCATCTTTAGGATGATATGATAACCCACCACTAATTAGCTGGTATTCCATCCAATTTCATGACCGGTACTCTGATTATATCAGGTTCAACCGGTCGGCATTTCACCGACGTGATAACCATCATTTAAAATATCGAGAGAATATAAATAACACTAAAACCTAAAACTTATTTCGCTCAAAATTCTATAAAGTTTAAACAAAATAAAAAAAAGTAACAACATACATTTTGTTTAGTTAATTATTTTAATTACCGAATGCTGTTTTTAGCATGAATGTAGTCCATTTTCCATCAACCTAATTTTCATTGACATTGTATTTTCCCTGAGGATATATGAAGAGAGAAAAGTACCGAGGAATCCTCCAAAACAACATACTAATTGAGCTGGTTCTTAAAGTTTCAAATGAAGCTAACTGTAAATGAGACCGTGTAACATAGGTTTAACCACACTACTTTACGAGCAGTCTAGTTTGCAACTCGTACAACCGCTCTAAAATATACACACCCAGAAAGAGGCCAAAAGATGACAACGCTCGAAGAATGGACCCGCCCAACGAATCTGTCACCACACTCTAGCGATGCCAATGGACGACCACCTCAAGAGTCACCATCCACAATCATCCTAAAACAACTTTTGAAATACGACGACAAAAAACGTCTATAGCAGCAACAACCCCGCAACATAATTCATTTTGAAACCAGTCTACAACACAATTCATTTCTCTTATTTTTACATAATAATTATTTTAGATTTTCTGAATGGGTGAAGATGAGCAACCTTTGGGATACTTGTATGTTATAACCTTTTCTCTTTGTAAACCAAGGGTCCAAGCCCCCCACCTACATATTTGCACAAGGAGCCATGGATGATGACAGGAGAGGTTGGAGGAAACATTTGGCAACTTCCTTTTTCATTTATACCTTCAATTGCATCACATTACATTGCATAACTTACCATTACAGCACCTTACACAACATAACAAAACAACAGGAGGACACACTCTTCAAACAGAACAGACCAGACCAGCAAAGGAGAGAACTACAAACACACATACACTATCTACAGATTTGGATTCATCCCCCTTTGTTTTTGGATTCACTCCTGGCCGTTGGAATTGCTGAAAATCGCAGCTTTCACTCGTCTCTTCAATTCCCTCCTGCAGAAAAACAACCAAAATCTGTTAAAAAACACAGAACAAACCCCAAAAAATACATGGTTTGATGAAAATGTTAAGAACCCAGATCTCCTCACCTCATGAGCTCCCTGTCAAGCCCCGAAGTCGACAGCATCCCTCGATTCTCCTCCGCCCGCCGAATCAAATACGGCATCACAACATCGATCGGCCCGAACGGCATGTACTTGCTAACCCGAAACCCGGCGTTCTTCAGCCCCATCGACAGCGACTCCGCCATCCCGTACAGCTGCGCGAACTCGATCCTGCCCTGCTGCTCAACTCCGACCTCTCTCGCCCTCCTCGCGGCCAACCTCCCCGACTCGGCATTGTGCGTGGCCAGGACCAGCCCGTCCGAACCCGAACCGACCCGGTCGATCATGAACCGGGCGCAATCGTCGTAGCACGCGTGCGTCTCCCCGATCGTGTCGTGGACAGGGGACTCGAACCCGAGCCTCGACGCGATCCTGCGCTCGCTCGACATGTACGCCCCCCTGACGAGCTTGATCCCCATTGCCAGGCCCATCTCGTCGGCCGCCCTCGCGGCCAGGACGAGCCGCTCCTTGGCGTCCTTGAGATAGGCCTGGATGGTGTTGTACACCACCGGGGTCGAGCCCGTGTTGTGCTCGACCGCGGCGGAGTACGCCATGTGGTCGATCGCCGGCTGGAGCTTGGTGTCCTCCGCGTCGACCATGAGCGGGAGGTTCGATTGGGAGCAGCGGAGGCAGAGCTTGTGGAGGCGTTGGGCGGCGAGGCGGAGGTCGTGGAGTTCTTGCTCGGTGAGGTGTGGAGGTTCGGTTTGGGTGTGGTAGAGCGGGGTTGATTTGGAGAAGATTGGGATGGAGGTTTGTTGGTTTCGCCATGGGAGGTGGAAGGAAGGGTTTGATTGCTGCCAGCGGAGGAGGTCGCTCATTCGTTGGAGGAGGGAGAGTGGGGTGATTGCTGTGATTTTGACCACCACGAAGCTCACCTGCAGAGTAAGAAAAATACAGAGCAAGAACAGAGAGACAAAGTTAAAGGCCAAGTGGGAATTTACTCATTTAGACACCTGAAAGTAGGACCGGGAAAACAGTCCGGTTCGATTAAACTGGATCGGTATTATCCGGTTTTTCGGATGCTAAAATATGCCAAATTTACAATCGGAAATTGGATTGGGTTGAATCTTATTTCAACCCAAAAACCGGTATCAGCCAACAAAAAGAAAAAACAGAGCAAGAGAGAGAAATTAATATTTATTATTTTGGTCAAGTGGGGGAATTTAGACACATGAAGAAGTAACATCGTTGATTTGTAAGGAATCTTTGGATTGATGAGATCTGTCTCCTGGCTTCTTGGAATCTCCCACTTGGTGGAAATGTATTATTATTGTTCCACAAAAATATTTCCTTTTTTTTTTCAATTATTTTTTAGATTTCCAAACAAGTGGGGAGCTTTCTCCGAAGAAAGATCGAGTGGTGGGGAAAGTGGGAGGGAGCTACAAATTTTTAATGAAAAAACTTATTCCTAAAAAGGACAAAATCGCACAAGTAGTCAGTAGCAAAATCAAAGATAGGTTTGTTTATGAAATTATGACCCAACTTGGAAGAAGCTGCATGTAAGCCAGTTGTAACACTATACAACAACAGATCACTCAACTTTTTTTTTTCTTTTCCTTTTAGCTTAAGTAAAAGTGGAAGAAGAATGGTTAGAGAAAGTAGCGGCTGAAATCTTTTGCTTAGCTGTAAAAGGGCTGGCTTGGTAGTTAGTTGCTGCTAGTACTACTCTACTGCCAGCTGGCAGGTCTTATCTCTGTTTCTTTTCTGTACTCATCACTTAAGCTTACTCGATCTTGCGTGGATCCGACTAGGATTCCTCCACAATTAAATTACCCCTAAATTACCGGAAAAAATAAATAAATTACTCCTACCCCCAATCCTACGTGGCCTTCTCCTCCTCCGTCAATTTGCTTTCCCATTTTGAAATTTCGTTTTTCTGTTCCAATCATAAAAATAGGGGTTTTCCATTTCCTACTCGGAGCAGTACCGTACTAGATGTAAGAAAAAAACAGAGCAATACACTAATACTTTTGATATTTGATTCATGGAGAATAAGTCTGCAACTGTAATTTTCTCTGTTAAAAACCAAAAATTACTAAATTCGGCCGACGCCAAAAACATGGAATTCAGGTTAGAACGATGAACAAGATTTCCACGATTTTGAACAAGAACACGAACTAATTAAAGAAAAACAATACGGCGGTGGAAAAATTAAAGAATGCTTACCGAGGACGGGGGAAGGGAGATGGCGCAATCGACGGTGTCGAGGAACCCCTCGAGGTTCCGATCGCAGGCGTCGTTGTCGGCGGTGTACTCGACGGCGAAATCGAGCATGGCGCGGAGGCCGGCGGCGTTCACCTCCCGGACCTTCTCCGCGGCGGCGGAGGTTGTCTCGCCGGCGCAGAAGTGCTCGTAGAAAGTCCGCCGGACGACGCCGTAGACGATCCCGCGGAACGGCTCGAGCTCCGCGAGGCGCGAGGTCATGATCCGGGTGCCGAGGTCGACGACGGCCTCGGCGGCCGAGGCCTGGAGGACGAGGGAGGCGTGGATCAGCTTGGACGCCGGGAGGGAGCCGAAGAGCTGCCGGTGGTCGTCGAGCTGGAGGAGGGCGGCGGAGGCATGGGGAGGGGGCGGAGTGAATTCCGGTTCGGGGAGGGTGTGGCCGAGGGAGAGGGGCGGGGCGGCGGAGAGGGAGGAAGGGGAGGAGTTGAGGTGGCGGACGACGGCGGAGGTGTGGCGGAGGAGGAGGGAGCGGCGGAGAGCTTTGGCGGTGGCGATGGCGGTGGCCATTCAAGGTTGGGGGATTTTGGGGGAAGGAAAATCGAGAATATTCTTTCTGTATTTGTTTTTTTTTTCTTTTTTGTTTCTTTTTTTTTTGAATTCTGCGCTTTGGCTTTGGGCTGAATGAATCTTTTGGTGTTGGTGGTGATGGGAAAGGAGCAGCGGAAGTGAAGGGAGATTTATAGCGAAAGATGGAATCTGTTTTTTGAGTTTTGACAGCCTGGTTTTTTGACAGTTTGATTCCTCACGGATCTGGCGTTGAATTCCGAATTTACAGTTTTGCTTCTTTGTTTTCCACGCCCTTTTTTTAACCTTCTGGTAATTCTTCCAGGGGCAGGGTTCAGTTACTCAGTTATAATTAGTTTTAGTTACAGATATTAATTAGTCCCCCCGATGGTAAATTGGTAATTAACGATTAAATAATTATATATATTCTGCATTGAATTTGTTATTCGGTTGCGAAATAATAAAAAACAAATATTTCTAATTCATTTTGCTCCAAAGTAGTGGGGGTTAATTCTCGTGAATGACAAATCCAACTTCTCATCTCATGATTAAAAGGATGATCACAGTGAATAGGCACCACATCATATCACATCCTACATTTTGTTTTTGCTTTCTATTCTGCTTGTTAAACGTGTCAAAATCTAAGAATTAGAATTCACTATACATCGATTAGAATTGAATCTTGGAGGAGGAATGACATTCTGTTGGTCGGGCTAAGCGTAAGCCCAACCGACAGAGGTCCACTACAAGTTAAATAGGTTCGAGGAGTATCGTCGAGCATACGGACGCTAGACTATGAGTCGTAGGACGCCTGAGAAGAGGCACAAACAATGACTAACTTAAGGCACCAAACGATGCATAAAGCGAGGGCTTCTGACTCAACAATTAATGTTGGTCATAAGCATTGTCCAATGTCCATGGTTGGTTAAGGTCCTTAGACGCCTGAAACTGCATTAAACGCACCGACCAGTCCAGTATCAAAGAAACTACAAATATTTCTCTCATCGACATTTAATGATAGCGCAACTACCCATCATCGCTATGTGATTACCACTTCTTTCACCTATCTCTCTAATTTGAGCATTGAGGAGTGTCCCGTTCTTACAGGTCTCCTCGAAAAGTACCCACGAAATCGACAAAACTCGAACATAAACCCCTACTATGATATCATTTTCCATATTTGCTCTACACATATATATACATCATAAAGTGTATCCCCACCTAAACTATATACATAACACCGAAAAGAGGCTATCAAATGTTGCGTGCAAAATTGTAATTTGAAGCCCAAAGTGAATAAATTGCAAAACATATCCGTCAATTTCCTCCTTTTCCCACTTAAACCATGGAATTCAATGATCCATCTTGAACTCAACCACCAAATGCCTATCATATATCTCTTTTAGACCAAATTGCAAGTTTTGATTCATTTTTTTTTCCACCCGCCAATCTTGCCCGCAAGATGTCGATGATCATGTGGTAGAGGATTTCCTTCCAATCTCACGCAAATTTTGGCAATTAGATGGAACAATATGTAAGACTTCTGAACTGATGAGACTGGGTTGATTCCTTAGTATGATATTGTCTGGTTTGGTTCAAGCATGTACGAGTTTATTCAATTTCTGAATTGCTGATCTTCCTTGATCTGCCAAACAAATGCATATCTCAAATCTCGAGGTCATCGAATGAGGGTCCAACGAACTGACATTCACCGCCCCGAATCTAAACTCTAAACTAGGCTCTGATACCACTTGTTGAAACCAGGTAGCTCCATCGGTGCGATATTTTATCCTTTTTATGTCAACCCGACACGGACTTACTTTTGGGTATCCTCTCCAAAAGGTCTCGCACCAATTCGGCTAGGTAGACAGTGGCGTACCCAAGGTGGGTCCAACGGAAAAAAAAAACATATCAAATAAATTTTATTAATATTTAAATAACCCACGATATATTTTCGTAGCTTGTCAATTAATTTTCAATTGAGTATGGAGAATTCGACACTACATTAGAAATTAGTAAACTCAAATCAAATAATTATAGAACAATTTCATGTCAAATCGAGAGTTATTTACTTAATATGCAAGGTTAATGTGTGCACAATGTTATCTACAATCTAATGGTAGACAAGCAAAACTAGTGTACATAACGTATTTGGTTTGAGTATTGTGAATTGTATACAAATATCGTAACTTTTGGCGTGTCATAATCTGAGCCAGGGTGGGTCCCGCTGGCTCCGCCACTGTAGGTAAACCCTTATATACAAGTATCCTCTCCCTTATATTTTTAATGTGGTACTTGTACTGAACACCTCCTTACATAAAAGAGCAACCAATGGAACCTTAATCACAAGTTCTTCCAATTTACTTCGACTGATATCGTTTGAGGCTATTCCATATACGAGCGGTCGTTCATTGATAAATAATATGTTAGAAGAACCCAAAAAAAAAAAGTTTTCCCCTCAACTACCTAGCCACCCCTTTTTCATTCTATGTATGGGTTTTCCTACATCCTTCATCCTTCCTTACAATAATGGCAGTAAGTAAAAATCTTGTTAACGTACGGAGATGATGGAATCCGTGCAATAAAAGAAGGAAGGCGAAAGGGCATCTCTTTCTTCCTACCTTGTTTTGTATCGTATCCGTTCATTATCATCGTCTCCAGAGAGAGAGAGAGAAGGAAGAGATATGGCGTGTGTTTTGGCGTTTCATGGTCAGCAATGACAAGCAGGTGAGTGAGCATAGCGAATCTCCACTCCAACCCACAACGCGCATGCAAATTCAATGCTCTTTGTTTCCAATAACCCAAAAAAAAATGTTATCTTCATCATCACATCACATGCTATTTGCTAGCTGTTGTTTCTGCTTCCTTCTTCTCTTCCATTTCCTTCTGTTTGTTTTCTCACAACCGTCGCCTTGTCTCTCCTGCCACTTGCCCATCTGCTTCAGCAGTGTTTCTTCTGTGTCCCCAAGGTGTTGACTGCTGCAGCTTGCAAATCTTGGTGGACATGATAATATACTCTACTGCTATTCATCTGTCCCAATTCGAGGTATAATTTACGATTTAGTTTATGCAAAACATGTTGAGATGACTTTTGACTCACTGTCATTGTCTCATTGAGCTGTATGTTCTTCTTCGTGATGGTTTTCGTTGGTGTCTGGTGCTTTTTTTCGACTAATATTTAGTTTTGTGGTGATGGGCAGGTTCTGATTCTGAAGGATGCATTAGGTTTTCATCTTAACAACAATCACATGTCATACCAAATAGGAGAGAACTGATCGTCTTTACAATCAAAAGAACAAACTGGTTCCTGCAACGGTAATCCAGTACCAGTTGGCATAAACTAGAATAAACTCAAAACTAAAAACAACTTGATGACCTCCACAAAAGAGACGACTCCTGTACTCAAATCGTATCTTGTTTATGAGGTAACAGCTGCATCCAAAAATGCCCTTCCTGGTTCTCGGTTAGCAAGTGGTCCATGGCAACCCAGAAGCTGCAATGAGTTCTCAATGAGTTTCGAGCTTCAGAATACCAAAAGACGGAACCAAAAACAAACACAAATCGGTATGATAGTTCAACTAACCTTGGCATTAACTCCATCCGGCATAATCCTGTTCTCTTGCTTCAGCTTCACATAATCAGCACGGTTGAACTTGGTAAAGCCCCTGCCACAGACACAATATAGTCAATAAAACTTGCGCGAACCAAATTGCGACAGTAAAGCATATATGATCCATGATGATCCAAAAGTCTACAACAGATATGTTAGCTCACTAGCTCAGTAGTCCTTGTGTTGTGTAATAAAGCTAGTCGCCCTTAACAATGGATTATCAAAACCACAATCTAAAGCTAGCTTTCTCTACATATGAAGCAAAGTCATGCTCATCAAGCCAAATACCTGTATAAACACAGCTTGAAACTGCAACACAAATCTATCTCCATTTGATGCAACTAATTGGCTCCAGTTGGTGCATCCAGTAACCCATGTATTCACCAAATACAATCTTCCAACTTATAGTTTTAACATCCAAGTTTAAATTAGAATGTTAACCCCAGTTCACTCTTTTAATTCTACATTTTAAATTCTACCGTTTCAATTCTATATAACTCTGTTTGTGGGGTCATTTCTGCAAAACTCGCATATTTTCCCTTTGACACACTCTTGCAGTTCCATTATTTGTCGGTGAAAGTCACTAGAAAACCTCCCACCTGTTGAATCAAAACGACCCTTTAAAATAAGAAACTTACCACTTCCTGCTGATAATGATCTTCTGACGGCCAGGAAACTTGAACTTGGCACGGCGGAGAGCCTCTTGCGCATGCTGACTGTTGTTGTCCTTGCACCTGACAGAGAGAAGAACCTGGCCGATGGCGACTCTAGCACAGACACCCTGCGGCTTCCCGAAAGCACCCCTCATTCCGGTCTGGAGCCTATCAGCTCCGGCACACGAAAGCATCTTGTTGATACGCAACACATGGAACGGATGAACACGGACCCTCAAATGGAACGCATCCTTGCCAGCACTCTTGGTCATGTACTTGTTGCAAGCAATGCGGGCAGCCTCGAGCGCTTCGCTGGACACGTTTTCCTTTTCCCAGGACACCAAATGCACGCAGAACGGGAACTCATCGACCCCCTTCTTCTTCATGCCCACATCATAGATCCTGATCTTGGGGTCGGGGACACCACGACAGAATCGCGATTTAGGGTAGGGCTTGTTCTTGATCTGGCGATAACACCTCGCGGGTCCTGGTAACCAATCGAAATATACATAAAGATATCAGATTTCTACACATGCATCATATGGTTAACACAGTACAATTTTATTGCCCAAGCGATATCTTCTGGGTGCAAATTATAATCAGCCAGAGGAATGCCAACAACAATTTTGCACAGATGTGAAGAACTCTCATGGCGGTGCAACCGTACAATGCAATGAAATCTACCGAAAGATCGTTTCGGAAATCCTCGGAAGTGGATTGTAAAAACAGATTGGTTATCAGAAACAGAGTCGACAGAACAAAACTACGTAACATTCTCATGCAGTCCAGCGTTTTCAACAAACGAAAGCGCGCAAAATCTTCCGCGGCCAGAAAATTCATTCGGAAATCGCGAAACAACAATCATAGAACAGGAAGCATTCAACGATTTGGGAGAAAGGAGAACTTACTTCTTCCCATGGTGGACGAGCGGCGGAGAAAAAACCCTAGGAAGCAAATGAGAGAACGGGAATTGGGCTCTAGATGAGAATGGAGAAGCCTTTATCTATGTCCGGGACACCGGAGGGCGGCCAATTTTCAGTTTACCCTTTTTATTATATAAACTTACAGTATGGATACGTTTTCTTTTATATTTTGCAGTTCAGGACAGGTATTTGTTTATTGTTGTTGAATTTGTTTCATTTTATTTAGCACCCCTTCCTTATCTCGAAACAACTGGCTTAATGTGGTATTTGGTAGAGGTGACCAATGCAGTCAAAATGGCGCTTTAAAACTTAAAAATTTACGCTTTTATTATTTTAGGTCACCAAAACGTTTCTATGTAGAATCACACTTTTTTCTTACAATTGTAGTTAAAATCTACGCTTTAAAACTTAAAAACTTACGGTTTTACGCTTTTAGCTCACCAAAGCGTTTTTAGGTAGAATCACGTTTTTGACTGCATTGGAGGTGACTATACGGTCCGGTCCGCTTAGATCTCAAAAGTGTCTGGTTTTCCTCTTGTCCAGGTTTGTAGAAAGCTTGCAATACTTACAGGTCTACTCTAGAAGTTGAATCATGAAGAGTTTTCAGATTTCAGAGCAAGGGTCAAACTTAAAAGTGAAGAATTGATTTATGCACAAGCTGTGGCATTGTCTAATCCTTTCCTTTGAGTCTCAAATAGCATTTGATTTCTCAAGAACTCTAGGTTCTTAAAACTGCTGAAGGATAAGGCAAAGGTAGCCAACATTTTTAGTACAGATCTCATCCCTCTAAACAACCACAACAACTGCATGCTTATAGCTCATGAGACAACCAACAATATCACTACTGGAAAAATGACTTTCAACCCATATACAGAGAAGGGTAAGAACCAAAAGCGTGATACTTTCTTTATTGTATGCAGACTGCAGTTAATATACGATACATAGTTGACTAGAGAGCCAACTCTCAGAATATATGGATTCTAAATGCACCTGACAAATAGTGTATATAGGCAACGGCCAATACTGAATTCCTAACTTTTCATAAGAAATACATATCTCTCTTCCTTCTGCATTTCTTCTCCTGGGTGCATTCTAGTGTCTGCCACAGTGATGACTTTCTAACTCCATCAAATACCATGAAGCTGGTAGAAGTGCATCCCCTTGACAAACAATAGTACAGGGCATGATGTTACATTGTGCAGAGGTCTCCTCCAACATTCGGTATTACAGCCTGCAACAAAACCCGCAGAGTACGAGGTATCGTTGACAAACAATAGTAGAGAGCACCTGCCGTGGTATATTCACCTCTCACTCAGGATAAAATCATACAAAAAGATGTCAGACAAACTAACTCCAACTAAACTCGTGCATGGTGGTTTTTCCTCCTATGGCCAGGTTGTAAAAACCACCCTTATATGTCCATAGAACACAGTTGATTAGTCCGATTTGCTTTCCAGGCTATATATGTTTCCAACAACTCCAGCAATGCTAACTATGATAGCAAGCACCAGCATCAGCCATGCTAGAAACTTCTCTTTCAGGGTCAAACATTCTGCTCCTCTTTGCCCTAGCTTCAATGCAACCAGAGCTGGAAATGTAAAACCCAGTGAAACAGCTGTCGTTGCCCCTGTGAACTTGAAGGCCGTCCAAATGTTTGGGATCATCGTCGAACCGAGATAAATCAACCCAAGTAGAACAACTGTCATTGCCAAGCACCTCTTCCTACTCTCTGTCAATGGAGCTGACCCCTCAAATACCAAGTCATTCACAGTTTGTCTCAGTGAGAAATGAAGCACAGGGAAAACAAGAACCAAATGAAGAATATACCCAACTCTAACTATGTAATCCAAAGCAGTGCTGAAAGGAACCCCAAGGTCCTCATCAAAATTGGTCAAGACATCAGATTCTGTTCCTGATCCAAAAAGCAAATAACCTGATATTGCAGTACAAGCATAGACTGCAACACATAGAACGGTTGTGATCCTCCCAACCCGGTACATCTTCTGAGGCGTCCGCCCTTCGAGTTCATTATATATCGGCTGAACATTGAAATGGCAAACATATGCATTTGCCATGATAGGAATCACCACTAGGAGATCCAGAATGGATTTTTCCGAGCTAAAATCAGGGACCATCTTAGGTGGTTCAATTTTGCCTTCAATCAACTTAATGGCTGCAACGGTGAAGCAAACAACGACGAAAACAATGGCTAAAGCAACTGAAGCAGCCGAAGTTAAGGTCAAAGAATCAATCTTGTCCAATGCACAAAGCGGGGCAAGAAGAAGCACCAAGACAACCAAGATTACCAATCTCCTGTGATCCCACACCCCATGTCCAAGCCATTGATCAAAAACCCCAACATGATGAAGAGAACCAGACATAACATCCCCTATGATTATCAAATACACAACCAAAACCCCTGCATTGTTCACAATGATGCAAATTTCAGAGAGAACTTTGGCCGTCCTCCCTAAAGCACACTGCACAACTTCACCATAAGAAGAAGCTTTACAGAGCACCGAGAACCTGATCAGCAGCTCAACACTTACCTCGGATAGAAGACCCATTAGGAATATGAGCACAACCCCTACAACCAATCCAAGAACATTCATCGTAGCAGGCAATGCCATGATCCCAGCGCCGATAATTGATGTGGTGAGGTTGAAAACGGCCCCGGAAATTCCAGACCCATTCCCCGGTTTGGAGACGACGAACGGGTAATCGTCGATATCCAGATCGTCGTCGGCGCCGTCGTCGTCATCCAAACTATGAACATTTCGAAAATGGGGATCTACATTAGCACCATCCTCGTAGGCGTGCAATTTGGAGTGGGCTTTCCGGGAGGAAACTGGGTTTTCAGAGTCGTTGTGCAATTGCAATTCCACATACGAGTTCTTGGGAACGGCGGTGTATTTGGCCTCCTTCATTGAATACGATGGGGGTTGAGAAAATCTGGGCAAGATCTTAAAAGATCAGAAAATGGGGATTGGGGGAGCTAACGGAATGATAATCTGGGTTTGATTTCTTCCCTGTTCTTTGGTTTTGGAGGCTGGGATTTTTTTGGGTTGATTTCAGATTTTCCGCTGAGAGGAATGAACGAAGAACGTAAAGCAAAGCCCTTTCCCCGCTAGATCTCTGGAGGGGTCAACTTTCTTCTTCCCTCCGCCCACAAGTGGAAAAAACAAGACGCAGAGAGGAGATGGAGAGGGAATTTCGAAGAAGCTGACTCTGCGAAGGATAAAGGGACAAATAATTAAGGGATAGTTAAATGGATACATGGGTAATTATACACGTAAAGCCATAAACTCTTTGCTTTTTTTGGCCGAAATCTCTCTCTATCTCCTCGCTTTGACATAAAGCCATAAACAAATTTCTTTTTTTATTTTTTACTCTTAGGTTGATTCGATTTTGATGATCGTGGATACATTGTTAATTATACACGTAAATTAAAGAAATTGATTTATTGTGATTTATATGGTTGGAATTTTGTGTTAGTTATTCTACTATTTGAATGGATTACATTACTTTCGGGGTGAAATAATACGTTTATTCTTTATTTTTTTATATAAAAGAGCAATACGTACAAAAAGTTAAGGATATAGTTGAAACAAAATTAAATACAACAAACTCAATCATATAATCTCAATAATTCATCTAAAATGTGAGGTTTAACTATGATTAATTTTGAGTGATAGTTTATGTCACGTCAAGCAAACAATGTTTGTATTATTTGTGCAAGAAATTCAAATAACGAGTCATTGTGAAAAATACAAGCATTGTAACAATTTAAATCAAACTATCACCAAAAGCAAACGACCCCTTAACAAATTTTTCAGATGATTTTTCCTAAATATTATATTATAAAATTATTACAATTCTAGAAATAATTGACAATCTACTTTGAATAGACAAACAAGAGGGTGCAGCCCTTAGCATTGTCTTTGGAGAAAAGACGAATTGGGCTGCGCACGCCTCAACTAGTTTCGACTTCAAATTTAAAACCTACTTGAGAGGCCAAAAGATCAACTGGGTCATGTGTCTCAATTACGTTTATTTGTTAAAACGAAATGTTTGGAAGAATCAAATGAGCATGTTTAGATCATTGATAAACTTAGTTGATTACACCAAATTCTTCGTAAGCAGTATTCTTTATGATACTTAAAATGATTGCAACCATGACTGTAGGAGTAAAGTAAATATCTGAAATTCGACAAAGATAAGTAATAATAATTTGAAGTCAGGCAAGTCGAGTTGCCATGTCAGAGTGACAATGCAGCCATCATTAGCAGATGGCTCTTTTTTTTTTTTTTTTTTTGACAAAGGGATCACTTATATTGCTCAACTAATAAAATTGGTTACAAAGAGGGGATACAACATGAGAAAACAAATCAAGAAAGAATAGCCTCAACATCTAGAGGAACACACAAACCAACGAGGAGAAGATCAAAACAAGAGAAAGCCAAGCATGATCCAACTAGACAAGGTCATTCTATTCTTGAACCACAAATCAAAGCATCTGAACCACTCTTTGCAACCTCATTTATCAGAAAAACTCAAAGGAAAGCTTCAGCTCATCCAATACAGCACAGCAGATGGCTCTTGAAAGTAGAGAATAGTTAGTGTTTGAAAGATATTCCTCGTGAGACGAGGGGTTTTCATAATCATAATTGGGAGCTTTATTTTTGAAGGATGCAACCAAATGAATTCTCTCATGGAGTTGGAAAAAAGACATACTGTAGATGGAAATAACACATACTTAGGTGAGCCATTGAGTTTTCTCAACACAAAATACAACGCTCACAACTCATCATAATAGCAGTCAGATTTACAATGAGAATGCAAAGATTAGGCGCGAGAAGTTGGCATGAAACCTATGCAATGGACATTGATTTAAGCTCAATATCTCTTCATTGAGTGCGAATTTGACGACCAGCGTCATGTTGTTAATTTCTTTCTTTGCCACCCAGAGTCTCCTCTGGTATTAAGTGTGCGGTATATTTTTATTCTCGTAGAGTTGATGTACAAAATCAAGTTCCAGGATAAAGTTTGAAACCAAATCAACTCTACCTCAGTTGCATCATTTGAGAGACCTCCTTAACTTCTCCAAATTCTCTTCTCACTATCTAAAATGTCGTCCACAGGACATTGCATCACTTGTCATTGACTAGTGTTCTTAAACCACAGATGTGTTCCTTAGCGTCAGGACTGGTTGTTCGCATCCCAGCGCCCTTGTTCACACAATCAGCTAGTTAAATTTCGAATTGCCTGGAGAATCAGCCACTTACTATGGTTTGCGCTCTGCGAAAGAGAACACCCTCAGTCTGGCTCTGAAGTCCCATTTGGAGCTGTATGAGATCCAGAGTATGTTCGAAGCATCACGAGCCTGCTGGCATCTCTAGCTTGGGTTCCCTTTCCTCCATGGCTTGAATCATAAACGGCACCAACATCTGTCTTTCTTTCAGAGCGCGCAGTTTCGGATAATGTTATGCTGCAGTTCTTCTCCTCTGCACTTGGAAACCGGTGCAGTTCTTCTCCTCTGCAATTGGAAGACGGAAAGGAACGATTTGCCCCCAGCAACGATGCTGCAAAAAATGAGGTGATGAAACATGAGGAAACATAGGATTGAGTTTCCTTTCACACATTGATTGGTTTCATGTAGCCTCCTTTCGTAGCAACAGCTTCACTCAGCCAGCAGAACCGCTGCCAACTGAAACCACCATAACTAATACATTTGTAATGCTTGGTTCATTTACAAACAGGCTAGGCTCGGGTTAAACACGAATAGATCTGAAATGCTGATGAAAAACAACAATAGCATATTCTTATTTCTTAAGATCAACAATGTCTACAATCATACAAATTATCCTGAGGACATCCTATGACTTTCAATTGTATATATACAAAGAGGGCAGCAAAATTCCTTCTCTATAGATCATACACATGAAACAGGACCTCAGTAGTCATTGAAAACCTTAACCTAGTTGGCAACTTCTAAAGAAAATGAAGATACCATGACACAAGGACAACTCCTAATAACAACAATAACAGAAGTTCGTATACCCGAACCTGAGGTCTGTCATTTGTTACCGATTATTATTCTCGTGAAAAAGAGGTACAGAATGCTTGACAGCAAGATCCGTTGATACAAAATTTGCCAACGGATACAATCAATAAACAAATGAGTAATCCAGGGGAAAGGGGTGGTGATTATCAGAATAACTCAACAGGGTGAAGTGAGCTCCAGTACCTCAAGTCATCACTCTTTCCTTGTTTTCCAATTAAAATCGGTGGCCACCACCAATAATGAAGTTTCTGCTGTTCATTCCTGCTTCGCTGCTCATCAGTTGGCAAGTACTCTCGGTGAGATCAAATCCTTTCTCCAACATCTCCACCAACCATACTCTTGCTTTATCAGTATCCCCTATCTTCAGAAAACCATGCACTACAATGTCATAAGTCCATCGATTGGGTTCATATCCCTTCTGGAGGATCTTTTCCAGGAACTGGCAGGCTCTCTCCATATCAATCATGCAAAGCCTTCTCAACAACAAGTTGTAGGTGTAAATATTCAAGGGGAAGCATTGTGCAATCAATTCTTCCAAGTCCTCAATTTCCTCTCCGACCTTGACACAACCAGAAAATGCACCAACCAGCTGGCAAAACAGTGAAAGCTTCTCGTTTGATGACATCTCACTGATCTCGCCATCTTTCACCTCTGTCAATCTAAAACTATCCCAAGCCTGATGGAGCCCTGTGCCCTTAAGGGAATGAAACAAAAGCACATTGCCCATGAAAGAAGTGACACGGCGCCCGACTCTCTCATAGTCATACACAAGTTTCACTGCCAAATCATACTTTGCAGAGTCGCAGAGCTGCTGTACAAGTACCTCATAGCATTCAATGCTAGGAATAATTCCAAAAGGCCGCAGTTCATTAGCAGTCCGCATTTCCTTAAAATAACTATATGCAAGATTGACTTTATCCAAATTAGCCAGATTAACTACCATGGTGCAGTACAACACTCTCCCGACACTCCTTCTTCGACCTATAGCATCAAAGAAGCTTACAGCATCATGAATCCTAGCATTCTTTAGATAACTCCTAAGCAAAAGAACCTCAGAGGCAAGATTAGGCTGAATACCATTTCTCAGCATCATCTCATATAACTTCTTGGCTAGCTCGGGCCTCTGAGCATGCCCTGCCCCATCAATGAACAAGTTATAAATATCACAGCTCAGTTCATGAAGAGATGCTTGCATTTCTAGCAGCTTTAGAACTTGTTGTTCTGCATTTTCAAGATTGCATAGACAGCAAATAACATTTCTGAACACATTTTTACTCGGTTTGAGCCCTTTCTCCTGCATTTCAATCAGAAGTCTTGCAGCAATATCTCCTCTATTCGATTTACTGAATCCAGAAATTAGCTTAGAGTATGTACTTCCCTTAATAACTTTGTTCATCCTGTTGAGTTCACCATGTATCAAGTAACCTTCTTCCACCTTTTCAGCTCGACACATAGCTGATATAAACTTCTCACATATACTCGTTGTGAAATTCCGCTCCAAAGCCATCACAACTAGCTTCTTCATCTTATCAAGCTTCCCTTCCCTGTATAAAGTGTCAGCAAGTGTGTAGAACGTTTGCCTCCCAGGAGTCGAACCGTTTTGTGTCCAATTTCTCAGGACATGATATGCATCATCGACCTTCCCATCCCCACACAAAGAATTGATGAGATAATTATATACCATGCTATTGGGCGAGAATGGAAGATCTGACCTGGAATTATACAGTTCAAGAGCAACACCCACCATTCCAGCTTTACAGAAGAAGCACAATGCAGCGCTCAAAGTAAACCTATCTGGTGAAATCCCATCCTCCATCATTTCTGTCAACAAATCGTATGCCTCACCAAGCCTGTTTTCCTTTAACAGTCTATCCAGCAGATAATTATACCGAAAAATCTCGGGAACATACCCTTCTAGTGACTTCTTATTTCGCAGGAACTCCAGAGCGCCATCAACATTACCAGCTTCAACAAGATCCCTGAGCCAGATACCATAAGCTGGCTCCATTGGCCTAACCCCCAGTTCTTTGAACTCCTCCAGCAATTCTCCTGCCTTGTCAAAACGCGTATTACGGCAAAGGGCGTCGACCAGAACACTTAAAGCATGTCCATCGTCTTCAAGAAGCTTCTGACGCAGATAAGCCTCAGCATTATCAAGCATGTTCTGCTTGCACAGGCTCTTCACGACTATCGTGTGAGTGACATCTCTTTCATAACCCTGAGCTGAAATCTGCTCAGCAATTGCGTTAACAGAATCAAAACTGCCTTCCTCCACTAAGGAATTGAGAAGGATATGGTAAGTGAATGCATCCAAGTCCAGCCCTTGAAACCGCATTCTACCAAACAGTTGGAGTGCAATCTGGGGCTTCCCTGCCACGGCGTAACCCATCACCAAAATGGACTGAAACGCGGTCTGTTTAAGGAACAGGCGGTCTCTGCTGTACACACCAAGGAAATCGAACATTGTAGACATATTTCTCGACTTGGAAAGGATCTTGAAGAGGGCATGGTAAGTGGCACGAGTGTGGTAAAACCCATGCTGGTGACCAGCCCAATCGAAGAACTTGATGCAAGTCAAGACATCGTACTTGGACTTGCCGTAATCCAGCACTTTCAACACCAGCGCCTCCGAGAGTCGAAGACCCAATTGGGCAAAAGCTACAGCCAATTCATCTTCCTTACCCTGAACCTTGAGAATCTCGAAAACACGATCCAGGAAAGCATCTTTCCCGCTCTTGAACCATTCTGTGAAGGAGAAGGCGACGTCTTTGGCGTTGATGGTAAAACTGGAGAGACCTTCTTGAACGGGGAGAGCGGCGGTCGAATGGTAAGAGACCGAGCAAAAATTGGGGAAGCGGGGATGATGCTGAGATGTGCGATTTTCAGCAGGAGAGGAAGAAGAAGAAGAAGCAGCACAAGAAGAGATGCGAGAAGCGTTGAGGAGGAAAAGGGGAGATAGGAGAATCCTCTTTGATTCAGTAGCTTGTTTGATTGAGAGCATGTTTTCCTTCGACGGGAGCGCGGATAAACAATCGAAGGCCGGCGGATATTGACGAAACCGGCCAGCAGGGAATGTGGCGATAAAGGCCGTACAAATAACGGTCCGCTGCCGGCGTAGTAAAAACCCGGCGACAGAAGACAGCCGCGGGCGACGGCGGCGATTTCGTCAAATCGGGAAGAACAAGGGCGGCGACTGTGCAGGGCTTTGGGAGGGGAAGAGACTGCTCGACGACATGTCTTTTTTTCTCTTTTTCGCTTTTACTTTAGTTTTTGCTCTGCTAATAAAATAAAAAATTAACATAGCGAATGGGATCGTAATATTATCGTAATAAAGGTAAATATCATTAATACACCCAGAACTTTCAAAAGGTTTCATTTTTAGTACAAAATATTTCGTAATGATCAATGTTCAATAAGCCGCTAAGCGTAAGGCACGTGTTGTAGTCTTTTCTAGTATCTAGTTCGCTTAGGCAACAGTTAAATGTGTCCAGGAGTTGTAAGAAATAACATTTTTTAGTAGATATAGCAGTTTTGCAGAACTTATGTACTAAGGTTCAAATGATTTATTAATTAACCAACCTTTAACAACAAGAAAAATATGTCACAAATACTCGTCGTCTCTGCACTGTTTAAATATTTGGTTTTCAGTTATTTTGTCGATTAATCGGATAACCGTTAACCAAGTGATTCGACAAGGTTATACAAAAATAACTCTTCGATAAATGTCCATTAAGTCCATTACCTAGAAAACCCGCATAATCGACATAATTACTATTTGAAATTTGTGTCATTCCACTTGCAAAATTGGCACGGAGGTTTCACAACCTTGCTTTAGATGCTAAAGGTGGCTGGACAAAGACGCTATCTACAAAGTAACATATGCTGCGCCTGCGCAGTCGAGTCGCTCCGTCTTCCATAAACTCAACAGCTCCATCTCCTCTAACCTCGCACTAGCTATGGCCACCACCATTGCACCTCCCACCTCCTCGCACTCCGCCGACAACAACCGTCGTCGCTCGCCGCCTCCCCCTTTTCATTTCCCGCCGGCGGACTCCACAGTCCTCCCGGACCCTTCCGCCTTCTTCTCCCCTTCCCTCCTCTCTTCCCCTCTCCCCACCAACTCCTTCTTCCAGAACTTCACCCTCAACAATGGCGACAACCCGGAGTACGTTCACCCTTACCTCGTCAAATCCTCCGGCTCCGCCGTCTCCCTCTGCTACCCTTCCCTCGCCCACACCTCCGATTCCGTTTCCCAGATCTTCACCCCCGATCTCACCCTCAAACCCGACCCGAATTCCTCCTCCGCGGCGACCCATCTCATCACATCCTACAGCGACCTCAGCGTCACTCTCGATTTCCCCTCTTCCAATCTCCGATTCTTCCTCGTCCGGGGAAGCCCATTCATCACTTGCTCCGTCGTCACCGCCGGTAAAACCTCGATTTCACTCTCCACAGTCCACTCCGTCGTCTCCTGCTGCTCCAGCGATTCACTCGACAAGCACACCGTTAAATTGGGCAACAACCAGACCTGGCTCGTTTACTCCTCGTCTCCCGTCAGTTTCAGCCGAAACCCTACTTCGGTCAGCTCCGGCGAGTTCTCTGGCGTATTGAGGATTGCGATTCTGCCCGACCCGACGTCCGAACCCGTTCTCGATCGGTTCAGCTCCTGCTACCCAGTTTCAGGTGAAGTTGCTTTCACGAAACCCTTCTCTTTAGATTATAAATGGGGGAAGGAAGGGGCGGGGGAATTACTCATGCTCGCCCATCCCCTGCATCTCAAGCTTTTATCCCCCAACGATTGTGGTGTTACTGTGTTGGAAGAATTGAAGTATAGGAGTGTGGACGGCGACCTCATTGGGGTTGTTGGTGATTCATGGGTGTTGAAATCGGACCCTGTTCCCGTTACTTGGCATTCGATCAAGGGTGATATCAAAGACGATTGTTTGGGTGAAATTGTTGCTGCCCTTCGCAAGGATGTTGAAGGGCTGGATCCATCAGCTACAACCACGACGTCTTGTTATTTTTACGGGAAGTCGGTTGCAAGAGCAGCTAGACTGGCTGTGATAGCTGAGGAAGTTGGTTGCACTGACGTGATTCCAGCTGTAGGGAAGTTTTTGAAGGAGATGATTGAGCCATGGTTGGAAGGATCCTTCAACGGGAATGGGTTTTTGTATGATAGGAAATGGGGTGGCATTGTTTCCAAGCAGGGATTAACCGATTCCAGTGGCGATTTTGGGTTTGGTGTGTACAATGATCATCATTTCCATCTGAGTTATTATCTTTACAGCATTGCTGTTCTTGCCAAGATCGACCCGGTCTGGGGGAGGAAGTATCAGCCACAAGTGTACTCTATGATAGCTAGTTTTATGAACTTCGGACCTGATTACTCGACTTACACTCGTTTGAGGTGTTTCGATTTGTACAAGCTGCATTCTTGGGGTGGAGGGATGACCGAGTATGCCGATGGACGTAACCAGGAGAGCACAAGTGAGGCTGTGAATGCTTACTATTCAGCTGCTCTGATCGGATTAGCATATGGAGACGCCGAACTCGTCGCCACTGCATCTTGTCTTGCTGCAATGGAGATCAAGGCAGCGCAAATGTGGTGGCATGTGAGAGAAGAAGGCAAGTTATACCCGCAAGAGTTCACAGCCGAGAACCGAGTGGTGGGTCTCGTGTGGGCTAACAAGAGGGAGACTAGGCTATGGTTCGCACCACCGGAGCAGAGAGAGTGCAGGCTTGGCATTCACCTGCTGCCGTTGCTGCCAATCACGGAGGTTTTGTTCGCTGATGTCGAGTACGCGAGACAGCTCGTGAATTGGACGGTGCCATCTCTGGAAAGGGGAGACGTCGGAGATGGCTGGAAAGGATTTGCGTACGCACTCGAAGCGTTGTATGACAAAGGGATAGCACTGGAGAAGGTAAGGAGGTTGAATGAACATGATGATGGCAACTCTCTTAGTAATATGCTGTGGTGGATCCACAGCAGGTAAAAAGCGCGATCAGTTGACGACGAGGAGGGAAGTTAATGCAAGGTTTGGTCACTGCTGTTACTGGAATTCTGATTTAAGAGTGTTCTTCTGTTCAATAAGAAAAGCCTTTGTGCCCTTACCTCGTTCGGGTGTATGTATGTGTATTTGCATAATAAGCTTCCGCATGGAAGGGGAACTCAGTAACTTGTGATGGTCTTGTGTTTAAGTGTGTGTGTTTTGTTAGTAAGATTCCACATATGTAATGGCTATTAACCATTTTAATGATGTTGAAAGGGAGTTAAAAAAGGGCTTTGGGTTTAGGTTTTACTTTTACCTCACTCGTTAAGTGAGGGTATTTTAGGTCTTCTAAGTAAAATTAGGATACAGAGTGTTACAGTGACAATAAGTATAGGCAATTAGGGATGGAGTGGGGAGACTAAAATCATATCCACCTCATTTCATATAATTTTTTTTGAAAGTTTTACCCATATCTAGTAAATACGGAGATTATAAGCAACGATTAGATTGAGGATTCAGGTTCGTAGGTTTTATTGTCATCCTAACGGGAGGAGTGACTGCTATTTCAAAAATTAGGATATGACATAAGTATAACTACTGATAAAGTTTTTTTTATATAAGGTGCATACAGATTTTTATTTAAGATTTAAGTACGAGCGCTCTTAGGGGATGCCCTCCGCGCTGAGGAGATTAAAACTTGAGACCTCCTTGTTCGTAGGGTTCTTTTTTTTTAACGGCAACTATCAGTAAAGTAAACGAGAAGCTTTATAATTATATTTAAGGAAAGTGATTTAATAAATTTGTAAGTAATATAATTATTTATGATTTTCTCTTTTTTATTTATGGTAAAAAAGAGAGGGGCAGGACAAAAAAATAAATATTTAACTACTTTACCTTCATAATAAATGTTGGTAATAGAAAATTATTAATTGAAATTCCAAAATCACAGGAGTATTAATTATTCAACCAAATACATCATCTCATGGGATAAAATCTCAATCTATAAATACACAAATATGACACTCTCTAATAACCACAAAAAAAAAAAGGCCTCTTATAATCATCAGGAAAAAAATACAAAAAAATCATTTGCTTGAAAACCATGGCCGCCGCCGGCCGCCGTCCTCTCTTCATCTTCATCGCCCTCCTAATCCCCCACTTACTTTCATCACACCTCGTCAACGGAGACGCCGCTCTCAAGCAAACCACCTGCGCCAAGACAAAGCTGCCGGCCGCCTGCGCCGCGTGCTTCGACTCGACGCCGGGAACCGACGGCCAGGACTTGAAAGGCCTGGCCGCGTCGGCCGTCAGCTGCGCGCTCGCGAAATCGGCGGCCGCGGAACGGCTCCTCTCCACCTACGTCGGCAACGTGACCGCGGCTACGCCGGAGGGTGACCCCCACGCGACCTGCGAGCAGAAGCTCGGCTCGGCGACCGGCAAGGTCACCGCCGCTTTGCGGCTCTGCAGGGCCGGGAGCTACGCGGGGTCCCGGGATCTGCTGGAATCCGCCGCGCGTGACGGAGCTGACTGTCGGGAGGTTTGGGTTGACGGCGGCGGGGAGGCGCCGCCGCCGGCGGGGTTTTTGAGTGGGTTGAGGGATTTCGATGTTTATGCGGACGTGGCTAGTGGTACGGTTGCGCAATTGATCCTGCCCAAAAACGGGAGTCCAAGCGAGCCACATCATATTTGAGTGAATTTATGAATAAAAGTGTTTTTTTGGGATGAACCTTAATAATATTGATAATATATAAATGTTATTAGTCTTCGATCTTCATAGAGATATTTATACGAACAATTTCGATAGTGTGACAATATAGATGCTTCGGAGAAGTAAAGTAGAAATATGATCGTAAATCAATTGATATACACGTACTGGTAGGTACTCGATGAATTGGGTTGTGTTTGCTCTTTTACACCTAATAGATATTTTACCGAGTTTTTTAATGATTGCACCTGTTGAATAGGGGTGGTAAACGGTTAGGTGGTTATCGGTTTTAACCGATAAAGGTCGTTAGTGGTTAACCGATAACCGATAATTTCTTATTGGTTCGATTTCGGTTAGTAGTGTTTTGCTTAGTGGTTAACCGCTAACTGACTAATAGGTTAGTGGTTAACCGATAAGATACCGATAACCACCTACTAATATAACTACACAGTTTTGGGCTTTGGTTGAGGGATAAATTTCAAAGGTTCAAAACCAACCAAAGTCACAGTTCCAAACATCTCAATTCTTGCCTATTGCAAAAAAAAAAAACCTCCACCAAGAGTCACAAATATATGTAAGAGTTAGAACCCGAAAGTACCCCTCTCTAACTCCCTTTGCAGTCGTTAGAGCGAAATTCACAATCCAGTAATCTTTATTTCTTTGATGTTTGTGAATAATGATGATCTTGTGGTGCTTGTGTTTGATGTCTTGGTAGTTCGTACTCACTAATTGGGTGAATGCGTTTGATTATTTTTTATTTATGCATTTGAATTTTGATTTAAGTTACTGAATCACGATGAATTTTGTATTATGTTGATATTATTTCTTATATTTATTATTTTATGTTAATAATGTACGATTATTCGTCTTTAATATTTGGTACTTTGTACTCTTGGTTATTGTTATGCTCGTGGACTCTTGATTTGTATATTATAAGTGGTTATTGTTTCGGTTTATTATATTTTGTGAATGAAAATTGAAGCTATTGGTTCGATTTGGCATAACCGTATTTGTTAGAATGTATTTTAGTAGTTATTGGTTAACCGCCAAAATAACCGCTAACCGAATCGATAAAAGGTGGTTAACCGTCACCGAACCGATTAGCACCCCTATTGTTGAATTGGATTTAGGGGTCGTTTGCTTGTTGGATTTTAGAACGAAGGTTTTTAGTTATTAAAACCTTAGCATTTGTGATGGATTTGTTGCATTACGGATTTGAAAGAGTCCATCGCTTGTGTTGATGATTGTTTATCATGAATTTGCAGCTTTTTGTACCAAGGGCCCCACATATTTGTCTTCCATCAACCAAATCCCTAATTAAAAGGTGGAATTTACAAATCCATCACTCAAATCCAACAAACAAACGATTTTTTTTAGAGAAATTCGACAATTTAAATGTTATGTATTTTTTGTTGAGTATCTTGATTGTCAAAAGGGCAAAAATAAAACTCCGAACCCACCCTTCAGTCTTCTTCTCCCCCAACTCGATCCGGTTCGGCTGCCATTTCGACTCCACCAGCAGCATCAGCAGACGCCACGGTAGTAGTTCCTCCATCACCGAGCAGAGTCGACGTCGAGAGGCGGAGGCCATGGCGGGACTACTAGCATGGGCGGCAGACGTGGTAGGCGGCCACGGAAGCGTTCACGGCGACGAAGCCGACGACATCCCGATTCTCTTCACGGAAGAGCAGCAGAGTTACGTTCGAGAATTGGATCGGAAGTCGGCTTCTCTCACCCGCGCGATCCAAGATCTGCGACAGAGGTTGCCTCCTGCCGACATCTCCCAGCGCCTGCCTCACCTTCTTGCCCACTCCCTCGCCTCCAATGCCGCTCTGACGATGCAGTTGAACGCTCACTCTGCCACCAAGGAGCAGGTACAATTTTTGGAATCGAATTAAAGGGGATTGTCATCATTTTTTTGTGTAGTTATTCGCTGCAAGAACTGAAACTCATTGCCGCACTTACCCATGGTGTAATTTTCGTTTGTGTGATCATGAATTGAGATCCCTGATCAGCTGGGTAGGAAGAATAGCTCTGGGGATTCAGATTTACTGGAAATCTAGGGGCTTTTAGTTGATCCAGAACTTGTTTGGTACCTGCAGACCCAGTTGAGAGAAGTGACATTGCAGGAAGAAAATGCTGCATACGAAAGAGCTATTTCAAATTGTGAAAGCAAGATTCAAGAGAAAGTTCAGGAAACAGATTTACTTCAAAGGAAGCTGAAGGTAGGGCTAAATTTACTATTTACAGCTGTTCTTTGATAATCTTTTATATTGTGATAGGAGCAACAGTGGTCAATCTGTATTCAGTTCTTGGGTTATCTCTACTTCGGAGGATCAGATTTTCATTATCAAGCTTATGGCTTTGAGGGGGATATAAACTTATGATGTTTTGTTTTCTCAATTTCCGAGAAGTTGAAACTGTTTCACTTCTTATTTTTATGGATCATCATCATTGTCAGGAAATCGACGATGTTGAGATTAATTTGAGAGAGCAGATGGAAAATGTAGAGGCTGCAAAAGTTAGTGAGTCAGCAAAATCTAGTGATCTTGTTGTACTGAGAAAGGAGGTTAGGGAAGGTTCAGATGCAGAAGCTGCCAAAGTTTCTGTACTTGAGAAGTTGGAGGCGAAGAAAAAGGAACTGGTAATTATGCACAACGCCCATTCTCTGTAAAGTTGCGTTCCCTGTGTTGCTTTCTGAGCTGAATATTGTTCAATCCGCAGAGCTCAATGGAAGAAATTGTTCAAGAGTTGGAAAGAAAGTGGGCACATACCCAGGAGAAAGCATTAAAACAGCCTACACCAGGTTTGCATTTCCATAATCCTGCTAAAGTTATTGAAGGAAGATGAACATGAGAGAGGCAATGTTAAAGGATTGAATTCAATTCATGAAAACATCCAAAAGTGCTTATAAATCCATTAACTATTAAGAAACCTCTATATGGTCCTGTGGAGTTTACCCATCCCCAATGTTAAAGGATCTGCATATGCTAGTGTGCTGTACAATGTTAATCCCTGATAAGAATATTGGCACAGTTTTCATCCTTGGATGTGGCAACTCATTGTAGGGAATTTGACTCCAATTATGTATATATCATGCAGCTCAAAGAGAGAAGATATTGGATAAACAGCTTCACAGCTTAATCGAGCAACTAGCAGCGAAGCAGGTACATACATCCTGCCACTTCAACTGGCCTGGCAAGCTTTTGCCGAATAATAATGCTCTCATGGAGTAATGAGTAAACATGCTGAATTAGCCTTTGATTGTTGATTATAGTCACAAGCAGAAGTCCTGGTGAGTGAAATTCATCTCAAAGAAATGGAGTTGGAAAGATTGAGTGGGTTGTGGAAGCAGATTGAAAGCAACAGCAATGGTGAATCCAATTACGCAGCTAGGAACCGATACGGAAGGAGTAACTCATTTAAGATATCTGCAGGTTCCTTAGATTACATGTCTGACAAGCTTCCTCATTCCACTGGCGGTCGGACTGAGTACCAGCAACGACTTGTGTTACTGAGGTCGGCTTTTGTGCTCTACATTTTGTTCTTACACATTGTAGTGTTCATCAAGCTTTCATTTTGAGAGGAACACTGTGCAATGAATTCTTTTTCTTAGTATTCGTTGTACATAATTATTTCCCATACCATTTGTATAATTTGTTTCTTTGTCTTTTACAAGATAAAAGTTTTTGATTCATCTGTTGTCTTGAACGATTGCTATCCCTACTGTTGTAATAGATTTGATTAAGTGCTCATACACTTTAGTTCCTTGCAGTCCTTTTCCAATTTTTTTGGTGGAATGTTCTTCTTTCGTTATCCCACTCGGGCTAGAACACTTATGATGGAAGATAGTAATTGCGAGCCATCTGCTTTTCGGAATACTCCATCTGATCTCTCAAGTGTTCATCCTCGCCACAATCTCAATGTACGTATCATGTTCATGCTAGTGGAAGCTTGAGCAAGAAGAGTGATGTTTACAGCTTCGGAATCATTCTCCTGGAGATAATAACTGGGCGGCCAGCCATAATGCATCAGCAAGGAGAGCAGACCTACATCGTCCACTGGATCAATCCCATCATTGAAGCTGGCGACATACGTAGCATAGTCGATCCCAGATTGCAAGGTGAATTCAGCACCAACTCCGCTTGGAGAGCTGTCGAGGTAGCCATGTTATGCATTGCATCAACTGCAGCTCGCAGACCGGATATGAGCAATGTTCTAGCTGAACTGAAAGAGTGTGCTGCACTAGACATGGTGGCTAATACTACAACAACTCAAATCACTCAGCAGCAACAACATCCGCGCAACTGGTACCGAAATGCTAGCTCCTAGAGTTCGATAATCCGACGCCATACTTCGAATAAGAATGTAGCATGAATCTTAGTACCCATTTGATTTCCAGATTTTACAACACACAAATACATAGTAGTAGTATCATCATCATCATCATCTGCAAAAATGCAGGAGTAACAAAGAGCTTTAATTTACCTAAAACTTCATCTTCCTGTCACTCGAATGCAGCCTCTCCTGATACGATCTAACCTTTTCCATCCTCAATGTCTGCAGCAAGAAATCGCTCCACGTATCGATCGGACCGGGCAAGCACCAATGCACACAGTCATTGTACAGAGTCACATTCGCATCGGGAAGGTGGCCGTAGCTGCTGGGATGCCCATCAGGTCTCAACAGCATCGCCTCCGTGGTATCCAAAACCCTAAACTTCAACCCTTTCTCCTTCCCTTCTCTCTCGGCAACCCTAAATTCCTCCATCTGCACCATGTACATCTCCAAATTGATCCCTTCCAGCCTCGTCTCGTTCCGCCGGAAGGGCCGCGTCCGGACGCAATTTCCCCCCTGGTTCCACTCCCCGTTCTCGAAATGCGACGGCGAAAATGTGCGGAGGATCGTCAGCCCTTTGTAGTCCGGCGAGCTGTTGATCGCTTTGAAAGCTGTTCGGAAGGCTTTTCTGTAGCCGTAGTACATGGGGAGGTCGGCGACGTTGTCGAGCTGGCAGAAGCGGCAGCCGGCGAGGCGGCGGTTCTCGTAGTAGAGTGCCGGGCGGTAGAACCAGTGGCCGGCGTTGATGATGACGTAGTCGAATTCGTGGATCTGGGCCGTCCAGTCCGTGTTGGGCTCGTCCAGGTAGAGATTGAACAGGCCCGTGTGTGTGGGCCCGTTGGAGTCTTCCTCGTCGGCCTTCACCAAATGGGGGGCCCAAAATGAGGCCATGGTGAAATTGTGGGACGGGTAGTTCCAGCGCTTGAAGTTTTCGTCTGCCGTGGTGGAAACGTCAATTGGATACGCCACCTGGAAATTAAACAATATATGATTTATACAGAATTAGAAGATTTCTACTGATAAGATGGTAATTAATACTTTAATTAATTAATGGAGATTAACAGTTTAGGAGGCGCTAATAGGACAAAGAAGAATTCAATCAAAACGGTTGGTGAAGGGTTCACTCTTCCTTCAGCGATTAGGGTCCATAATAAGTTTGTGATTATCCCTAAACCGGCTTAAAGTTGGAAGATTATTGATGGCCGATGGGACTTGACGGGATATTGGAGGCAATTAATTCCATTTGTTATCTATAATTAGTATTTTCTAATATAAAATGGACGAATTGTGTCGTTGTGTAGTGTATAGATTGATTGCGTATTTAAGCATAATCACTTAATCAGTCTGGTGGTTAGCAAATCTTTTCCCTAATACCGGTTGGGATGTCAATTTATATGAGAATGTGAAATGACATAAAACAAAGAAATATATATATTTGGCTGGGCTGGCAATACGTACTACTACTATACAAAATTATGGGCCCAACTACTCTTTTTATGTGATCGGATCTATCGGCCCTATTCACCTTTTTAGCAAAGATTTTGACTTGATAATTGAAAAACTGTATTATTAAGCGATATCGAAAAGCTGGGGAAAAAAAAGTGATATCGAAAATGTAAGGAATATGATATTTATGTCGAAATCGCAATTTAACTGTGATTCAATCATTTTATATAGTTAAAAATCCTTTTTTCCTAACATGACGATACATACAATACGATTTCACAAACCCTATTATTCGGAAGATTCCCACCACCACGTCCATTATTCCCACCCAGTTTATGCATATGCCAACAACTCTGTACTATGCAAATTATTGATTGGAGCTCAACGTGGAAGCTCGTTTCAGTTTGCCTACTCCTTGTCAAGAAATCAAAGCATCTTTAGGTCAACTAACTCCACAAACACACAGCCTATTATATGTTTGTTGAACCAAATCTAACAGTCTGTAACAAAGATACATCATACGGCTAGCTATAGCAAGCTAATTATATTATATATATATATATGCACATGCAGATAAATAAGTGGTCACCCAATAACTTAATTTCGTTAGACACGTCGTTAACTTAGTGGTCACCCAACAACTTAATTTCGCTAGACACATCGTTAACTTAGTTGTACGTGACGGTGAATATTATAAAATAACATATTCTTATTCTCTTACTACTCACGTAACTGAAAGAATATCGTTATTTTATACGAAGTGAATTCCATTTCGCAGTAAGTATATATACTTACCCTGGAGAGCAAGCAAATCAAGGACTGCATCTGGTTCCTCCCAACAGAATCGCCGACAAACGCCAGCGACTTCCCCCTCACGATCTCGAGGAACTGCGCCGGGTTGAACACGGGCAGCTCGCAGCCGTCGGGCTTCCAGCGCCACCGCATGAACCCGCCGTCGGGGCGGCCGTACTTGACGCAGTTCTGGTGCTCGTGGATCGCCCAGCAGGTCGCGTTGGTGTAGTACGGCGCGTCGGGGTTCGGCACCCACTCGCCCTCGTAGATGTCGCACCCCAGCGAGTCATGATTGTCGGCGGCGGGCACCGGCGGCGGTGTTGCTGCCTGGCCGTGATCAGGCGGCGGCGGTTGTGATGAGAAGAAGTTGTTGAAGTGGCGGTGGCGGCCGCCGCCGAGGGAGCGGTAGCAGAGAGGGAGGACGGTGAAGGCGGCGACGAGGGTTAGGGTGAGGAGGAGGGTTAGTTGGGGCTTCAACTCCATGGCGCCATTGAGTAGCTTCATGTCTTTTTGGGAAGGGAATGAGAAGGAGGGAAATGCAATGAAGTGGGGAGGGGAGTATTTATAGGACTTAGACTCATGTGTGTAGTATGACAATCACCACATATCTTGTGTGTAATGAGGTGTGGAATGGTCTGGTTCGTATAATGCGTTTTAGTCCTTGGTCTGATGAGTATTATAATCGTTTAATGAAAAAAGGGATTGAGTTTACATATGGATCGGACCAAACCGGAATAATGGGATCGAATGCAATAGTGGTATACGTGGTAGTTGGTCCTATTAATTACGATGTCTTTCACTAATGGACTGCGGTTATAATGAGTTTGGAACTAATTATATATGGACCGTACGTGGGATCTCGTGAGTTTGGTCCATTCCGGATTGGGCAGGACCCGTTGGACACCTCCCTATATGCGGGTTGGGGGCGCGCGGGTGGAGACTAGGGAGTGTGCAACAGTTTGGTCAGTACCAGTCTGTATCGGACCAAACCGGACGGTTGGATCAGACCATACCGAATCGAATATAATTAATGTAGGTCGGTCGTTCGTTGATTCCATAATATTACAAGACTTGAAGAAAATACAATTGGCATTTGAATCCGATCAAACTAATCAAAACCGAATACACGGTATATTCGATTGTTGATTCTAAGATGTATTTCACTGTTTGACCGGAATTCTCATGGAAAGGAAAATTATATATGTCACAAGTAACTGCGATAAGGAGAACAATCGTGTTAGCAAAGGATTTTTAGCGATAATTAAAGCATTTCATTTCATCGATCATCAAATAAAGAGTCGGATATGGAGTTTCTTATTTGTGAACCACCAGAAATCAACGAATTCTTTTGTGAAAGAGTACGTACCCTTTGTTTGTTATATAAAAAAGCAAGACACATAAAAAGGTAGAGACAAAGTTGGAAGAAAAAACACTCAACAATCTCACCAAAAACTTGAGATTTAACTATCAATCATTTTGAGTGATAGTTTGTGTCACGTCAAACAAACAATGCATGTATTATTTGTGCAGAAAATTCAAAAAAACGATGCATTGTGGACAATGCATGTATTGTAACTATCTCAACCAAACAATCACCAAAACCAAGCTGTAACTTCATGTATTGTTTTTTGTTGCAGCAGGCCCTAGCCCCTAGGTGTAACTTCATGTACTTGCGTGCGGCTAGGGCTAGCTAAGTCATTAAGCTCTAAAATCCCACAGTAAAATCCTAAAACTAATTTACAATAATAAGGTAGCTAAGCAATTCTTTGATATTAATTGGTTGGTTATTTTCGAGTCAAACGAATAAATTATGTTTTTGGTGGTCGCTCGACAGATAACACTCTAGCGACTCCGAAGACTTAACTTCCCATTTAACTTGCTTGTCAAGCTATCAGAAAAGGTTTAGATTCTTAGAATATATTACTATTTAATATTTTCATTGTGTGAATATTATCCCTTTATCATTGACCTCCTTGGACTTAACGGTGTTCTTCGATAGTGTATTTTTCATTATGTAACTAATGTTTTGTTCTGTGGGGTTGCGCAGATGATCATCCATATGATTAATGAAAAGAATTCAAGACACGCGTTGGGCTGCAACCTTCTCTCCGAGGTTTAGGTTTTTCGCGCCTCAATGTAGCCTCCATCGTTTCACTTCGCGTCGCGTAAGTATAACATGATTGTCCATCTCGTGGAGAAAAAAACCCATCTCGTCGTTGGTTTGTCGACCAACCACTCTTACTTAATTCTTCCTTGTAATTTTGACCTGCGAAAGTCCTATTGTTTTGATATTGTCGGCTTTGGGTCTCAACCCTCACAGTTCTTGCCTTGGTTGCAATTCAATGTGACTTCCCATAAAATCACCCATCCATGCTATACTTCATACCGGGAACGTTTAACTTCGGAGTTCTTGTAAACTCTTTCATTCCTCCATACGGTTCTTATCAATTAAGCACAATTTCTTACGTATCAATCATGGATCTCTTCTATACTTTGCCGATACTGAAATTTATACACGGTGTCACAACATAGCTGTTTCGTATACCTCCCAAGAACAAAAAGAAACGATAACGGATTCGACTTCTTTCACCGAAAAGAAATGAAAATCTATCTATCTATCTATCTATCTATCTATACATAATATTATGGCAATTCAAAATTAAATTTTTGCCACATAAGCACTTAGAGAGATTTCAAGTTGCCAAGGTGGATAATTTTTTTACCAAAAAATAGTTATTGACCTATTTATGGAGTTGTCCCTCTCTCTTCATTTAATATTTAATTCTCTTTTATCCAATAATTATTTTACTTTTGTTTTTTGCATTATATCTATAAATAATATATGGAGAGAAAAGTTATCAAACCATTTAGCAAGTGGAATGGTTTTACCAGTGGTACAACCGGTTTGTGTCGTTTCATGTCGGTTAATAAAATATATAAAAATATCAAAAAATTATTAATATCAAATGAATTTAATCATATATAAACCATATTTGAAGACAATTTACGTACAATTCATATTGATATTTGAATAAAATATGATATTTCAAATAAAAGTACATGTACTCATACTTAAATTCACTAAAACTACCTAATTTACTTAGAAATTCGTAAAACGATCATACCGGTCATACCGATGGTGTCATGTCGATTTCATGACCGGTAACGGTTGAATGATTCGATCGATACCGATTGAATGGTTCAACCGGTGGCATGCCGGCCAACATGACAATAATGATGGAGTGCGACATATAACACATTTTGGTTTTGCATTATATCGATGTACGCAACAGTATACTAATGTTCATAGAGTGACATATATATCACACTTTTTAAACCTAAAAAATATATGATTAAAGATTACCATATAAATTTCTGCTCATTTTTAATAAACTTAATAATAATTTACATTTTAATGAATAATTTAAACAAACACACAAAAATAATAATATTTTGTCGATAAGGTCTGAACGAAACTTGACAAAGAAATAATAGTTATTTATTAAACTAGCTTCTTATTCATTCTGATCAAGTGAAAACATATGAATCGCATGTGCAGTATTTATTATGTATCCTAAGTTCACATTACTAATATTTTCTCTAAGTCATGTTGATTGAGCAAGTTCTATTGAGGTCTTACATCATATGCTAAGAAAATTTCTTTTCAGACTTGGAGTTATTTATCGTTAAAGATTATAAATTGAAGTTTCTAAAATGACTTGAGTATAATAGTTGATGAACTTTGACTTCATATTCTAGGATGAGACATGAGATCACTAGAAAAATGAAATGTGTGAAATTTAGAGAAATCTTTGTTAAGGATGCACATAAAACATCACATTTCATGCTAAGAAAAATCTAAATTCGAAGATTGAGGTAATAAATAAACATTAATGTTTTACTTCACATATATAACAAAAAACATTTATAGTTACAACAGTGTAAACCGAGCTATTGGGTCAAAAGAAGAATATTTAATAAATATGAGTTTAGTAAGAAAATTGTAACAAGTCTATATAGTTGTGAGTCTGTGATTACATACCAAATTTTGGCAATAATAAAAAAAATTGATATCATATTCCACCCAATGAGCTGAGTTCAAAAGTATTAATTAGTGTTGAAAGTAAAATAAACTCTCAGTATATATATGTTTAGATATTAACAATAAATGTGTCTATAATACATCCAATAATTTAAATACACGTGAAAAGCCACAATGTTTGTATGAACTTTAAAATTTTGCTACAAAATATTTTGTTAAGAAATTATAATTTAATTATTCAAGGAATACATAATTATGAATGCACCTGAAATATTTGTCGGTCGTATACACATTTTACCAATTATTAATATAAGTAATGAAAATTTTGTTTTAGAATAAACACCAAATATAAAGAAATTTTAGCGAATGGACATTCAAATAGTTGAAAAGTTATACATTGAAGGAACATGTTAAGATGAGAACCTTCGACAGTGTATATGAATCCTTGGATTCAGTTTTTTTTTTATCAATCCTTGGATTCAGATTCTAAACGAACATCTAGACAAAAGACATGGGTTGAGGGTTAGTACAAACTTAAAATATTAGCAATTGTAATAAGTTGCTATACAAAGACTTCATGAACATCAACAATAAAAATGAATGAGGTTTAGAGAATTTAATCATTTTAAGGGATATGATGTTTGTCAAATTTCAATTAGGATAAACATAATTTATCCCGTAATCAAGTATATTTTTTCAATAATTTGAACTATGATTAATTGGGTGAGAGTTCGTACATACTCGAGAATCATGAATTGACATATGTTGTATAAGATAATAAATTTGAGCATCTTGGTGGAAAATATTTTATATACGATCCTAAATAGGACGTGATAAACCTTAACGACAAGATTTATGATTAGAGAATAAAAACATCACAAATGAGTGTGCTAACTATTAAATATTATTCGATATAGACATACCACATATTCACTTATGAAGCGAGAGCATAAAATGTATACAAGATCCAAAAAGTTCAAAACATGTAGATAAGTTAACTAATATAAATAATAAAATGAATTTCTCCGGCCAACTGTCCGAGTAGAAAACTAGTGATTATTAAGTGACGGTTCACATCCAAATCAAACGGTGCACATCTGATGCAAAAACATCGGACGGTTCATAAGGATCTCGCACTAAAACTAAACCCGTCCCGTTATTATTTTATTATTTCCACCAACACTATAAATAGCACTCTCCTTCCCTCCCAGTCTCTCAACAGAGTTCGCGCTGCTGAAATTCTCAACAGAGTCCGCCACTCAAGCTAAGCAGAAGAAGTATTCTCTAGGAAAAGCCCTAATTCCCTGCTCCGCCATGGTGAGGAACGTCGTCTCTGACGAAGAAGGTATGCAAATGCCTCCCTGGAACCCTAATTTGTCTCCCTTTTGGCGGCCTCGCTTCTACATTTGGTTGAACTCGAATTTTGCACCTTGCAGAAGATGTGGAGCTCGACGAGGAAGAGAACGAACCCGCAGATGCAGTTGAAGATGACGAGGAGGAAGACGATGGTACGCGATCACTCGAATTTCTGAACTCTGTCTTCTTCCCTTTCGGTTTTGTCCCACGGCGGAATTGTTGTTTTTTTCTTTCCTGCTGTGGCGATAATTTTCTAGGGTTTTTTTTTGCTGCTCGAGCAATGTTGGCTTCGTTCGATCGGGGGGAAGCGTTTTTATTTTTCTTGGCAACTTTTTTGACGTGTTTAGTTTTTTTGCATGGAACTTGGGGGGGTTTTGTGCAGAAGAAGGGCAGGATGAGTACGAAAAGGATGATTTCATAGTGGACGATGTCGAGGAAGAGCCCGAGGAAGAAGGGAGGGCAGATAGTGACGAAGAAAGGCAGAGGAAGAAGAAGAGAAAGAAGAAGAGGTGAGTGATCTCTCATTTTCTTCTTCGCGTTACTACTTGGTTGTTGTTTCGATGGCTCATCTTTTTTCTTTCTGCGGTGTGCAAACAGAGAAGCTGAGGTTCTAGATGAAGATGACTATGAACTCCTAAGGGACAACAACGTTTACCCTCAGAGACCCAAAGTCGTGACATATCTTGTGCTCTTTTTCCTCGGATATGGAATGCAATTTCGTTTCCTCTCTCCTTGTAAATTTGCTGTTTTGATTGATTGTACTTGGGATTTGCCTGTTTCTGTTTGCCTGGAAAACCTCAGGATACCAAGAAGTTCAAGAGGCTTAAGAAGGCTCGACGGGACGCAGATGATGATCGGGATGGGGTTTTTGCGGAGGGAGATGGATCTGGTAAGGGTGGGCCTGAAGAAAAACTGAGTCGCACCTTGTTTGACGATGATGAAGGTAAGTGGCATAAAATTACTTTTGATTCCTGGAGGTGGTTGAAGTTGGTTAGTTACAGCGTCCCCCAATAGAATCAAACCCAACTGCGTCTCTTCAGGACAACGGTTTGAAGATATTGCTGAAGAAGAGGAACAGATGGAAGAGGAGGAGGAAGTTGAAGTTGGAGAAGATGATGATATGGCAGATTTCATTGTGGAGGAAGAAGAACTCGATGAGCATGGAGTTCCTGTGAGGTATGTAACTCGTATAAATCAAACACATGCCATATGTTGCCCCTTTGTCGAGTGTTAAGTTTGTGAACTAGTGTGCTTAATTTGTAGGCATAAGAAGGTGAAGAAAAAGAAGTCAAGGCAATCATCTGGAGCTTCATCTTCTGCTTTGCAGGAAGCTCATGATATATTTGGCGATGTGGATGAGCTCATCAAACTGCGTAAGCAACAAGGATTAGATTCGAATAATGAATGGAGGGAAAGGAGATTGGAAGATGAATTTGAACCCTCCGTACTTTCTGAGAAATATATGACTGAGAAAGATGAGCAAGTTCGACTCAGTGATATTCCTGAAAGAATGCAGGTCATTTGAATGTACATGTATCTGGTTTCTTTCTATCATTCTTTTGTTATTGAGGATCCGCCATTCATGTTGCTATTGCTGTTACATCCTGTAGATATCTGAGGAGAGTACTAGTTCTCCTCCAACTGATGAAGTCCTCATCGATGATGAGAGCACTTGGATATATAATCAGCTTGCTAGTGGCGCAACATCTCTGCAGGGTGTAACCATTAATAAAGATGATATCGTCCAGTTTTTGGAGCTACATCATGTGCAGAAGTTAGATGTTAGTATTCATGATCTCTTTGATATTTCAATTTCTGTTCAATTTGCTTTCACCTCACAACATCTGCTACTGGTGCTTCTAGGTTCCTTTCATTGCCACATACAGGAAGGAAGACTGCTCTAGCCTGTTGAAAGACCCTGGGCAACTTGAGAATGACTATGATAATCAGGATAATGACCAAACACCAAAATTGAAGTGGCACAAGGTTAGGAATTCAACATTTTCCCCATCCTCCTCTGGATGAAGGCTAACACATTAAGAACAAAAGCAGGATCTTCTCCGCTGACTTAAAGATTACTTTTCTGTAGGTGGTTTGGGCAATTCAGGATTTAGACAGGAAGTGGCTCCTCCTGCAGAAGAGAAAAAGTGCACTCCACTTATACTACGAGAAGCGATTTGACGAAGAATCTAGGCGCATTTATGATGAGACAAGACTTAATTTGAACCACCACCTTTTCAAGTCTATTATCAAGGCGTTGGAGGCTGCAGAATCAGAACGGGAGGTCGACGATGTTGATGCTAAGTTTAATTTGCATTTTCCTCCAGGTGAGTTAGGTGTGGATGAAGGGCAGTATAAGAGGCCTAAAAGAAGATCACAATACAGTATCTGTAACAAAGCTGGTCTATGGGAAGTTGCTAGCAAGTTTGGCCCTAGTGCGGAGCAGCTCGGCTTAACCTTGTCATTGTTAGCGATGGTGAGCTTGCTTTTTCTTGTTGCATATCTACTTAATATAAAGTGAGGAGACTGAATATTGTGGAAAAATTGACCATTAAGAGTTATTCCGATATTGTTTTTGTTCCACTCTCTCTCTTTTCTACAGAGTTCAGCTTTGGAGGATGCCAAGGAAACACCTGAAGAGATGGCTTCAAACTTTACATGTGCAATGTTTGAAACTCCACAGGCTGTTCTTAAAGGGGCCAGGCACATGGTATGGATGATATTTTTATGTCCAATAGCTGAGTGCGGCTAAGCTCTGGGCGCTAGCTCTTTGTCCATTGTACCTTAGTTCGGGGAGCTTTTAGCAATTCAAGATTGAATATGATCTCTATCATAAGATGTGTTAGAACCTCTCGTTTTCATTTTTTTTTCCTTTGCTTTCAGGCTGCTGTTGAGATAAGCTGCGAGCCATATGTCAGAAAACACATCCGTGGTGTTTACATGGAGCATGCAGTCATATCCACCGCTCCAACTCCTGATGGGAATACAACAATAGATTCTTTTCATCAGTTTTATGGAGTGAAATGGCTGCGTGAAAAACCAATGAGTGAATTCAAAGATGCACAATGGCTTCTTATACAGAAGGCTGAAGAGGAGAAGCTTCTTCAAGTGACCTTCAAGCTTCCAGAAAAACGTATGGAGTTGTTGGTCAATGAATGCAAGGAGCTTTATTGTAGTGATGGGGTCAGTAAATCTGCCCAGTTATGGAATGAGCAAAGGCAATTAATAGTGCAGGATGCTCTTTTTGGGTTTCTTTTGCCCTCAATGGAGAAAGAAGCGAGATCATTGCTAACAAGCAAATCTAAGCGCTGGCTGCTTTGGGAATATGGGCAAGGTTTGTGGAATAAAGTGTCTGTTGGCCCATATCAAAGAAAAGAAAGTGACCCGTCTGATGATGATGCTGCTCCGAGGGTCATGGCATGCTGTTGGGGTCCTGGAAAGCCTGCAACAACTTTTGTTATGCTAGATTCCTCAGGGGAGGTGCTGGATGTGCTTTCTACTGGGTCACTTACATTGCGTTCTCAAAATGTTGATGACGTGCAAAGAAAGAAGAATGATCAACAACGAGTTCTCAGATTTATGATGGATCACCAACCACATGTGGTCATACTAGGGGCTGTGAATTTGTCTTGTACAAGGCTTAAGGAAGACATGTACGAGGTATGTGTCAAATATTTGTTATTTTCTATCCCATTGATTGTTTAGGGGGTACCACTCAGATCTATTATTATTTTAATTCCCTTTCTTTCTCACATTCTATTTCTTTATCGTTTCTAGAGGCATGAGAATTAGATGTGATTTCCGTCTTCAATAATTAGGGATCAATATTGTTTTTCCTTAATTGGGAACTGCATGTTTTCCTGAACCTGTCTTATTCATAGCAAGTGATTTATCAAACATGCGGGGTTTTAGTGCTGCTTCCATGGATTGAGTTTCGGTTTCCTGTTTGTGGTTGAATTTTGCATCACTTCTTGAACAGTTCCCGGTCCCGTCGCTACTTGGAAGTTACTTGTGAAGATTCGTTTCTTGATGTTCATGTTTGCAAAAGAAGTTTGTGAATCTCGTTTTGCGTAGATCATACTTCCAAATGCTTTATTTAGAATGAGCTGCTTGATTGTCTTCTTCCTGATGCTCATTTGATTTTTGCTTGGAATCTCCAGATCATTTTTAAGATGGTGGAAGATAATCCCAGAGATGTGGGACATGATATGGATGAATTAAGCATTGTCTACGGGGATGAGTCTCTGCCTCGCCTATATGAAAACTCGCGGATTTCCTCTGATCAACTCCCATCTCAGCCAGGTGAATACAGCTGACTGGCCACTCGTCTTATGGGTGTGTTTCTGTTTAGCTTTATGTTAAAGAAAGTCATAGTAAGTGTGAAGAAAAATTTATATCCAACTTTCGTGAAACGATCAGGCATACCTATACTGTTTGTTTATCTTCTAATGGTAGATGGCTTAGATTCTAATAATTTGCAGATTTTGCGCGAGTAGTATGTTCAATAAGGGGTTTCAACTTTTAACTGAACCTTTTAGTGTATTTTGAAGCTGAAACAAGCTGACCCCATATCTCATTAATTAACTGAGACTCCAAATCTATTGTGGGGGATCAGGAATCGTGAAGAGAGCTGTTGCTCTTGGACGCTATCTCCAAAACCCGCTGGCAATGGTTGCGACCCTGTGTGGGCCTGAGAGGGAGATCCTGTCCTGGAAGCTCAACCCACTGGAGAGCTTCCTAACCCCAGATGAAAAGTACACTATGGTTGAGCAAGTCTTGGTCGATGTCACTAGCCAGGTCGGTTTAGATATCAATCTCGCCATAAGCCACGAATGGTTGTTTGGCCCCTTGCAATTCATATCGGGTCTTGGTCCAAGAAAAGCGGCATCTCTTCAGAGGTCACTCGTAAGGGCCGGAGCAATCTTCACTAGGAAAGACTTTGTCACTACCCACAGCCTAGGGAAAAAAGTGTTTGTCAATGCAGTCGGTTTCTTGCGTGTTAGACGTAGCGGCCGTGCAGGCAGCAGCAGCCAGTTCATTGATTTGCTGGATGACACTCGGATTCATCCGGAATCTTATGGCCTCGCTCAGGAGATGGCGAAAGATATTTATGAAATGGACAATGGTGAAGCAAATGATGACGATGATCTTGAAATGGCGATAGAGCATGTTCGTGAGCATCCTACTCGGTTGAAGATCCTCAATCTCGATAAATATTTGAAAGACAAAAAAAGGGAGAACAAGAAGGAAACGTTTAAGGATATCAAAAGGGATCTGATACAAGGGTTTACCGATTGGCGGAAAAGGTACAAGGAGCCAACTCAGGAGGAAGAGTTCTACATGATTTCCGGGGAGACCTTGGAGACGCTCTCTGAGGGTAGAATTGTCCAAGCAACTGTGCGTAGGGTGCTACCTGGGAAGGCAATATGCGTGCTGGAGTCTGGGTTGACTGGAATTCTGACAAGGGAGGACTACGATGATGATTACAGAGATATCCACGAGTTGTCCGAGAGGATTCATGAGGGGGATGTGTTCACTTGCAGGATTAAGGCGATCGATATGAACAGGTACCAGGCAAATGTGGCTTGCAAAGAGAGCGAATTGAGGAACAATCGACTGTCCCAGCAGGTGCAAGATCTTGACCCGTATTACCACGAGGATACAGTTAATTTGCACAGTGATCAGGAGAAGGCTCGCAAAGAGAAGGAGCTCGCAAAGAAGCATTTCAAGCCGAGGATGATTGTCCATCCTAGGTTCCAGAATATAACTGCTGATGAAGCTGTGGAGGTACATACATTTTAGCCTCAAATTTTTTGTCTGTGGTATGGAATTCATGCCATATATTCTGCAATGGATTCTGATATCTTTTTCTTTCTTTCTTCCATGCAGTTCTTGTCTGACAAGGAGCCGGGGGAAAGCATTGTACGCCCTAGTTCTCGTGGACCATCTTTCCTCACTCTGACGCTGAAAGTGTACAACGGAGTTTATGCCCACAAAGACATAGTCGAAGGTGGCAAGGAGGTTAAGGACATCACAAGTCTACTCCGGATAGGGAAGACATTGAAGATTGGGGAGGACATGTTCGAGGATTTGGACGAGGTCTCTCTCTCTCTCTCTCTCTTTCACCTTCTCACGTTTCATACGTGAATTGATCTCTGTACCATTTTCTCTCATTAGGTTTTTGGTGCATGTTTATTCTGTTGCCTATAGGTAATCGATCGGTATGCAGATCCTCTTGTGGTTCACCTGAAGTCGATGCTAAACTACCGCAAGTTCAGAAGGGGAACAAAGGCAGAGGTAGATGAACTCCTGAAGATGGAGAAATCAGAGTATCCCATGAGGATAGTCTATTCCTTCGGCATTTCCCACGAGCATCCTGGCACGTTCATCCTAACTTACATCAGAAGCACGAATCCACACCACGAGTACGTGGGCTTGTACCCGAAAGGATTCAAGTTCCGCAAGAGGATGTTCGAGGACATCGATAGGCTCGTCGCTCACTTCCAGAGGCATGTAAACGATCAACTCCACAAATCAGGGCCGTCCATTCGATCGGTCGCTGCCATGGTTCCAATGCGTAGCCCAGCAGGTGGCGGGTCTTCTGGAGATGGCGGTGGCTGGGGTTCGAACAATGACGGTGGTGGATGGAAAGGAGGAGAAGGAGACCGCTCTTCCGGTATTGCCCTGCATATCCCTTGTTTATTCCCGAGATCCCCCCTCTACTTGTAGACTACTAACCATGTTTTCTGCTACTGTCAGAACGGAATGATTATCGAAATGGTGGTGGTGGGTGGAGCTCTGGTTACGATCGTCCCAAGTGGGACTCTGGTGGCCGTGGTGGTGGCAACAACAACGATACTAGTAGCTGGGGCAGCTTTGCAGGCAACAGAGCTCAAAACTCACCTACCAGAGAATCCGGAGGCGGTGGTGGTGGGTGGAGCTCTGGTGGTGGCGGAGGAGGAAACAGTGCTCGTGACAGTTCCGGCTGGGGTGGCGGCGGCGGTGATGATGGAAACTCAGGGTGGGTTAGTAGTTCGAGGGTGGGGTCGGCACCGCCGCAATCGGACAGTGGATGGGGCAGCGGTTGGTGACGGAAGGGGGCAAAATATGGTCGGCGGTTTGGTTTCTACTTTCTAGTTAGAATGAAAGCAACTCTCCTGTGAATAGTAACTAAAATATACGTAGAAAGCAAGAAGCTGCTCTAATCTTTTGCTCTTATTTTGCTACGGTTGACTGAACTGAACACAATCCGTTTTGAAGCCAAAATAATGTTGTTCAGTCTATTATAGAAAAGCAGCTTTTCGCCTCCGGAGAAAAGCCATTTAGTACCGCGAGTATTTCCGGTCTCTATATTGTTTCAGCATATAATACATAGGGAAAAACACAATGAACAAAATAGAGGTAGGGATTGGCAATTTCGACCTGATCCGTTTTACCCGACCTGTTTTGGGGTGGGTCCGACCCGTCCCGTAGGCGGGGCGGGGCGGGCATGGGTAGTCTCATCGACCCGACCTGCCCTGACCCGCCCCATTCTCGACCCGTTCTTGTCTAAATTACATGAAATCTTAGTCAAATTATTTTGAATTTTACTTTTATCGCATCATATTTTAGCTATAATAAAGTTTTAAATTAGTGAAAACCTCAATTTCTCCAAGAATTTAACTACAATTGTCATAATATTGTTTATTTTCTTAGTTTTATAATAAAAATAACGAATATTTCTAATGTTTTTCAAATAAATTGCATACACATTGGATCGACCTGCCCCGACCCGCGACCCGTGATCAATTACCCGACCTGGACCCGCCCTGCCACGGGGCGGGTTTGGGTACCAAGAAACCCGCCCCGGACCTGCCCATTGCCATTTCTAAATAGAGGTCCAAAGCTTGAAACAATATTACAGACTTTGTGCTTGTCGGATTTGTTTCTTGCCTTTCTAGCTGTTGCTGCTTGTACCAGTCTCCACTCTCAGGATGAACTTTCCTGTGGAACATGCGCATGATCTACAGAACGAGAAAACGCGACCAGACCAACATCGAACATGTAAGGATTAGGTACAGACATGTCTAACAGTTAAACCGATTCTTTAATTTCCAAGGGAGGATAGTTCATTAAAAACAAAATATTTCTTGTTTCAACTAGTATGTCAACGTGCTATGTCATTTAACGTTATGGTACAACTACAGGTTATACATTAAAGCACCAACGCTTTATAGCATAGTAAAAGTACCGTCTGAAATCAAAGGTCAATCAATATTCAAATAAAAATAATTTGAATATCATTCAACATATCAAAACCCAACATTGACTATGAGGTTTCTTATTTGTGAACCACCAGAAATCAACGGATTGTTTTTGTGTAAAAGAGTACGTACGGAGTGGGAAAACTCTTTGAGTTGCGTGCTCTAAGCTGCAACCTTTCTCTCTCTGTATATTATAGCCTCACACTATATATACGGGAAGTTGTTACGCTCATCCATTCTGTAATCTCCACCACTCACCATTTCCATCTCTCTCTTCCCTCTCTCTCTCTCTCTATCAAAGACTTTCCCACACCGCCGGGAAGCGGTTAGTAACTGACTCTCCCACCTTCTTCTTCTTCTTCTTCTTTATGTTGGGTACTAATTATTTTTTGTGGTTGCAGCAAATATTTAGGCTAGGATGATGATGGGGTTGGAGAAGCTGGTGGTGAGGCTGAAGTCGAGGCTGATGAAGGCGACGCACAGCTACAGGAAGAAGGCTTCTTCTTCTTCTTCTTTTTCTTCCGCCGGCGGCGCCGGCGGCGAGGAGCAGTATTACTACGACAAGATGGAGAAGAGCGAGAGCATGAGGGTGGAGATCCGGAGCCGGAAGGCGCAGAAGCTCATCCAAGACACCCTCAAGATCGCCGATTCTCCCACCACCAGAACTTACGCCATCTAGTCCAATTAGTACGAATCGGAATCTCTGTGCGCGCGCGCGCGTTTGTTTATGAAATGGAACGATATCGTACTGATTGAGCTGGTTCTTGTCAGTTTGGGCACAAAGTATTATAATTTGTTCCGTATAGTTGAATTTCGGTTGTGTAATGTATAGTTTGAAAGGGAATCTTTCATGTTAGGCGCACGTCAAAATACTTTATGGAAGAAGTATTTATTATTATTTTTTGTTTTTGTTTTGTTTTGAGGGTGTACTGTACTTTTTGGATCTGATGGGGGAAGGAAAAAGAAAGAGAATCATTCTGTTTTGGAGAGCAGTGTGCAAAATGCTTTATTACAGGGCAAAATGGAAACCCGCCTTTTTTTTTTTTGTTTGTTTCTTTGCTTCATGTCGCTAATTGCCCATAATTCTGGTCCATATTCGACCCTCTCCATAACGTGTATTTGTATTATATTTGCTAATTAAGTAATAATAATCTGATAAAAAGAGGCAACAGCCACACACATATTGATGAAGGGAACAAACGGCGCAGAACTCTTCCACGTGCGATGTGCCCTAAAAATCAGTGTCCATGAAACTGTATCATACCGGCGGTTCAACTACGAAATATATACAAGTATCGGAGGCTAATCCGATATGCGCGGTATTTACCGGTATAACGGTTGAACTACGGTTAAACCACGGTTTTACCATAAAATAACCCTACCGCTGACTTTCCCGATACGGTCTCCGGTACGGTTTCATGGACCATGCTAAAAACCATGTCAAGTTGTATATATAAGGTTTGGAGTTCGGACAACAACATGTATGGAAATGGGTACTTGTTCACAAAATGGGTTTCTTAGAACCGGTGCCTACCTACTACGCTGAGTTAGGCACAGACACATGTCATCTCTTTTGGATTTACATATGTACTATTATTTTTGGTGTATTTTTATTTCTCAAACACCAATTTTAATCTATTTCATGCGATTATCAGTCACGAATAATGAATTGCTATTGTGTATTATGACAAAAATAGCATAATACAAAATTTGGGGCCCAAAACCGTAACCCTTTGTGTCTAATTGAGCATTGCACAAAATCAACCAACCTAGCTAGTTCAGATCGCCATCCTCCTCTCAATTTTCAGTCTATTTCGGCCTGATGCTGAAGGGTTTTGCGGTTCATTGGTCAAACCCTATTCATTACTATCAAGCTAGTTTTTCTGTCTAAACTTCTAAAATTAAGACGGGGTTTCTTTCTTTCTTTCTTTCTTTCTTTCTTTCTTTCTTTCTTTCAAACGGATGTTAAATCAAGCCATACACAATCGTAACGTAATCCTTCCCAAATCTTTCATCCACCAATCGGCCGCCAATAAACTTCATTTTCATGAGTTCTAATCTAACTCGCCAATTAACGTTGAAGAGGTGACCTTGGAAAGGATATGCATGCAGCCACAAAGTTGGCAACTTTTCCACAACCTTCGATCTTTTCCACGTAGTAAAGCTACAAAGGGGCCGAGGAAAAGCCTCTTTTGCTGACAATTAATATTTGCAAATCGACATATAGAAGAAGAACGGGACATATGAAAAGATTTGACGTTACGTTAGATTACTGAAGGGAAAAGACACGAATGATGACTAGGCTCTGTCTGCGGACCAAAGAGACACTTGGCTTTACATTATTCACGGGGAAAAAGTGTCTTTAATTAGTTGCTGGTTGTTGTTGTTATTGGACCGGTGTCGTGGATTAGTGTCGATATGTCAGTCATGATACCACGTAAAATTGTGTTTTATGTCTCGTTTCTGCGTTAAGTTTTTCGGTTGTTGTTGGTTGGTATTGGGTGATTATCATCACGTACTCTTGATTGTGTTTGTGAAATTGTACCATAACCGTATTAATGGTTTGACCGGTAAAAATCTTATATCGAAGGTTCGTACTCAATGGTTTAATTTGTTTGATTCTTTATTTGACATTGTACAAAGTCTTAGATAATTTTGGATTTGTCTAGTGGTTTGTGTTAAACCAAGAAGACAAAAATGTATCTACAACATTTGATGATTCTACGAATGGAGTCAGCATATATATAATTTGGATCATACTATGCTTCTGGAGCATGCCAGTCGTCTCCATATATACATAGAGGACATGCTTATCTTTGGGATCAATCAAAGATAAGTGGACTTTATTAAAATGTTATTGTCATATAAAATTCTCCATATAGGACATTGAGATGAATATACAATTATAGGGACTAAATCAAGCACAACGACAAATAAGTTGCATGCATTGTCTCAATGTCTCTGCATTGAGAAGGTCCTTGTTAAATTCCATAGTAGGAATTGTCGTGAGTTAAAGACCCCAAATGGATTCAAGTATTGAACTTAGTACTTACCAAATAATTTCACAACCTGAGTATTTTATGTTAATTGGGTGTTTGATGTATGCAATGATTTGCATAGGACCATATATTGCATATGCGGTAGGACAATTAAATCGGTATATGAGTAATCCTAGTGCTCATCATTGGCAAACATGAAATGAGGCGTGTACTAGAATACCTCAAAGGCACAGTGCAGTATGCATTGACTTATAGTGGATTCCCACCCATTTTGGAAGGATACACCAATGCTAGTTTGATTCTGATGTTAAAGATCATACTTCAACATTGAGATGAGTCTTCTTGCCTGGGGGGAGATATTGTCTCCTACGCCTTTAAAATGCACACGTGCATCACTAGTTTCACTATGGATTCAAACTATGTGATGGTTAAGAGACTTAGTTTATGTAATTCCTTTCTGTTTGAAACCAATATCACATATTACTATCATTTGTGTTAGTAATGCTAATTTGGTTATTAGTGTGTGGTATATGATCTACGATTGAACCTTTTCCAACAACTCGAGTTATTGGGATCAACTGGTTCATGACACAAAGCATATAGTCAAGTGAAAATGGAAAGTGCAGTTATGTGGGAGTTAGGCACGATAAAATATGTGAATTGATCACTCATGAAGTTTTGTCTACATAATATGATCGGACTCGAGATAATTTAGTCGATCATTTGAGGAAATGATTAGCTAGAGACTTGTTAGTCAAGTCTGTGACAAAGATGGTTTAAAGTTCATTTAATTTCTTATCATGGGACACTCAATCCCCCTCTAATACAAGGTTAGAGGTTGAATTCGATAAAATCTCATTATCTTAAATTGAAACACACAATTTGTTATATTGAGGTATATATGTGCTTGTAATCCCGCATGATAGAAATTGGGTTGTATTTGAGGGAAAACAATTTTGAATTCCTCATATGATGTGCCAATACCATAAGCAACTCCATGAATGGATTTACCTGCCGGAAGATAGGTTTGCCCTAAATCAGCTTCCTTTACAACATAGTTCGGATGTAGGAGATTCGTCCTTTGTTATCTGTATGTGGGATGGTGTGGTATGTGTTGAGTCACATTCACCTGGAGGGCTGATCCTAAAGGATGAAGGAGGCTCTGTTGTCTTTGCCATATGGTTGTTTTTTGAGAATATGGTTGACCTCCTTGTGGTTGAGACTTGAGCCTATTGTCCTCTGCGAAGCTATCTAGTGGTGTCAGGACGTTGGCCTTGCTCAAGTTCGATTTGCAGGCGATGTTAAGGTGATCATTGACAAGATTAATGCCAAGGATGTGCGAGACAACCGTGTTGGGGCTATTATATATTGAGGAAATTTTGCGTATGTTGGCTCTGAATAGTGGTTTTTATGTTCAATTTGTAGGTCGGATTGGCAATAGGGTAGCCCATCTTGTGGTTCGGAAAGCCCTTTCTTTGTCTCCGACCTCGTGTCAATTTTTTTATTTTTGTTCATGGGTTCGTTCTAAGGTGTAATGTATGATCTTTCTATCAATCAATATGATTATCTTTTGTTAAAAAAAATCTTTGATGAAGTGCATTATGCAAGTACATTGACAAGAGATTCATTCTTTTTTTTTTTACAGAATTATATAAGAAATTCAATCTACATGAACATAAAATGTAGGCTCTTCGAGAAACCTAGATTTTTATTATGAGAAGAATTAAGACACAATTTCAAAACATAAATAAACTAACAAAGTAGTGCACTTAGAATGTTTTTTTAATCTCAGTGACCAACCATGCAATTATGAATTAACCCCAAAAGATTTGCTGCATTCAAATCGAGGTCTGGTAACAAAATGTCAAGAGGGTCGAAAACTCAATGGGGTTGATTAGTGAGAGCACACTATGCATCAACCGAACTGGCCACCATACGATCATGCTGCCGCAAGTTTAGTTCCCGCGGCTAGGCCGCATGGAAAGCAACAAAATTAACCACTGGATTTAGCCTTCACCAATCCACCAATTAAGACTGTCATTGGTAAACTACACAATATCTGAATACGCTAAACGAGAGAATGAATAGTCACTAGTAGCTGCGGCGGAGAAGAGATTGAAGCTCTGTGCAGTGACGACATGTCCACGGTGACACATAAGGGTCCAGGCAGTAGGAATGAATAACCCGAACCTCGCATACCCGACAATGAACCAGAAGTTCTTCAGGCTCCCAATTCCGGCATTTGGTACAACCCCATCTTTGAAATGACTATTACGAAAAAGCAAATGAACAAAGCCCCATATCAAATCTTATGCTCAAGCTAATGTGAAACCATTACCAGAATTTTATAAGAGAAACCATTTACCTCAGCCCGAAATCCCTGATCGTCTGTTGATGAATCGAGAGGAATGGCGCCACCACACCTCTGTCTAAAACCTCCTATTGCCAAAACAGCAGCATCAGGAATGGTTTGGGAGTAAATTTTCTGGTCGGAACAGTCTGCATCTTCCAGCTTCCTGATGCTAGCAAAGTTAGCCTTGCATAAGGGACATTTCGAAACTTTCCTCACTGAATCCTGCAGCCATCATTAGATCCATTTAATCAACTTAAAGGCAGTTGATTTTCTAAATAAACCCTTGTATGACGTGTGAAACAAGAAAATACTTGGAGGGACAAAGCATACCATGTGTCGAGCCCAACTCTCAATGCACGAGTAGCAAAAACGGTGTCCACATGGCAAAATCCCTCTAGTTGAACTGAACTCAGTCCAGCATATAACACAGGACAATTCAACTGAAGGTTCAGGTCTCGTGGAAGGTGGCAATTCATCCACATCGTTGATTGTCACATTCGAGTGTTCCGGAGTGTCGAGCTTGCTTGGCCTCCCTGAAGGTGTTGGTGACTCGGGGAAGCTATTAGAGGTTCCACCATGAGACTCAACTGGAGAGCTATCTTCGTCAGAGTCCAAGATTATAGTTTCCATATTGCGTTTAGAAATAGAAACATTTCTCTTCGGACGTATCCTCCCTTTATGAGAAGGTTCGGCAAAATCAGTGGCTCCTGTGTCATCAGAACTATTCATTTTTATGTTAAGAGAACGTCTCTTATAACGAGTCTGCAACTCTTCGTGCTCAGGAGCCATCCTCTTCCCTCTCCTTGAATCAGGAGAAGAGCTAGAACTTGGATTCTCAAACTGTCATTTCACAACGGAAGCAAGTAATTTAAATTCAAGATATGCCAAGAGGCTTCAAATTCGTAAGCTAATCAGACTATTATAGCATGGTATTGCCAGATGTGAACCTTTAGCAAGTGACACTTTTTTCCGACTCTGGTCACTATATCCTAGTGGCTAGTATTATACACAGAAGCCTTCACACAGGAAGATCATCCTCACAACAGTTTTGAGCTCTAGTGAAAAAAGCACCAATAAACCAGTGCATGTTGCATCTGAATCGCCCTAATGAATAGCTAATAGTTCATGCACAGAGACCTGCCAACATATAGGAACCAACAGGTTGACCAAAATGACAAACCAGAAAAGGTGCACTACACCTAAAACGCAGGAAGCTTCTGAGGACTCCATGAAACTCAACAACTTAAAACCATAGAATAGAATTTGGGTACACAAAATATACTTAAAAAAATATAGGCACTATAGAAAGCCAACTTAAAAATACTACAAAGCATAAGCTGAGTTATAAGTTATTACCTCAAATAGAGATAGCACCATGGAAGGATCCTGACAACGTTTCCTACTACTTGACCTGTTCTGTTGCTTTGAACTTCCACACACCCGTTTAAGCTTTGACTTACTGGAGGTACCCTTGCTTGTGCCACCCTCAGAAAATAAATCCTGCAGTTGAGTTTAAAGACATCAATAAATATGCATTCTCCTATCTTCAAGCTTAAAGTAGAGACATTCCAGAATCATATTTCTGAGCAAGTTAACTGCAAGCTTCAAATCCACACATGTACATAACTTCAGGTCAAAAGCCACCATTTATAAAGATGTTTTCCAGCTCTTCAATTGAAATTATTCATATTTTTGAAAGTCAGAGTGATAAGTGGTACATCTTGTGAACATCTTATTTGACAACAGTTATCATATATTGAAGCCCTAAACTGTGAAAAATAAGTAACAGGAGCCTCATAAATTAATAAACAATTATACAGAGACCCACTCTAACTGTTTCATACTGGTATTGCTATATGCTGATAGAAAGAAGCGCATAACCTAGAACACTGATGTTTCCATCAAAACGAATATGCATAACTCAACAATGCAAATTTCCAGAAACTTTTTCCCAAGACTATTGATAGAAATGGTTGAGTATGCATTGCAATCATTTATACCTGCAAGATGGGCCAGAAAATTAAAACACCACATGTGTTCACAGTGATATGTGCGTTGATACGTTGGAGTTTCGAATATGGAAAGACAGTACTGAGGCAAAGACATAGAGAAGTTCATTCACTAACCCTATTCAAGAAAACTGAATCAGTGCAACAAACAAGGGCAGGATCTTCAGAGTCCCTCCTAGATCCCTGTCTACCAAAGCCCTCCCATGTGTTGGAGATATTGGACAGAACAACGGGGTTCTGGTTTGAGGGAAGCTTATCAGATATAGGAACTTCTGATGATAGAGGTCCTACCTCTTTTCCGCTGCAAATCAGAAACATTTGTGAGTCTATGACATGGAAAATGTAGTTGGATCATGCAAAGATGATTGGAATGATAAGAAAAAGTTGCACCAATGGCAACAAATGCAGGCTTAGTGCTCTACACAAACAAAGCCGCAGTTAATGCCATACCTACGCAACATATAAGGCCTCTCTGGTACGAGCTGTCCTTGCTTTATACAGTCCTCTATCCACTGATGATTAACTATCTTCACTCCAAATTTCTTGGCAAGATTATGTTTTTCGCCTTCGAATTTCCAGCAAACCTAACGCCCATGTAAAATCTAAAACTATTAGCAAAAGGGTTCTTCACTGAACAGCAAAATGACGTTAAAGAGCATAGCTCACCAAGTGTGTTGTAGTTTTAGACATTGAGCCTACATAACTTGCACCAGCCTGGGATATTAGCTTGATGAGCTTGAACCTCTCCGATCCATGGTAGCCACTCACACTTGCTACCACAGATTCCATACCTGGAATAGCAGACTCCATGTTCCCTGAAAAATCATTTATACGGAATAATTCTCACATTAGGGTAATCCCAACAAAAAGACGATGAAGCAAAAATCATCTTGCCACTGCAAATTACTGCCCGCTCGAGCTGAAAATGTAAATGCACAAACGAAATTCGGCAATCACGTCAGGCGAAAAAATCCTCCTTCATATCCGACACTGAAACCCTAAACCTTTCCGATGAAAACAATATCAAAGTACGACCACGAGATACTATCTATGAACATCAAATACAGACTCTCTCTACTGGGGAAATCGATGAAGCTAGAACGGGACTGCTTTCAGAAACCGTTTCTTCTGCTGCCTTCATCGATTAGAACCGGGAATCAACCTGTTCTAGTGAAACTGTCGAACAAGGCTTCTCAACGCTGTTCAACACCTAAATTCCTTTAGTAGTAATTCCCATACCAACCGAGCTATTGACGAATGTAAAAGCCGTGCCCAGAAGATGGAGCCTCACCGTAAACTCGGCCGACGACGACGAGAGATGTGAGGTCAAGAGGAGAAGGCAAGGTGCGGCGAGGAGCTGACTGCTTTTCGTCTTCTCTGCTTGCCGGGAAATGAAAATATTTGAATTTCCTCCCTCCCCGGCTGATTCCTTTTCTATTTTTTTTTATTTTTGCGCTCTCTTTCTTCTTGTCATCTAAGGGTGGCGGACGGTTTTCCGGTTAGCAGTTAACCGGACGGTTTCAACCGAACCGACCAGTTTTCGGTTAACCTAAAAATCGACTCCAATGACAACAGTTGGTTGGCGGTGGGGAACTGAGAAGATCATGGGATACATTAATCTGTTAATTATATGCTGTCCTCTTATCACATTACTTTTTTGGTTCTTTCAGTTAATAGTTCTCTTTCTTTCATGGTCACTGAGAAGTGAATTTATGATATACAGGTCCTTCTGTATTCATAATTTTGCTTTAAAATGTAGTATGAAGGAAAATATAATTTTTCTTGCTGTTTAGGCAATTTAAAGGCTGTCATTTTTACATGGAAAAGTCAAGTCATTTCTGGTATTGAACTGCATTCAGTTGTGTCATTTGGGTTGGGTAGCAAAGTCTTAGTTGTTGAAACCTTTTGGGGACTATTGCCTCTCCCCTCTTTGAGGCCATTTATACTTTTCATTTTTTGAGTTCTAATGCTAACATTTTTCATTTTTCTGAGTAATGTTGCATGCATATTTCATATGTGAATATAATTTTTTTTGAGTTCTAATGCTAACATTTTTCATTCGTGTTTTCTTCATTGTAGTTCACCGTGTCTTTCTTTTCAACCAGTCCAGCTTGTCAAAATTTCTTATGCGAGTTCCACCACGTTGGTGCGAGTAGCTCAATACGTATTTGCCTCGTTTCTTGACTACGTGTAATTAGCATAATTTGTTCAAATTATAAATTATAGCAAAAAAAAAATCGAAATATAATAGTTAGTTACTAGTAAGTGATTAATAAGATAAAACGAAATCGAAATCGAAAAAATCACATCAAAATTCCCATATCAGAAATCCTTCTCATCTTCTTCTCCTTTTCCATGCTCATGGAAGCAGGACGAGTCGGAGCGCTCCTGGCCGGCTCCGATCGCGACGAATCGCGGACGCGTTTCTTCCTTCTATCCGGCGAAACCCACCGCCCGTTCGACCAATCAAGATGAACTCGCAGCTTCGAAACAGGGTAAGCAATCTCATCCCCTGTGTAATCAAAGTAGACATGGTACATCATCCCCTTCTTCCCCGTCACTCTGCCAAAGCGGATTCGCGGCGGGACTGGCCGGATGAACTCGCCGGAGACCGTTTCGATCAGAAGCTCCGACTCGTCCTCCTCTGTTTTTGACCAGATTGACATACTCCACCTTGTACTGGTTCGAACCCAACAACTCCACCACATTCCCCTCAAAGTAGGAACCGTGAAACCCTTCTTCCTCGCTCGCTACTTCGACGCGGTCTCCGCGCCGAAACGCGGCCGTCTTCATGATCGCGTGCTTGCTGGGGTAACAAAAATCACTCGCCGCCGGCGGGACTCTGTTCTTGATGTAAGTTCTTGGAGCGACTGTGTACTCTTTTTTTTAACTGTGGAGGGGGGATTTTTATAGCTTAAACATGTAAAAATCCTTACGAAACTAGGAAAGATTTTGTGGAATCCGAATCCGTGCAGGAAATTGGAAGCGCGGGAGAAAGAATGGAAACAGGGGACAGGAACGGCTACGGAAGGATTTAAAAAAATGCCTAACTAATACGATTCATAACAAAATACTACAATATGCATTTCATTTTCATCTTATGAAAAGAATTGTATAATGGATAGTATCTACAAAATTTCAACAAATCAAAATTGTTGGAACCTCCTTATCTAAACTTATGTATTTCGAGCATACTTGCATTTTGTAGAATACAATATCTATTACTTGATTTAATAAATGAATATGTACAATACATGATGTATTTCTACTGAATAGAAAATTATATGTACTTAATTTAGAGATGACAATTTTGATCTAACTTATTTTCCCCGATTTGTTTGACTTGTTTTGGAGTGTGTATTACGAGTCTCATAGGTGGGACAAGACAGGCTTGGGTACTATCCTCGATCTGAATCGTCTCATTTCCCAGTCGTTTTTGCCTAAATTACATGTAATGATACTCAAATTACCTAGAATTTTACTTTTATCACCTCATATTTTGGCTATAACGAACTTGTAAATAGACGAGAATCTTGCTTTCGCGATTACTTTAATTACCTTTACCATATAATAATTTGTGTCTTGGAGTTTTAATGAAAAAAATGAATATTACTAATGTTTTTCTTTTAAATTACATACACATATGAGTTGACCTACCCCGATCTGTGTCTCGTAATAATTTCCCGACCTGCAATGGAGCATATATGAGTCTCATAGGTGGGACAAGACAGGCTTGGGTACTATCCTCGATATGAATCATCTCATTTTCCAGCCGTTTTTGCCTAAATCACATGTATCAATACTCAAATTACTTAGGATTTTACTTTTATCACCTCATATTTTGGCTATAACGAACTTCTAAATAGACGAGAACCTTGATTTCTCGATTACTTTAATTACCTTTACCATATAATAATTTGTGTCTTGGGGTTTTAATGAAAAAAATGAATATTACTAATGTTTTTCTTTTAAATTACATACACATATGAGTCGATCTACCTGATCTGCGTCTCGTAATAATTATCTGACCTGCAATGGAGCATATATGAGTATCTAAGTAACCTGCTTCGAACATGCCCGATTGCCATTCCTAATTGAAACTCTTCGTAATTGTGAGATTTAGTAAGTTTGTATAATCCATATATTAAATTCTTAAAATTCACATCTTGAATTTAATACACATATTCTTTTGATTTGATTGATTTCACAATTATATTAGGGTTAGGTGGAGAGATGTAGACTAACCGTTGATTGTTCATGGGCCCACCCAGATATAGCTCAACATCTCTTCTCAAAGCCTTAAGAAATAAACAGGCCCATTTCAAAATTCCAGCCCATTATCTGCTTCGCCAGATAAATTTGGGGTTTAGGGTTTCGCCCTTCCATCCTCTGCCTCGCGTGTAGCTGTTCCAGTTCAAGTTTTTTGGTTCCCCTAATCGCATAAATTTCCTCCGCCGCGCTCTTTCTTCCCGGCAATCGCAACCATGGAAGTGGAAGCTCCAGTTCCTGTTGCAGCGCCGACTACTGGTCCGGTGGAAGTCAAATTGTTCAACCGCTGGACGTTCGAAGAAATCTCGGTTCGTTCTCTGTCACTCGATTCGTTTTTTTTTTTGCTTCGTTCTCGTCTTTCCTCGAGTCTCGTTGTCTGGAATCACACCGTTGCTATTTCTGTGTACGATTTTCGATATGCTAACGAGACCGAGCTTGTGAAGTTGTTAGTAGTTAGTATTCTTCTTCCATTTGACCCTGTGCGTCGAGTAGTTTAGGAAGTGGGCAAGAGTTTTGTGCCTATGGATTTGCTTGGAGGTTCTGATTCTGTCCGCAGTCTAATTACGGTTTGCACATTCGTTTGCGATTTGTATTCTTGTAGATCACTCGTCTGAGTAGTTTAGGGAGTGGGAAAGAGTTTTGTGGCTACAGATTTGCTTGGAGGCTCTGATTTTGTCCCTAGTCTAATAAGGGTTTATGCATTTGTTTTGTGACTGGTATTGTTCTAGGTCAATGACATTTCCTTGGGGGATTATATTGGTGTCCAATCGGCCAAGCATGCAACTTTCATTCCCCACACAGCAGGGAGGTACTCGGCCAAGCGTTTCAGGAAGGCCCAGTGCCCGATCATCGAGAGGCTTACAAACTCTCTTATGATGCACGGGAGAAACAATGGCAAGAAACTGATGGCTGTCAGGATTGTGAAGCACGCCATGGAGATCATCCATCTCCTAACTGATCAAAACCCAATCCAAGTCATTGTTGATGCTGTCGTCAACAGGTCAGTGAGATCATAATCTGAGAGCGAGCGAATTGTATTGGTTTGTGGATGAGTTTTGTTTCTCAATAGTATTTATTCATTTGCAGTGGTCCTCGTGAAGATGCAACTAGGATCGGTTCGGCTGGTGTCGTGAGGCGTCAGGCTGTGGATATTTCTCCACTCAGGCGTGTCAATCAGGCCTTGTATCTCTTGACCACCGGAGCTAGGGAGTCTGCCTTCCGTAACATCAAGACTATTGCGGAATGCTTGGCGGATGAACTCATCAATGCTGCAAAGGGATCCTCGAACAGGTTTGTTTGCTTATGGATTGATCTGTGTTGATTGTCATTGGATGCTCGGTTTGCTGATTACGCCCTCTCTGTTTTGGTTTCCAGCTATGCTATCAAGAAGAAGGACGAGATCGAGAGAGTTGCCAAAGCCAACCGTTGAGAGATTTTTGTACGTCTGCTGTTATCTTTAGGGTTAGCCTTATTTGCTGGAAAATTCCGTGAGAATTTTGCTACTGGTATCTTTAAGTCTGTGTTGTTTTTATGTCAGTTGGTGAATACCTGGAGTATGTTTGGATGCTGGGTGCTATATTTTTGTTAAGTTGATACTTTGAACAATTTCATGCTGAATCATTTCAGTTTGTTACTCTGATGTTATTATATCCTCCTGATATGCCTATATCTCGTGGTCTTTTGGGTAAATTAACATGTTTGCCTTGTTGCTTGCAAACTACTCTACGCTATATACAGTTATGCACTACTCTCCACTCTTTCCCTCGCCATTGTAGTTATTTGTGTCCCTCTCTTGTATACTGTCTACGACAAGTAGACCTGGCAATCAGGTCGGGTTGGGTTGCTTCGGATCGGGTAATCTTGGGTTTCGGTTTATAGCGGTTCGGGTCATTCAGATAACGGGTTATATGTGTCCAATACTAACCTAACCCATCGGATTACGGGTCGGGTTACAGATCATTTCGGGTTATTGACGTTCTCCGAAACAAGAATAAACTTATATCATATTTCATTGGTACGTTTCCAAAAATAAATGATAATATTTGACAAAGTGTATATAAATAAGCTAATTTTCAACTCCACATATATTAATAAATGGCAAAAAACGCCAAAGAAACACCACCATTCCATTATAATAAACTAACAATCATGAAGCAAGCTTATTCCAGTGTTCTCGGTTCCATTTTTCTTTTTGGTGAGATCGGTTCCAAAACTCTAAAACAAACAGATTAAAAATAATGCTTGTTCGCCTGCACTAATTCATAAACCGAACGAAATTCCTAAACAAAAAACAAAATCCGAATCAACACGAGTTTTCGGCCTTTGAACTTTGTAGCTTTCAGCCTTTCATCGATGATCCTTCGTTACTTCTTCACTTTGAAATTCTACATCCAGCCCATCATGATCATCTTCGTTACTTCTTCACTTTGAAATTCTACATCCAGCCCATCATGATCATCCGTAGCAACTGTATTAAACAAATAAAAAAATTAGTAGATAAAACGTTAGTTATATAATTTACTTACAAGCAAAACATTATAAAACTCACTTGGAAATCCACACAACCAATTACGAGTAGTAATCAAAGCTTCAGCATTTTCAGGTAGAAGGGAGCTGCGCCATTGGCTTAGAACTCTACCACCCATACTAAAAGCTGACTCAGATGCTACAGCAGTGATAGGAATACACAACAAGTCCTTCGCCAATGCAGAGAGGGTAGGGAATCGACATGCATTATTCTTCCACCATATTAGAACATCAAGCTTTTGTCTCCAATCAAGTCTTGGTTCTTGCATATAGACGTCCAATTCTGTCTTGTTGTTCAATGATTCCATTTTTCCAAAAGATTCAAACCTCTATAAATAAAAATGTACCAAGTTAATTAACTAGAATACAAAATAAAACAAATAATTCATACCAATAGGCTCTTGAGTGTATACTTTACTAACCTTCATAAATTCATCACCATCATCTTTCATGTCCATACCAACTGCAAATGTATTCTCATTTGAAACTCCACCATCACCCCCATAATCCTTCAAAAGATTAAGCATATGTTCACGAAGCTCGCCACGTTTCGTCTTTGCAATTGTTTGACCATGCAAATTTTCATAACAACATTGCACAAAGGCCATTTTATAGCGTGGGTCTAAAACCATAGCCATAGAAAGAACTACGCTATAAGATTCCCAATATTTGTCAAACTTGATCAACATTGTTGCAGCCATCTTCTGGATGTCACTATCATGACTATTGCATTCCTTAAGTAGCTTTAACTCAATCCTCCATACATTACTGAAGTACAAATTAGAAGTGGGATAATGTGCTCCAGAAAAAGAGTGGTAATATCGTAGAAAGGCTTCAAAATACCACAGATCTTGGAAATTTTATCCCACTCTTTCGTTTCCTAGTTAGTATTAGTTATCCTTTTTAAGTTAATCTCTGGCGCGAAGTTGGAAACTTTGGCGCGGAAGTTAGGAACTTGGCGGGGGTCACAGGAGGGAAATAAATATTACATTGAGATTTTGGCGAGAGCGGATTGACCCGCTGACCTGCCAATTTGACCCTAACCCGCCAACACCAGCACTCCAGCAGCTCGTCGCCCCGCCGCGGAACCAACGGCGCGCTTGCGATGAAGAAGCCGCCTCGACGACCTCCTCCTCCCCGGCGCCGCGCCTCGCCGCCCGGCGCCGTGCCTCACCGCGCCTCGCCGCCCCTGCAGATCTCTTTCCATGGAGAAAGAAGGTGAGAGAAGAAGAAGGAAGGAGAGAGAAGAGGTCTGGTGGAGGAAGGAAGGAGAGAGGAGGAGATAAGGAAGGAGTGGTGGAGATTTTTCTATCTTATTTAATTAATTTTTAGTTTTTTTTTGGAAATGTATTTTTTCGGTTGGCCGGCTAACCGAGCCTAAATCGGAACCGACCGGTCGGTTGGTCGGCTAACCGTGAACTCTCTTCGGTCGGTGGCCGGCAGCTATAGGGGGTGGCTCGGTTTAATCGATAACCGGGTTTTTCGATTTTCGGTTAAACCGAAATCGACCGACTGCCACCCCTATTGTCATCGGTGTTGTTGAGTGTTGACCAAGATTGTCAACTGGTTTAGCCTATTGGTTTGATCAAATAAGTGGATTGAGGTTTAAGGTTCGGTCGATTTAGTCTGATTTAGCTGATAATGTGGAAAAAAATATATTATATTATTCATACATTTTTAAATTATATAAAATATCATCTAACATATGAGTAATAACATATAACATTACACTAAAATAACATTTCGTACTTGGATCCAACATACAATGAAAGTTCAACATACTTATATAACGTTAATATTCAAATGTTCACCATAAAATTCCAAAGATAGAGTTAGGTGAAGAAGAAAATCGGAAAAGAAATGCACTTGACCTCCAACCTGGTAACCTTGCAACAAGTCATCTCGCGGGTGTGTGGCCCTTTTTTCACCTAAGGGTCAAAACAGGTCCACTGGTAGGTCGACCTGGTGTTGGCCACTACTAAGGATGAAAAAATAGTTGGATCCGAATCATATTAAAAAATGGTTTGGTTTGGTCTATGGTATGAATGGCAATAAGGTAAATCGGGATGTGTATCTCGAACTCATACCCTCCACATCAGTGGCGGATTCAGAAAATTTTCATAGGGGTGTCCTCTTAAAAATTAAATTTAATTAAATAATAAATTAAATAATTCGTATATTAAAAATATCATACTTGTATAAATTTTTTATTAAAATTCATGATGTGTTTTCATATTTTGAAAAAATAATATAATTAAACTCCGTGTCTGCACTGTTAAAAAATATACATATCCTACTAGACAATACTTCACGAACTTATCACATATTCGATTTCTAACCTTGTTCTTAATGTAGCTCGAAGTAGAAAAGACTCTTTCAACACTTGCCATGTAACCATAAAATCAATTCAAAATTAAGGGTAGCGTGTACGTAGTTTAATTATTAGGTATTGAAAATAGTTGGAGATAAAGAAATAGCGTTTTACTGTTGCATGATGTTTAAAATAGAATAACAAATGAGTAGCAACATAATTAGAATATAATTGATAATAGTAGTGTCATAGGTTGGAATAACACGGACTACCACTTATATTTTGTTAATCATAAGCAAACTATTATCGAGGGTAGGATAATCATTTTTTCAAATGTTAGGGTGTCCGAGATTATCAATTATATTTTGTATACCCATACGGAACTATTATCGGAAATTGGATAATCGTTTCCCCAAATTTTAGGGGTGTCCCGGGACACCCCTAGAAGCCCATGTATCCGCCCCTGCTCCACATGGTAAGTCGAGTGATTTATCATGGGCGAAGAACGAAGCAGGTCGACTCATATGGGTATGTAATTTAGAAGAGAAACATTAGAAATATTGATTTTTATCATAAAATCAAGAAACAAGCTACAACATGTTAAATATAGTTAAATTATTCAAGAAATTAATGGTGGTCGTTCGGTTACCGGTTATCGGATAACCGGCGGGTTATCCACTAACCGGTAACCAAACTTCGGTCGGTATCGGAGGCTGGACGAAATGGTTTTTGGTCTTAAAAGTGGTTTGGTTAACCGATAACCGAGATAATCGAGACACCGAAGCCTATTTCAGGCGGTTTTCGTTAGGGGGAGTGGTTATTTCGGTTAACCGATAACCGGCCAATCGGTTACCGGTTACAACTGAAATAATCGAACTGCCACCCCTACAAGAAATCGAGGTTCTCACCTATTTATAACTTTATTATAACTAATATATAGGGTAATAAAAGCAAAATTCTAGCTAATTTGAGCAAAATTACATGTAATTTAGAAGGAAAAAAAAAGGAGAATGGACAAATAAGATCGATGAGAGTACAAATGTCTGCTTTGCCCCATTTACGGGCAAGTATTACCATCCAAAACAGGTCAAATAGGTCGAGTAAACTCATATGGCTATTTGAAGAAATGATATATATTGTAATGCTAGTAAACCATGCAAGTCCACTGTCAGTGAATTAAATTTACTTTGTTAGTTCCGGTTCACTCTAGTAATATTACCACTAGTATTATTATCACTAGATCGACCTCTTATTCGTGTCAGCTATCCGGTTTCGTACATGTAGAATAAGTTGAGTTCGGTTGTTAATAAAATCGAGCCAGCTAAAGGCTAAAGCCTTGCATTTGAATTGGCTATCAATTAGACAGTAAGCATCAAAATGATCGGATGCCACTGACAATTGGTGAATGGGGCCTATAATACCGATGACAATTAGTACAGGTGCATTACAATACAAGGCCTCTGATGTTCCACGAGAAAGCAACTTGGATGGGTGTGCTGTATATGCTCACAGAGTGACTACATATCTCATTCTCTCGAGAGAAATGGTGAACAAAATCCCGGTAGGTAAAATCTCATATCAGTTACCACTCGAGCTGTTGAAACTATGCATTGGTTTGCATTATCTCTTGACTTGATTTCCAGCTTGAGCTGCTGCCGATGCTGCTGCATTATATCCACTTCCTCCACGAGTTGGTGGCGTTGCAGAGCCGTAGGCCACATTGTTACGAGCAGCCGCAGCAGCAGATGGTGCCATTTGCCCTTGTTGTGCAGCAACCAGCCCTCTCGACATTGCATCATAGGCAACATTCCTGGCTGCATCATAGTTAGCTCCCCATTGCATATCATTATAACCATGGAGTCTCTGTGGTTCATATGCAGGCACTCTTTGAGGATCGTATCCAGGTGCTCTCTGCATGTCATAACCCTGGCCTCTCTGAGCATCATAGCCATGCATTGCTCTTTGTGCATCATAGCTAGGTCCTTTAGAGGGATCGTAACCAGGAACTCTTGGTGCTTCATAACCAGGCTTTGCAGCTCCAGACCCAGATTGAGTTCCTACAGAGTTAGTGGTACCACTAACTGCAGCTGCATTAGCAGCATTGGCGGCGACCACAGCAGCTCCAGAGTTAGCAGCAGCAGCAGCAGCCGAAGCAGTCAAATAACCCTGTTTCAAGAAATTTAATTAATGCCATCATTTTCAGCTTTCTTTTTGTAACTCATGATTATCATGGAATCAATAATATAGAGTTCAGCCAACAGCAGCTCGGCAACGACTGTCACTTCCACCAACATGGTTAATTTCTGCTTCTCTTATAGCAAGTACTGTTTTAGTTTGCAAACTCTCATGTAGCTATGGGTTCATAGTTTGTTAATGTTCTTAGTATCATTTCTCATTGTCTATTGACCTAAAAGTCTCAAGTACTGGTTACAGATACGAGAGAAGGAATTACAATGGTAAAGTATATCACTTGTGTAGGACACTGTAGAACATACCAAATAACAATATTGAAGCCATAATTAACCTTTTTTAGAAACTCATATATATAAACTTATTTGCCGAACCTGGTTTTGATGTAGGCCATAGCTATCAGCATACATGTTTTGTCCTCCAGCGCGCCCAGTAGCCTCATTCTCATTGTTCCCAGAGGTGCCAGGATAGTGCCCACCTGAGAGAAAATGTAAGAGCAGAAGGCAATACAGCATGAAACAAGAGTTGCAGAAGAAGGGATTGATAAAAGAGCAAGTGGAAAATATTTGTTACCCGCTACATTAGCCAATTGTGAATGGAGCTTTTCCACTTCTCTGGCCATTGTCATATAGTTCTTCTCCATTACTTGAAGTGATTCAAGGTGGTCGCTAAACAGCTTCTTCTCGTAGTCGTACGAAATTCTGCAGAATAAAAGTAACAATATGTCACTGCTCTGACTAATATTGTCGAAACAGAATTTAGCTTAATGCTTCGCAATGGTAAATTCCGAATCAGAGAAAGCACTTCAGTAACACATTAAAAACTAACAGGACAGCTGAACAAAACAACTGAATTTATGTTTAGAAACCTGACAATTTACTACAAAAGGCGAGTCCATCTTGACAGATCTAGAATGGTTTCATCTGAATTCACAGATCACAATAACAATCATAAAGCGCTCTAGACATATTTTGTGGCATATAGATATTTCCTTCCGTGACTTAGATAACTGCATTCTTTATTTAATCCAGAAGAAGCAAGAAACAAAAAACAGAACTAGGACCTGCATCGCTGTTGTTCTTGTCTCAGACCCTCTAGTTCAGACATTAAAGCAGGAACTTGTTGTGCATCCATGTGAGCTTTCTGAATTTCCTGATTTAACTGATGCACTTTAGACATAAGCTCCTGCCTATCCGTAACCAACTTCTCAGCTTCTGTCCGTGCCTTCTGCAAATCCTTCTTGATAGGCTCAGCAGCTTTCAATTCAGTCTCCATCTTTGCAGTCTTATCGGAAAGACCCTTCATCCGTTGTTCTCTCTCCGCTCTAATAGACTGCACATGAGCATGCAACATCTGGAGCTCATGTTGAGCAGCCACAAGTTCGTGTCTTAAGTTCCCATGAGAAGCAGCAAGCCTTTGGTTCTCCGTGGCAAGTCGTTGCATCTCCACTTGTTGTGACGAAAGCTTATGTTCCATGACTTCTCGGGGAGGCAGCATGTCAAATGGAGGAAAAGGACCAGGTGCAGGTCGAATTCCCTGAGCAAATGGGTCAGGAGGATGCAAGGGCTCGTGTCCTGGAAAAGAGCGTCGATGATGAGGAGGTGGAATCCGCCCTTTACTTGCCATTGCGAAATTCTATCCTCCAAGTCAAGAGAAGGGCCGCCACAAATTCCCAAATTTCGCAATTCACGGCTGAAAGACAATAAACAGCAGCGTCTTAGCTCCAGAGAACAGCGGTTCATATAATCCAAGCTTCAATAAGAGGGAGAAAGATTCAATTTTTATCTGAAAAAGTCAACTAACATCCAAAACTGTAATGCACCCAAGGAAGGAGAAAACTAAACAGTAAACATAACAAAACCCAAGCATTATTCCATATAACCTAGTTACCATCTTCTAGTTGTATGAACTATGATTACTAAGCGAACTACGCACGCATAACCTGCCCAAAATTGGCTAAGTTCTGCGCAAAATAGGTACCGTATCGAAATTCATCGCCAAAAGCTAAAATCGAACGATAATGAAAAGCCGCGGAAGTGGGAATCACTTGGGGAATAGTACGATTAGGTAATTCTGATAAAACCTAACATCTAGGGTGGTGATCAGACAAGGAGATAATAAAATTTGAAGCAAGAAGAAAGCGGAGGATAGAGCAACCGTCCGGTCACCTGAATGCGGAGGGCGGAGCCGATGGCCGCTGACGAGGGGATTGCTGCAGAAGAGGTTGCGTTACAAACTTACAATTACCAGTTCAAAATCAGAGACCAGCTACAGCTCCACACAGGAAGAAGAAGACGACAACCAATCCGCGATTGCTCGCTGGGGAACGGCGTCGTGCTTCTTCCCAGGAAGTTAGGTTTCGCATCTTTTCCCGATTTTTATTTTACTTTTACCTTCCGCACAGGTTGTGAAACCGGTTATACGGTTAGGTTTGTTTAGTAAGTGGAATGATTTGACCAAAATATAACCGGTTTATTTTAGTTCATTTTTGTTGGGGTACTTACTACCTATCAGCTAGGGAGCTGGGCCCCCAGGCAACAGGATTGGGGGGCAAGGCCCAAAAATGGTCCTGTGAAATACCTCAAGGCCCAAACAAGAGGAAGGGCGCATGAGGACAAAACGCTAAAGGCCAAGGGAGACCAGGCTGTCAGGTGGTCCTTAGCCTACGGGCGCCTGTCACGCGTCAAGAGCCTGACAAGGCAGTTGAGATAGCGGACAAAGAGAGTACAGAGCATGTCAGGTGGTCCTTAGCCTGCAGGCGCCTGTCACGCGTCAGAAGCCTGACAAGGCAGTTGAGATATCTGACAAAGAGAGTACAATGCATTAAATGGGGACGGTGACGTGGAGGAGATCAACCTCGGGTTCGGTGAGTATAAATAGCGGCAGTTGGTAGCATTTACACAGGTTGGACTCTCTCACTAGAATTCCTACTTTGAGACTTTTTCCCTCTCCAAGGAACTAACTTGGGCGTCGGAGGATTAACGGGCCCAGGCGCCCTCCTCTTCGTGCGTGTGTGTAGGCAGGCGCCAGTCGAAGGGAAGTTCCAGGAGTATCGGCGAGTATCGTGGCACAAACAATTTTAATACTTGATAAAATAATAATATAAACATTTAAATGTTCATACTCGAATCCTACCAATAACATCAATAATTAATTTTTAAATTCACAAAATTTCACAAATTACTTTTGAGTTATATAGACCAAAATAACTCATCCAAACAACCCACTAAAACTAAACATATGAAAATACCCTCGAAGAATAACGATGTCAGCTATAGTGGCCCCACCACTGATGAACCCCTCTCGAGCTTTATAGAAAACACTCTTCGCATCTCCAACAAACACAACCTTCGTTACTCTATGTAGCAAGCACCAGTAAACTGCTTCCAAGACCATGACCCCATCAAACAAGCTTCCCGCCATTGCCACTATTGAAACAGGGGTCTCCATTAGTACGATATTGTCCGCGTTGGATCAAGTCTGCACGAATTTACTTTCTGGTTTACTTTCCAAAAGGTCTCACACTAATGTAATCAGTTTGGTGGACACTTATATTATATACAAAGGCTAATTCCACTAGGAAGCCCAAACTATTCAAAAAGTGTCATTTGTGTCCTAAACTATTCAATATGACAAATCTGACACGAACTATTTTTCCGTTAATGTTGACCGGTGTTGACCATTTCGTTAATGTTGACCGGTGTTGACCATTAGTATTTAACAAAAAATTTATTCAGCATCTATGTAGTTTGTGTCATATTTGTTTTGTTGAATAGTTTAGTACACAAATGTCACGAAGCGCATATAGTTTGTGCAAGATTTGTAATGTTGAATAGTTTAGGAAACATATGACACTTTTAGGATAGTTTGAACTTCCTAGTGGAATTAGTCATATATATACAATGGTCATTTCTCTTTTGTTTTCATTGTTGTACTTGAATTGTCCCCTAACAATTCTTTCCTCAAATCCCTATGACACAAAATGAGGGTTCACCAAACTAACTCTACGTCTTCGAATTCGAACCATGCTCTGATACCACTTGTTGAAATCAGTGTCTCCATTAGTAAGATATAGTCTGTTTTGGACTAAACCCGCAAATTAAATTTTTGGATTCCTTCCCAAAAGCCTCGTACTAATGAGGTTAGGGGGACACTTATATACAAGAGTTCTTTCCCTTGTATTTTTTATGTGGTACTTGGATTGTACGCTAACAAGCCTCCCCTCAATACAAGAACTACGTGTCCTATTTTCAACGATTATCTTGATCCATCAAACACCTTATCCTCTCATCATATGTAGATCTCCCTTTGATTCGTCAAACAACATCTCTTTTGATTCGTTAGACAAATGCAGATCTCAACTCCCGAGGCCACAAAACCCACTAACATCCACCACCCCGAATTCAGATTTTGAAGTCCATCATGCGTGACCAACCACCTCCTCCTATTACATTTTTTTATAAGGGTGATATATGTTTACTTTTTGTGGTTAGATACTATTTAATGTGTTCGAACCTCGGACCTCCCAGTTCAAGACTGGTGGTATTTGAAGTCCATCATGTGTGACCAACCACCCCTCCTATTACATTCTCTATAATGAAATATTTGAAACAAACAATGACATTTTCAAGTCCATAATAAACCCAAAATTAATGCAGCATACGTGGTCAAGAGAAGGGTTTACCAAAACTCGTTGATTCTAAAGAATGGTCGAGAGTTGCGAGGAAAACCTAGTTTCTTATTTTATTCAATCAAAAATACTGTCGAAACAAAGGACTATTAGCTCCTATATATAGGCTAAGACAATGAAACCTAAACCGATTGAAACTAGGAATAAAAATTGCATAAAAGGTCCTTAAACAAACAAAACGCTCCTTAACCCCCCCTCCAAACTACTGGATTTCTATTTAACGTCCTAATTTTTTAAAATTTACGCCCTAAACTTACCTAAACAGACGGTTATACCCTCAATCTCTTAAACACCGTCGCCACCAATCAACAACACGGTCGCCCTCATCGCCCTAATTTTGCTCTGCTTGGGCCGGCCGCCGAGAAATCATTACCGACGCCGCATCTTGATTTCGGAAAATTCCCGAGATAGAAGTGAGGAGTCCCCTTCCCTGTCCACCCCATTAACCCCGATGCCATTGGCTGCCAACCTTCGACTCAATCACTAGCACAGAACCACCGCTGCTTCGGCGTCGGTCTCCATTGCCCTCTCCAACATCTAAATATGAGAGAGCAAAACAAAATCCCCTCCCCCAATTGTCGCTTTTAGGAAGTTGAGGGGATAATGATAATTGATGACAGAAACTCAAAAAATGATTAAAGAGAAAGGAAGCCTTGCCATCTCCGACGGGGCATGCTTTCTTTTCTTCTTCGTCGGCTGCAGCAGCAGAGTACCGGCGGGCGGAGCAGAGCAAGAGTCACGACCGATGTAGGGCGATGGCTATTTTGATTAGGGGCAAACGTGTAATTGCAATTTAATTTAGGGCGATGGTTTTTGAATTTTAGGGCGTTAATTAGTAAACCTCCAAAACTAGGGCCGCACGTTACATGCCGTGAGCTGGACGTTGCATGGCTCCGCATAAAAAGCCCTCATACATCCATAACCAAAGCATTCATTTTTCAAACCCACAAATGAAGCAAAGTAGCAAACGACCCGTAAGTAGCTTCCTTAATGTTTCCAAAAGCCGTTTCTTATGAAATCTTATGTCTTGTTGTAATAATTTCATTCATATGAGTCTGTCACTAAATTTCACTAAACCCACTTTTCTACATATTATTGCCCTCTCCACTTTCGCATAACTCATCACCGAAACCTTATTATTTACTGCCAAATTATTTTTTTCATATCATTTTATTCATCGGTTTTCTCATAATTCGTCATATATCATACTATTTGTCCTCATTATTTTCATACTTTTGTCTCAGTCGCAACATTGATATTAAACATAACCCAATGAAACAACTAAACACATAAAATTGTCAAACTCGAATCATTTATCAGAATTATCAATTAAACATATTTTGTTTTTCAATTTCATGGTGATTTAGCTATACTTTCTGCTGTCACAACAACAGTACTGCAGTCTGCAATCAACCCTTAAAACTTTCTTTAATTTGTTGCTCTCACCCAGGATAAGATAATAAAAGTTGTCGAAATATTGAAGACCACCAGTAGTGCATCTTCTTTTTCCCTTTCTTTTCCTATTTCCTCTGCTTTACTGAACTTTCTTTCATTTCTTCCCCTGTTTTTTAAAGCTCATATATCACATTCTTGCCGACAGCCCTCAACTTTGCTTGGCATTATTTAGTTCAATCACTCGAGCCAGCGATTCGCCGTGACGGCCGTGCCGGCGGGTGATCGAGGATGTACGTGACGAGGCCGCTCTCGCTGTTCAGAAAACACCCGAGCACTCTGTCCATGGATCCGCCGGAAGGTCCGTACACAGGGTATTTAGTGGTGACCGACGAGGAAGCAGAAGCTCAGGACAGCTCCTGCTGGGGAATTTGCAAGGACAGGAGGATCAAGAAGCTGCCTCTCCCTCAGGACAGAGTCATCAGCTTGCTCCACATCTCCGATTACGGCGAGGAGATCGACCTGGTGAAGAAGCTCTGGTTCCTTCCTGTTCTTGATCGGCCACTTTCTTCCAACTGCTACTACGTTATCAAAGCCAACGGCCGCTCCCGCAAAGGGTATGTGATAGAACACATAATTCTAGTAATAATAATCATGCCCTGTCCTCTGTTTTTCGTGTCGGTTTCGTGTTTTTTTGCTTCTTCAGAGGTTTCATAGAGCCGCCCACCTTGTAACATAACGAACTCTTTCACTGGGAATCTGATTGCACACGAACTATCGTTCTTGATTATGCTGATGCCATAATATAAGGGGGAAAACTACAACGAATAATCGACAATGCGTCGTCAAACATTAACGAATGTTTAGAATAATGCTAGATTGTACACACTTGTTGTTGTTGCATGTAAGCTTACAGAAGCTCGAAAGAGAGCGATTATCTAGTAATGCATGTCTGTCCTCTGTTTTGTGCCACTTTTGTGTCAGATTCGTGTTTTTTTTTGTTGCTATCGGAGAGCTGAACACGTTTTTGGCATAATAGGCTCTTTAATCGAGAATCCATTAGCATACAAACTACCGTTCTTGATTATCGTCTGTCATGTATTTATGTTTTACGGCATGATTTAAGAAAAATTGATGCTGATGCCAGAATCCAGGGAAAAACTACAACGAATAGTCGATAATTCGCCAAACATTAACGAATGTTTAGAATAATGCTAGATTGTACATCCTTCTTGTTGTTGTTGCTGCTACAGGCAAGCTTACAGAAGCTCGAGGGAGAGCGACATGGGTATATGCTGCTTCGAAGGAGTGATCAGAGACAAGAAACCGAAACCCTTCGACTACACCAACATATACACTCAATTCACCATCCACCGCCATCACAAGCACAGCTTCACCGCCAAATCGCTCGCCATCGACGGCCTCCCGCCGCAGTTCCTTCGGAAAAAGGGATGGAAGCTCAGAGCATCCAGAGCCCACAAGAAACTACACCTCACCGAAGCGTCAGGGCTCGACAAATCCCTCAGATCACACCTCCCGAGCCTCCTCGACTTCCCGATCCACAAAACCACTTCGCCTCCCGTCGCCGTGGGGAAATGGTACTGCCCCTTCGTGTTCGTAAGGGAAGATCGAGCCACAATCAAAGAGCAATTCAAGTTTTCCAGGGTGTACAGAGTGACCCTGGAGAGGTACTGGCAGGAGATATTCTCCTGTAACAACGATACGACAAATCGCGGTTTTGACTGCACTGCGCGTGACGGTGTGGAAGAAGAAGGGAGGAGTGTGGTGGCAGTGGTGAAGTTTAGAGTGGCGATCGGGAGGAGGGCGGATTCGGTGTACGGGAGGGAGGCTACGGCGGCTGCCGCGGCGGTGGCGGGGGATGATGGTGGTGATGGGAGGATGGTTTGGTTCAGAAGCAGGGGAATGAGAAACAGGGGAGATGCAGGGAGGTGTCGTGTGGGGTTGAACATGGCGGTGGTGAAGAAGATGGAGTGGGTGATGGAGGAAGGAGGGTGGATTGGTGGAGGAAGGGATCGGGTGGTGAGGGTGGAGAAGGAAGTGGAGATTGGGGAGAGTGATGGGTGGAGGAGATTCTGTTGCTATGTGCTGGTGGAGAGCTTTGTGTTGAGGAGGATGGATGGGACTCTGGTTCTGAAATCGGATTTCAGGCATACCAACACCATCAAATGGAGATGGGAGTAACATTACCCCAGTAGTAGGGATGGCGATCAAACTCACCACCACGGATACATGATCGATTTGTTTTTTTAGTCAACGTGGTGAGTTCTCGTATTAGTTGGGTATATGACGAGTATGAGTAAAACGTACAAGAAAGTTCGATGAGGATGGGGTCGGGTATGATTTTAGACTCCTGCCCGTCTCATCTTCATATCCGTCCAGTTAAGAGTATTTCTTCGTATATAAAAATATAGCAATCATATTTTAACAATGATAGGAAATGTAATTCAAAACCTCCCAACTCCCAACTTAATTTCTTTCCCTCCATTCACCCTTCACTCTTTCACTATTGCCCCCTTTTGACAATATTATGTTAGTTATGTGTTGATAAAATAGTATTTGAATAGTATTGTACTTTTCATGGATTCATTTTAGTATTGGATGCTTTGAATTCGTAGTAAAAGTAATCGTAACTTTGTTAATTTTATGAATTAAGTATGTTTAGTGTTATAAATGAAGGTTTACATATTGAATTTTAGATATATTAATATTGGATACACGATGTGTGATATTACTCACATCACACACGTATCTGGCAACTGCGAGTGAGTATGTGACAAAAGTAATTAGCGAAATCCACTCTAAACCCGTCTCATTACCATCCCTACTCATTGTTATTTATAAATAATTAAAAATGAATATTGACAAAAGTATCCACTTCTCTTTTTTTGGCATATATGACTTAAAAAAAAAAAAACAAAAAATGGCATCATCTAGAAAGGGCACGCACTTCTGCTCTGCTTCACCATCTGTCTTTTTGTTCTAGTCAACTTCCAAAGGTTCGGTTCTACCTACTTCCACCAGGAAAATCTACTCAGTACTCACAGTACCAGAAAAGCTTTTAATGGCGGCTTCTCCATTCCCTGCGAACTCACCGCTTCACTTCTCCACACCGTCCACCGCCGACGTCAGAAAAGGTTGCGCCTTTTTTTCCCCAGTTCACTGTGTCTCTCTGTCTCATGCCTGTGCCCTGCTTTTTTGCACCCCCTGTAAAATTTCTTTCTTTTCCTTCAGCTCACAATCACCGGCGGCTTGGCTCCGGTCGTGTTACCCAGAAGAGAAACAATGTCGCTTGCAGAGTGGAGATTCCTCGTCGATGGTACAACCTTGTCGCGGATCTTCCCATTAAACCCCCGCCGCCATTGCATCCCAAAACTTTCGAACCCATCAGCCCTCAAGATTTGTCGCCGCTCTTCCCCGATGAATTGATCAAGCAGGAAGCTTCCACCGACAAGTTCATCGACATCCCAGAAGATGTCGTCGACATTTACCGCCTCTGGCGGCCGACTCCTTTGATCAGGTTGGTTCCCCCCCTTTTCTTTCTTCTTCTGGACATTTGTTCTTTTCCTAATCAGAAGCAGTTTCGCTCATCCCCTGTTCGATTGTAGAGCAAAGAGATTGGAGAAGCTTTTGGACACGCCTGCAAAGATTTACTACAAATATGAAGGTGGCAGCCCAGCTGGTTCCCACAAACCGAACACTGCGATTCCTCAAGTTTACTACAATGCGAAACAAGGAGTGAAGAAGGTTGTGACGGAGACTGGTGCTGGCCAGTGGGGAAGCTCCCTCGCCTTTGCTTGCAGCCTCTTTGGTCTCGATTGTGAGGTATGATGAGATTCTTCGCAATTCATTGTGTCAGTCAAAATCGCGCTTTAAAACCTTAGGTTATCAAAACGCTTCTATATTGAGTCGTGTTTGTCACTTACAATTGTAGTGAAAATCTACGCTTTAAAGTTTAAAAGCTTACATTTTTACGCTACTAGGTCATCAGAACGCTTCAGTAATCTCGTGTTAGTTTGATCTCCTTTGTTGCAGGTGTGGCAGGTGCGGGCTTCCTATGACCAGAAGCCATACCGCAGGCTGATGATGGAGACATGGGGAGCAAAAGTGCACCCTTCTCCATCAACTGCAACAGCCTGTGGGAGGAGTGTTCTCGACATGGATCCCACGAGCCCAGGAAGTTTAGGAATAGCAATCTCAGAAGCTGTGGAAGTTGCAGCAGCAGATCCAGGGACCAAATACTGCCTGGGGAGTGTGCTGAATCATGTTCTCTTGCACCAGACTGTGATAGGAGAGGAATGCCTGAAGCAGATGGAAGCGATTGGCGAGACGCCTGATGTGATCATAGGGTGTACAGGTGGAGGGTCTAATTTTGCAGGCCTGAGTTTCCCCTTCATCAGGGAGAAGCTGGAAGGGAAGATGAACCCTGTGATACGAGCAGTCGAGCCTGCAGCGTGTCCTTCGTTGACGAAAGGGGTTTATGCTTACGACTATGGCGACACGGCTGGGATGACTCCGTTGATGAAGATGCATACTCTGGGGCATGACTTCATTCCTGATCCCATTCATGCTGGTAAAAAAATATACATTCTGCATGGCAGAGTGATTTGCTTTTTATCTTTGCTGCAATTTGGTGTCATCAAAGCTTTGTTTGTCTCCAGGTGGGTTGAGGTACCATGGCATGGGACCTCTGATATCTCATGTATATGAACTTGGGTTCATGGAAGCAATCTCCATCCCTCAAATCGAGTGCTTCAGAGGTAAATTACCGAACAATTATTCCAGGACAGAAACCAAAAGAGGGTGTCTGATGCTCAAATGAATGAATAGCAAGTTAAAGAATTGAGGATACTCATACCCCTATTGCAGGTGCCATACAATTTGCTAGAAGTGAAGGGCTGATACCTGCGCCAGAACCAAGTCATGCAATCGCAGCCACCATTAGAGAAGCTCTCCGTTGTAAGGAGTCTGGAGAAGCAAAGGTCATTCTCATGGCAATGTGTGGACATGGCCATTTTGATCTGACAGCATATGAGAAGTACTTGAAAGGAAGTATGGCTGATCTGTCGTTTGACGAGGAGAGAATACAAGCATCACTGGCTAAAATACCTAAAGTTGCGGCATGAAAGCAACAACCGTAACTTCTACCAAGTACTAAATCGACCTCTTAAGATTGATCTCTTGGTGCATCCAAGTTTTGTCTAATACAGGCCTCTGAGAAAACAGCTAGAAACCCAAACAAATTATCTGAATAGCAATAAGCATGTCGGAATTTGCTTGTTCGAGTGTTATTTTCCCTTTTATTCAGTCCAGGAGCATGGTCATAGACATTCAACAGTAGTACAATTCAGCTTCGACGGATTCCAGTTTGAACGAAAATTACTTGCGAAATGAGATGGAAACAGCGAAATTGTTCGAAAAGTCACCATGAAGGGCCCAAAACTTTCTATGTACATTGATCATGTCAAATGGTTTCGGCTTTGCTATCTCTTCAGATAAATCCGTCGGAGAAGATGTTCAGCTTCTGAAATCCTCCCCAAGGGCTAACTTATGAGTTTAGTGTAAGAAATGACTTAATGATGCCCATCATTTCTCCACCTGGAAATCGACCAAGACACCCCCTTGCTGCTGCTATCTCACTGTATTCGCAAACAGAATCACCTTGAAAAGCCTTGAGCTGTTGTTCTCCAGATCTCTCGTTGTGCAAGTCCTTACTATACTCTTCACCGTGATCTTTGACGATTGGAAGAGGAAATGAGTCGAGAGACGTTTCCAAAACCACGGATTCCCCGCCCCTAGCACCCACAAAGTCTTTCAACTTGCAGATTGCAAATGGAACTGGTTCAAAGCTATGATCACCGTATTCAACTGGGGTTGAGTGATCTCCCGTGACACAAAGGTAATATTGAAAGTCTCCAGTGCATTCTGCTTGCCAGAGGAGCTTGGCCAGCTGCCCTATTGCTTTATCCACAGCTTCCAATCCCTTCACTTTGAAAATGCTCGCTTTATCATGTCCTGCATCATCTATTGCCTGAAGAGGGAACAAAGGCAAACAGGAAAAGAGGGAACGTACTGAGATTCAGCAAATTTGAGAAGCAGAGAAAAAAGAAATGCCAAAAACTGGAAAATAAGAACATTTCCAATCCAAACGAAAGGGCAATAGGTTATTCGAGTGAATTTTATGCTGGCTGCGATCAGTCAGAGCCTAGTCAGCAAGGTGGGAAATGCTTGCGATCTATTGAAAATTTAATTTTGGGGAGCTTGATGAGGAAATGTTGGAAACAATTGGGGATTACCAAAGGAAAAAAGTAGACACCTTATAGTTGAGGGTTCCATTGACATATAACTCAATCATCAAGGAGAGAAAGGACAATCATGAATTATCTTGCCAAATGAGGCATCCTAAAGAAGCTGATTTTCAGGTGAAATTTATAAAAAAACGATAAACTCAGAAATTCAATACCTTAACGTGGAGAAACCCGAAATCGTACCCATCTGATCGCCCTGGTTTGTGTTCATCCTCTCCTGGTACAAATACATTGGGAGTTGAACTAGAAGGAGCACTAAGTGCCTTGGCTATAGCAGTTGCTTTCGAAGTCAACAGTGTTCTATAGTCTCCTGTTGCCCCAGGAGCTTCCAGAATATCAATATCCAATGACATGCCCAAGCCAGCTATAATTTTAGTTGGAGCCACCATGCACGGCCATAATCCATGCTTCTTTTCAAATGAAGGAACCTACAGAATGAGGATGAAGGTGTCAATATTTCAGCATCTTTCATGTACCAGAAGCGATCAAACAAAGCCAAATTACAGTTATTGTCATAGAGAATCTTTTGTGATTTTGAGTTCACTACAATGAATTAGAGAACACATTTATGGATCAGAACTTCGGCCCCAACCGACAAGAAAGGGAACAACCAGACTTCAGTTTAACCTCATCTATGAAGATCTACATAAAGAATCTAGGGGATGTGAAACACACCTGAATTCGGATACCACATCCTCGTAAAAGGACAAGGTTGGCGATGTTCTTCCCTTCTGCAGCTCTTTTGGAATTCAGTGGGTGAGAAACTAAGATTTTCGAGATCTCCCTAGATAATTCATTAACAACAGCAGCTGTATGTTTCGCCTCATCAGTATCGTCTAAAGCTTCAGCCTTCAGAAGGGGACGGTTGTCCTTAAGTGGGTCAGTTCCGGATATGTTTCCACTCAACTTTGGCCCTTTGACAACAACTCCACATCTATGTTCTGTGGCATACCTGTAAAGTCCATTCTTAAGGTTTTGTATTCATGGATAGGCATTGAATTTCTAAACAACAATCACAAATTGAATATCTCGGTTCTGGAAAGAAATCAAACTATGAAACAAGACAGCACAGCAAAACAAATGGTTACCCAACAAGTTTTTTTTCTTGAAAGTGCTATTATGTCGGAGAATCTGTGCCACTGACAAAGCAAAGTATAAATGCTGGAATTTGAGGTTTGGATAAACATCAACATCTTGGAAGCTCATATGACTTACATTTACGGTTTCCACCAAACCAACAACAACTACGATGGGATACAGCGGAGGGAAAGGAAAGCAAAAAACCAGTGGTTTATGATATTGTTAAGTAATTAGTTGCATTGATATGGCATTTAAAGTAGAAAAAGAAAACAAAGTTGAAACATCGATCTTGTAAGACCCAATAGGACCTGTTTTTCACTACGTTCAACGAGCATAAAGTTCTTCAAATTAAGTGTAATTATAGCTCCTATTGCTGTGGCTACACTATGTTATCTACCGTTACTCAGAAAGCCTTGCTAAAGCAATGCAATTGAAACATCGATCTTGTAAGACCCAATAGGACCTGTTTTTCACTACGTTCAACGAGCATAAAGTTCTTCAAATTAAGTGTAATTATAGCTCCTATTGCTGTGGCTACACTATGTTATCTACCGTTACTCAGAAAGCCTTGCTAAAGCAATGCAATTGACAATGAGTTCAATTTCACTAGCTTGAAAAGCAGAGAAGATTCTCAACAAGCCAAACTGAATGGTGAAAACGTTAAAAATTCACCAGTAAATTCATAAATTAGAAAGGAAGCTGGCCCTGGTGGAACTGATGTACCTTTCATTCCAGATAAAGCAAGAAAGTTCATACATGTAGAAGTCCATACCTAACCCTAACCTCATACTCGGGGAAAGATGGCAACTTCATGCCATCCAATGCTTCACATAGGATCGGGCCTTCTTCTTCAAAATGCCTGTCAGCTCTTCTACTGGTAACTATTCCAGTTTTCTCATCCAATGTTGCAAAGTTTGACTGAAGACCAAAAAAATACAAGTGAAGATGAATAAGAAGCAAAGGATAACTTAGCACAAGTCTGTTTTAGAATAACCAGATCCCACATGCCAGACAAACCAAATGTAAAATAAGATAACGAGAACATGGTTGCAAATGAGAGAAAAATCATCTGCACTTGCCTTAAACGCAATATCACCAGGTGACATCGCCAATCCAGCACCCATAGACTCGAATGCGCCTCTACCCCTGTAGTACACTCGAGGATCATAACCCAGTAAAGAAAGGTGTGCAGTGTCACTCCCGCAACCAAGACCGACTTCAACAGGGTCCATCAGACCATTTATTCCAGCCGATGCAATAGCATCCAGGTTGGGAACACAGGCTGCTTCCAGAGGAGTCTTGTAACCCAACCTTGGCAATGAAACGTCACCTATTCCATCAATCAGCACAAATGCAACTCTCCTCTTTGGACTACCCATGACTCCAATGACAGTATCTTCCACTACCTTCTACTGAAGTTACACAGTTCAGTTGCCCTATAAGGAATTTGAAGAAACAACAGAAAAACGAAGACATTGATAATCGATTAGCGAAGCCGAAAATAACTGATAAATTTGCCTTCTTGAAGACCTGATGGGTAATTTAAACATTTGTTTAATCCTGGCAGAAGGCATAACAAGAACAGACTCGCAGGCCGTGTTCTTCAATGCGAAAAGCGAAACAACCAGATGGGTAACATGGGTTGCAACCAAGATATCAAATTTCTCAACCATGGGAACAAAATGCAAATAAATCACAATGTCAGTCGCATGCATGCCTGCCAAGAATATGAATTTGAACAATCCCTCGCCAGAGAAGTGGAAATTAGATCATACAACAGTTCGTCGATCAACAAATGAAATCTCCACACGCAAAAGTCCAAGGAAAAGCTCTTACCTGAAAAGAAATCTGGAAGAAGAACTGGGAAGCGGCTTATGCACGAGATGGCATCTGATTGCTCATCAAAATTTAAGAGACCAAAGGAAAAGGAATCAACAAAAGAGCTCGATGCCCATCCATTCCGCTGCCTTTAGCATTGAAGTTAGTAAAGAGAAAATTCGATTTCCCAAGTAAAGGATACATCTTTCTGTACTGATTTATTAGTTTACTTTATGGGCGGCTTAATTGCAAGTTTGGTCACTCGAATTGCTATAAAATTTCACGTTTGCCACTCAAATTAATTTATTCCATTTATAGTCACTCGAATTAGTTGAACAGTTCAAGTTCGGTCACTCTCCGTTAACCTCCGTTAACTTTGACTGACGTGGCGGTCAACTCTGACAGTTGACCGTTAAATGTGTGACGTGGCAAATAAAAAATAATTAAAAAATAAAAATTAAATTTTTAGAAATTACACATCATTATAAAAAAAATTATAATTATAAAAAATGAAAAAAAAGAAATTATCACAAAAAAAAAAATCACATCGTCATGACAGAGTGCTGGCGATTTAGTGATCTGATCACACTCAGCTCCGACTCTCGCCACCTGTCTCTCTGGTTTTCATTATTCTAATCTCTCCGCCGGAAACAGAGTAAAAAAATGATGGAGCCGTGGAGGAAGAAGGTCGGCGTCGCGTGGGAGAAGGCCAAGCGCGCTCCCGCCCTGGCATGCCGGAAAATGTGGAGAGTCGGCAAAGACGACCCCCGGCGAGCGATTCACGCCGTCAAAGTCGGATTAGCGCTCACTCTGGTCTCCATGCTCTACCTCCTCGAGCCCCTGTTCGAAGGGATCGGCCAGAACGCCATTTGGGCCGTCATGACCGTCGTCGTCGTCCTCGAGTTCACCGCCGGTAAACTCAAAACCCCACCAAACCCACTTTCCCTAACACTCATCAGAAGTAAATTACTCCGACGTTTTTTTTCCCTCACCACAAATTTTTGAGAAACAGGGGCGACTCTGTGCAAGGGGCTGAACAGGGGATTGGGCACGATTTTGGCCGGTTCGTTAGCGTTTCTAATCGAGTTCACCACCGAGGCAACAGGGCAAGTCGGTCGCGCCATCTTCATCGGTTGCGCGGTCTTCATTATTGGTATTCTGCAGCTTTTCCATCTCAATCCTCTGTTTCTTTGTTATTAAGCTTGAAAGTAGATAACCACAAAGTACTGAAAATTTTGAGTAGGCAAATAATCGAACGGTCGATAACTTTGCAACCGACTCTTATTATGAATAGCGCAATTGGTTGATTTTGTCGTTATTGAACATCCCGAAAAAAACAGGGGCGGCGGCGACTTACCTGAGATTCTTGCCGTACGTGAAGAAGAACTACGACTACGGAGTCGTCATCTTCCTCCTCACCTTCAATCTCATCACGGTATCCAGCTTCCGAGTCAGCAACGTCATGAGGATCGCCCACGAGCGGTTCGTCACGATCGCGATCGGCTGCGGGATCTGCCTGTTCATGAGCTTGTTGGTCTTCCCAATTTGGTCGGGGCAGGATCTCCACAACTCCACCGTCAATAAGCTTCAAGGCCTCGCCAATTCCATCGAAGGATTCGCCAGCAACCCAGCACTCTGTCATGACGATGTGATTTTTTTTTTTGGTGATAATTTTTTTTTTATAATTATAATTTTTTTATAATGATGTGTAATTTCTAAAAATTTAATTTTTATTTTTTAATTATTTTTTATTTGCCACGTCACACATTTAACGGTCAACTGTTAGAGTTGACCGCCACGTCAGTCAAAGTTAACGGAGGTTAACGGAGAGTGACCGAACTTGAACTGTTCAACTAATTCGAGTGACTATAAATGGAATAAATTAATTTGAGTGGCAAACGTGAAATTTTATAGCAATTCGAGTGATCAAACTTGCAATTAAGCCCTTTATGGGCACTTGTTTGTTTATTGCGGAGGGGGAGTGTATAACTGGGGCTGGTTTCATTCATGGTGTTGGGCTTGGAAAGAAGCCCATGCGACTTGCCCAAAGACGGAAGGAAGAAAATGCGGTGGAAAACCTGCCATGCATTAAGGTTCTACTTGTCTACCACGTAGTGGGCAGGGCAGGGCAGGGCAGGGCAGGGACGGGACGCCATTAAAACAAGAACGGGAAAGTTACCCTTTTCGGATTCCAATCGATCTCTGCAAGCAATTCCGATTTTTTCCCCTTCTCTTCTAAAATTTTCTTACTTGTCGTGTTTAGCGCCATTGATTCTCGCGGCATCACAGAGCTAAATTGAAGATGAAGACAATGGCGGCTCGCCTTGTCCACTCCTCAAGCTCCTCCTTCCCTAAATTGCTGTCAGTTCTTCTTCTTCGTCATGCTTTCTTTCTTCCGCATTCCGGTTGTTCAATTCTACTAGAATCTAACAGACATGGGATTTTGATTAGGTCAGAGTCGCTTTCTAGATTGTTATGGCATTTGCCATTTGTAATGGAAACTTCTCTGTCTGCTCTTTCTGCTGGTTACAGACCCACAGCAGCGAACAGGAGATTACTGTCTACGACTTCTGAGAAAGTTGAAGGATCCAGCGCCCAAATCAAGGAACCAGGAGATCAGCAAAAAGTACATCTCTTTTCCTAACCATTCTTCCCTTTTCCATGCCAGATCAATTTTTATGCTCAGTTATGAGTTTGTTCTCCAATGAAATAACTTTCGGATTGTTTTCAGCTTCTTGTGCTCGGAGGAAATGGGTTCGTTGGTTCACATATGTGCCAAGAAGCTCTGGCTCAGGGTCTGAGTGTCTCTAGCCTTAGTAGGTAATGCTCGGTTCAAATATAAGTTCAACTATTTTAATGTGTGGGAATGTTCCATTGTGTAAGAAATTTGAAGCATTAGCTTAGTCCTTGGTGTTGGGAGCTCATTGCTGTCCATTTCCTTAACTAGGTCTGGTAGAGCATCTCTTCCTGATTCTTGGGCTGAAAGTATAGTGTGGCATCAAGGTAATTGTTTTCCTCCTCACTTACCAACATAGTTGTCTTCCTGCCTTATTGAACGTGGAACCTAATGTTTTCGTGGCTCCATTTGCAGGAGACTTGCTTTCACCTGATTCACTGAAGAATGTGTTCAATGGAGTGACTTCTGTGGTATGCAATCTCAAGCATTTGTCAATATCGAGACTGAATAGCTGGAACTGAAACCATTTTGATACTCCAACATCATGCTGCACTTCACTTTTGAGGCCCTTAATACTCGTGTTATATGCTTTTGTGGGTAAAATTACTGTAAATGTGTTATGTATGATATGACCAAACCAGTCTAAGGATGTGGTCATATTTTGTGATTTCTCAATGGGGAACTCTTTTATGTTTAATATCTCAGATGTGGAAATTATCACTTCACCTGGGATCATTGTTATCAGTTTCATGAATGGGATCCGTGTATATGTTTAATATCTTAACTGTATCATTGTATAATGAATCCTATCTGACTCTCTTTTTCAGTCTTCATCAGACTTTTATACAACTTAATGTATTATTATCTTAACTCTGTTTCATCATCTAAAATGAACCTTGCAGATCTCCTGTGTCGGAGGTTTTGGATCAAATGCTCACATGTATGACATCAATGGATCTGCAAATATGCATGCTATTACAGCAGCTGCAGAACAAGGTAGCACATTCTTTTTTTCTTAAGGCATTCCCATTCTTTAACTTGTGTTCACAATTTTATTTTATTTTTGTTTAATTTTTTGCTCTTTGACTTTTGTAGTCACGGCCTCGGTTTATTGATGCGATGCATATACAATCTCTAGTATGAATTTCACTATGCATTGCTGTATGAAATAGTGCACGGGGTTCCAAGCATTTTATGTTTTATGGATGACTTCTAATATCGAAATTCCATTATTAGTAATTTATCTAGAGACAAGATTTACGATATAAATCAATCATGAATGCAAGCCATGCTCTGCCAACGATGGTTACTGAGCCCTATCTTACAGCTGTTGGAAATTTTAAAACTTTCTTCTGACATTTCAGGCTCCATTTGATACTGGTTGGAAATTTTGAGTTAGCCTTCATCTCCTTCAATATTTGCAGGTGTGAAAAGATTTGTGTACATCTCTGCCGCTGACTTTGGCTTGATCAATAAGTTACTTAGAGGATATTATGATGGGAAGGTATTTACTTCCCATTAATAACATTCTTTTCACCTTTCTGTCAAGGTTCAATGCAATCCTAGCAAATAGTTTCCAAGTTGTGTTAGGGCTGTATTTTTCTATCTCTAAGGGGAGATTCGACTTGTTGCTGTTATTCGAGATGGTCTATCTATAACTGCAGCTTGTTAAAGAAATATTTTATTTTCTTCCTTTTCTTAATAATTTTATTTTTTTATTTTATTTTTTTGCAGAGGTCAACTGAGAAAGAGCTGATGAAGACATTCCCACAAAGTGGTAAGGTTTTGCTGATGTTTCTGCTTTGATTTATATTCTATTTCTGATGAAGTAGCAAGCTTTTATATGGTCATAGAAGTACCGAATTCAATCTGAAAATTGATTTGTCTACATATGTTATGACATCAACTATCACCTACTTGCCGGACATCATTATCTTATACTTGTTTCTGCTAGTAAAGGAATAAAGGAAAGCAGAACTTATGAGTGGTGTCAAAGATTGAAATCCCCATCTCCAGTGAACTCAGTATTATTTCTGATTGATCTAGAAACCTTTCCCAGAGGATACCAAATAGATTTATGGTTAAATGTCAGATATTCCCTGTTCAAAGCAGGAAACATGATTTGAAACTACAATCAACAAAGATTGTGAAGCAGCAGTTTGTCTATTCATTTTTCCAGGAGTAATTTTGAGGCCAGGTTTCATCCATGGTGTTCGTAGGGTTGGGAGCCGGAACCTGAATTTGAGTATAATCGGTGCTCCTCTAGAGAAGGTACCTTTGCATTCTTAACTTGCAAGTCGTATGAACTGATGTCATATTTTGATAGGGTGTTCCCAGTTAAGGCATATTAACAGAAGTCTACTAGTCATGTCCGTCTCGTGGCCTTCACTGATGCATAATAATTTTCACTCCCCTCCCCCCGTTAATTTTCAGCTCCAATGTTTCCTTGTAACACAAGGAACATACAAATACTTGATGTGTTCAGTACATATATGATATATTGATTTTGTATATGCCAATATGATGTCATGATGATGATGATGATGGTGCAGGCACTTCAACATGCAAAGATCCTGACCAAGATCCCACTCGTCGGGCCTCTTTTTATCCCACCTGTCAGTGTCGCGTCGGTGGCAAAAGTTGCTGTGAGAGCAGCAACTGATTCGGACTTCCCTTCAGGAATTCTTGATGTATATGACATTCGGGAGAAGAGCCTGGAAAAGTTGGAATGAAGGGTGGGAGCACTGAAAGCATTAGAAGTTCCCTTCCCTTCTCTTTTTGTTCATTCCCATCTCGAAGACTCGTCCTTTATCTCTATGTTGCAGAATGGCAATGGCTGCTTCCTCTGCTGAAGAATTTGTAGGTAGGATGAAATTTCTTGATTAATTGAACGAGTTCCGTAGAAAGCTGCTCACTGGAAGATTCATCATCATTTGAATACCCGGGGATGCCAGAGAGTTGTTCTTTTCTTCTATTGCACATTGGTCTGCAAGAGCCTAGGTTCGTTATGCCTGCAACTAGATGGCTTAGTTAGTACCAAAGTACTCGACTGCGAGACTTTGTATAAATAACCCATCAATGTTTGATCTAGGATGCTGGATTTCTTAATTGATCGACTGTGTGAAGTAGATGTACTTGAAAACAGATTGGAAGAATGAACACAATACTATAAAGTGAACTGATGGATTCTATAATCAGTGTTTCTGAAACTATACTTGTTCAATAAAAAAACTGCCTACCGGAGTCCAAGTCAGTATTTGAAACTTTTACTTGTATGAAACTATTGAACCGCGATTTAAGCACAATGTAGTTCACCCTCGGATACATACAATTCTTGCTTTTCTGTGAGTCAAATCATGCAGAATTTACTAACTCATAAATTATGAGCACATTTCCCAACTCCAGTTACACTAATTTCCCTAATTTAACATAATGATTGAATCAGAATCCTACTCTTATCAGCTATCTTTTGTTTTTGTACAAAATTTAACTAAATGAGGACGGTGTCTTTCTTCTCTTCAGCGACATGCTTTTCGTGCCACTTCCTTGTGTTGAGCCTGATCCAGGCTCTGACAACCACCTCTGATACTTCCCCATCACTTCCACTCCATCGTCACTCGAACTTTCTGCTGCTTCTGAGTCTGCTATGCCTTTTCCTTTCTCTTTAATGGCAGATGTCTCCTGGCAGTAGTGTTGCTCTTCTTCGGTAGTCCAGCTGGAATCTTCCTCTTCTCCCTCACTGCTGCTTCTCTCTGCTTCTGCAGAAGACGATGATGAAGTGTCATGGGACCCAGCAGCATCAAAGATAGTGACATTCTCTTTCTTTGCACTCTGAAACGAGTAACTTCTTCCTGCGCCATTATTATACGTTGGAAGCAGAGTTCCGGGACTGCTTGTGGCAATTCTTCCACTCTCGTCTCTCCCCAAGCTGTAAGTTGTTGAGAGCTTTCTCTCCAGCTTGCCCCGCTTCCTCAAGAGGTTGCCTATCTCTTCAATGGTTTGGTGGCCAGTTACTTCTTCTGCAGCAGCAGCTCTTCCCTGAAGCTCAGTGATTGTCCTCTCCAATGCTTTCTTCCTCCGTTGAAGAGACCTCTGAAAACGAGATGAGAAGTTGGGAAAAAGCGGAAATTAAGGGAGCAAAATGGATGTCCAGAAAATGGATTTACCCTTTTACCAAGGAAGCTTCCCAAGCCTTGGCCCTGAAGCTTCTCTTTGTTCCAGAAGATGCAACAGAATCTCACCAGTCCAGCAAGAATTAGCAGGACAATGGTCTCAAACAACAGAAATAACAGCAGGGTTCTTCTGTTACCTGAAACATTCATTTGACAGAATCCATGGGTCATGGTGGACTTCTTGGCTTGGAACAAATTCTTTTGCCGTGTGAGAGAAAGAAGACGGGGAAAAAGCTTACCAGGGTAGTCAACTATATGCTTGGGGTTTGCTTGTGAGCAGGTGGACACAAGCTTCTCAACTAGCGGGCAATCCAAAAATATATTGACAGAAATAGAAAAACAATTAGAATAGTTTATGCTAGTAGAAAAGATGCAAACTTGGACGAAGTTTTTAGAAAGAGGAGCTACATTTGGTACGGCAAGGAAGCTTACTCCCAGACTCTGCATCATTTCGCAAACATTTGGGTTATTTTTCACTCTGGTGTCACAGGATTCATCAGATGAATAGTTTAGGTTAGAGCAGTGGAATCTCACTTGAAGCAGCAATGAAGGCAAGCATAACACCCTCATCAACTACAAAACGATTCAGATCGCTTTGGGAAAATGGAGTTGGTAACTCTCCTGAAACTCAACAAGGTGAGAAGGACCCTAGAACTCTAGGAAAAGCAACCATGGGAAGATCAAATGCACGTTAACAGCAGAAATATTTTTTTTAAAAGATCGATGCCTACCAGGATAGCTTTCTGACCAATATACAGTCCCAGTTGCAGGAACCAACAGGGTGAAGGTCACACCAGTAGGCCTTATTGCTGATACATAATTGTATTCACCAATTACACGATCAACTTTCCCCTCCATATGCGTCTGAGATATGTAAACTCCATACCCAGAGCAATCAACAACTGGGCTGACTTGTATAACTGAACTAGATTTGGATGCCTTCATGAATTTCTTCACGACACCAGCTGGTGAGATTGAGTACAGGAATCCATCCAGCGAACCAAGCGATATCCATCCTGTCATGCTCACAACATAAGGGGGAAAATGGTAAAATTATCCACTTCTTCGACGGATGCTCACCAAAATGCTGAACCATGTAATTGATTCATGAACTTAGTTGCTCTTTTACCATTTGAATCTACAACAGGTGTAGTATCTTCAGTAGGCAGAGGTCCAATGCCTTGCTTCCAAAGGATACTGCCCATGTAAACATCCAGAGCCAAAACAAGCGCCTTGGCAGGTACAGTGACATACAAACGTCCATTGTTGCCAGGCGTGATGGTGAAAACTGTATCGAGGAAGCTAAGATCCTGGACCCAGTTGAAGCGTGGATCGCGAAGAGACAAGGAATAAACTTCCCCTTTAGTATTTGAAATCTGCAATTCCCATTCAACATTTTACATCCTTTAATACTCATAACTGAAGCAAAATAACAGCAGGCATGGTAAAAGTGGGGCGGGAAGCCTTACAAACAAGCTAGCTTCACATTGGTCAATCACAGGTACTGAAGCAAAATAACAGTCCTTGATTCCACGCCTGCATCCCAAACGGTAGCCGGACTGAGAAAGCAGCGGTCCAGCACTCCACACCAGCTTCCCATTCATGTCGCAGGCAAACAAACCTCGGTTCTCGACATTGATGAACACGGTGGAACTCAGCGTGCTGACTGCAACGCCGATGATCTCACCCCCACCCTTCTGCCCAAAGAAGACTTCCTCGGCGGGCACAGAAGTCCCAATGTGCTTGACATTGATCTTGAGAACTCTATCATCTGCAACCAAGAACATCTGCCCCCCACCACCCAATTGGAATTTCATTATCAGCAAGCAGCCATGAAAAGGAGATATGAGAGCTTTTGAGATGGAACAAAAGGAGTAAAATTAGGGCTTGCCAGTCCTGGTCCGCCATGGACAGGGGCCATGCGGAGATTGCATTCGTAAGCCAAATGTAAAGTCCAGGCGAGTGACCCATTGCTCTGGAATGCCAAGAGGAACCTCTGGGAACAGGTATAGATCGTTCCGTCGTCTCCGATTAGAGGTTTCGAGAGCCGCCTTGGGGCTGTTCTTGCTGTCCAACTTCCCTGCCCTGAAAAAACCCTAAACAAATTAAACGCAGAAATTTAACGAATTGAAAGAAGGAGGACGAATTCTGATGAAAAAGCAACCTGGGAAAGCCGGGTATGGTTGTGCGGAGAGCAATTGAAGCACCGGAAGGAAGAAGAGAATGGATTGGAGTGGCATATCTCTTCCTCTTTGATATTCGGTGGGAATTCTGGTCGTGACATTATAATGGTTCGCTTACTTGAAGCAGTGGACTGGCGGGAGCAGTAACTAACTGTTGACGAAAGAAATTTGAAATCTTTGGGAAGAAACCGTCGAGTAACCGTCGGCGATTGCAGAACCGCTGTCCACAGTGCGGGGAGCCAAACTGCCGAGAAAGTAACTTTCGACGGTGGAGGTGGCGCCGTGGCGGAGGTGGCCGTGAAGGAAGCATCCTAACAAAATCTAGAGGGAGGTGTGGCGTAAATCGTAATGCTGAGCCTACGGTCCGTGGACGGACGCCGGCGCCAATAAATAGGTTGATTGTGGCGGGAATTCATTCCATTAAATCAGGCTTGGGTGTTCATACACAGGGTTCAAGAATGTGTAGTTCCGCGTATGCATGGACGCATCTAGGTACTAGGAATGGCAATGTACATGTCCGGGGCGGGTTTTTCGGTATCTAGCGTCTCGTGACAGATCGGATAATTTATTATGGGTCGCGGGTCGGGGCAGTTCGACTCAATAGGTATGTAATTTGTATGAGAAATATTAGAAATATTCGTTATTTTTATCATAAGACCAAAAAAACGGAGAATATTATGATAAATGAAGTTAATTTTTTTTTTTTAGATAAAAAGGGTGATATAGGTTACTTTTTTTTGTTATTAGGTACTACTGAAGAACCTGGTACCTCCAGGTTCATGGCTAGTGGTATTACCACTAGACCAATCCCTTGTTCGTGATAAATGAAGTTAAATTATTAGAGAAATTGAGATTTTCTCTAATTTACAACTTTATTATAGCTAAGATATGATGTAATAAAAGAAAATCCTAAGTAATTTGACTAAGATTACATGTAATTTAGGCAAGAACGAGTCGAAAATGAGGCGGGACAGGTCAGATCGATGAAAGTACCAATGCCCGCCCCAAAACAGGCCAAACAGATCGGATAAAACGCGTTCGAAATTGTCATCCTACTATTCACTAGACGATGACAAAATGCACCGTTTATATCCTAAGCAAAGTATTAGGTGTTTAAAACTATGTTTGGCAACAAGGGAGGTGCAAGTTCGAGGAGGTGCAAGTTGAAGAGTAAATTGCTGGGGGGTGCAACTTAGTGGGGCCTGAGGGTGTAAGTGGAGGAGTAAATTGTTGTTTGGATGATAAAGTAGAAGGTGCAAATAGACCGAAAACTAAGTAATTATATCATTATAAAATAGATTTATCAAATTTATAAAATATTATCAGAAAATAATAAAATTAAAAAGCAATATATAATAAAATAAATATATTTTAATAAAAAATATTATTTTATAATAATGCTCAAATAATAATTAATTATAAGAACAATAATAATCATTGGTCGAGCGACCTCGAAACTCGAACCCAACTTGTAACTGGAGCTCTTAAATCTTAAGGGGGTTCTCGTGCCTATATTTAAATTGAATATGGTCAAACTTAGTCAAACACGTTCGAATCTGTAAGCTTTCCCTATTTAGTTAAGTAAATTGAGTCAACTAAACCGCTCTTCTCTATCTTTTCCACAAACGCTTCTTATCTCTAATTTTCAATGTAAATTTGAGTCAACCAAGAGATATCGATTTGACTAGACGAACATTGACAAACTTGCTCTCGAAGTCAAACGGTCAACCCCGAACAACGTCTACATTAATGATAGCTATAACAAAAAAATTAATAATATTAATTATTAAGTAATTATAATATAATTAAAAAAATCCATAATTCCCCCCTCCTCCCTTCCTTCATTCCCTTGCACCCCAATTCGGGGTAAGCCGAAATAGTAATTCTGCACCTTCGTTTTGCACCCCTCTACTGTTACAAATTATCCAAACAAGTACAAATGTCTTGAAAACTGTATTTACCTCTCCCATTTGCACCTCCTCCAATTTGCACCTTTTCCCAGTGTTAAACATCTAGTCGAAGCTAGGTGGAGTTAGGCAGATTGTGACGTATACAATGCGATTTGTACATATCTACAATCATATGTATGCCACCTTTGCAACTCTTCTGGAAATCAATGAGATCACATTTGGCACTTGCTCTGTCTCCCCTGTTTTTTTGCTTTTGTTTTTGCTGTTTGCATTCCAGATAAATTTATTAATGATAACTGCAGCAGTAATCTACATGGATGGACTTCCAGATGCAAGCTTGTTTTGACCTTTTTTCCAGAAAAAGATTAAAGAAAACCCAAATCCAAAGCTACTCTGTTTACAGCTCAACCTCAAAACAGAGTTCTCCATATCCAAACCGCTCCTCTTCGTCGCTGTCAATGGGTCCAAAAGCAACAGTCCAAACACCAACAGAGCCCGTTGTGTCCATTCCAGTACTAAGAACTGTTAGTCAAACAAGGGAAGGAAAGGAGCAAACAACCATCCCAAGTTCCTCAAACATCAATCACTAAAAATCCACATGCCATTTGCTTCCCATAACATACATTTTCTTTCCATATCGTCCAATCCGCCACTCCAACGTCCATAGTTTCCAAACCTTCCCCCAACCTCCCCATGTAATGTGACAATGGATCCTCAATCACGAAAGAAAGAAAGGGTAAAGGGAAATTTTGGCGAACATGCTTTCACTCCTCCGACCCATTCCTCTGCTTCTTCTGCTGCAGCTCGCAACAATGGCGGCAGCAGCAGCACAATCGGAACCACTAGGGCGACGGGGCTGCCCGACCCAATGCGGGAACGTAACCATCCCATTCCCATTTGGAATGGGTCCAGGCTGTTACCTCGAATCACGCTTCCAAATCCTCTGCAACCAAACCCTAAACAACCCACCAAAACCCTTCCTCACCAAACCCTACCTCGAGGTCCTCCAAATCTCCGTCTCCAACAACACGATCCAGACATTGTTCCCAACCCTGACCCACTGCGGCAACCAAACCACGCGAAAGCAGCGGCGGGTGACGGTGGATTTGTCCGGCGGCCCGTTCGTCCTCTCCCATCTCCAGAACCGATTCTCCGCCGTGGGCTGCGGCAACCTCGCCCTGATGTCGCTGCGGCAGTCGGCGGTCTGCGGCTGCTTCTCCATCTGCGACAGAACAAGAGACCTCTCGGAGCCGATCCGGCGATCCTGCAGCGGAATCGACTGCTGCGAGATCAAGATCCCGTCCCGGCTCCAGGTGTTCAATGTCAGCTTCGACGGCACTAGAGGGAGGGGGAGGAAGCTGAAGCTCGGGGAGTGCAAGTCTGCTTATCTTGTTGACAAGCGGTGGATGGAGGATTCCAATTCGACTCCAGATGTTTTGGGGCAGAGGAAGTTTATCCCTGTTTTGCTCAAGTGGATGGTTGATAAGAAACACTACCGTTTGATTGCCTGGCCACGACGAACTGGCGGTGGATCATCGGATCAGCAGCAAGTTTCGACCCATTACTGTAACTTCTCGAATTTCACGGCCAGGTTGCTTACTCGGAAGAGGGAGATCTTTCAGTGTAGTTGCAGGAATGGGTTTCAGGGGAACCCTTATCTTAATGAAGGATGCCAAGGTAATGATGGAAAGTTGTTTAGTTTACTGGTTGCTATGGCAATGGCATGGCGAGAGTTGAGAGACTGATGAGATTTTGTGCAGATATAGATGAATGTGAAGATTCTCACAATCCTTGTGCTCAGCAGAATAAAGTTTGCATTAATCTCAAAGGGAGTTTCAGGTGCAGCAGCTACAAAGTTCCCAAGTTCTTAGGTAAACAGGATTCCAGGAATGTCATTTTACTAGGTAACTCTCCTCCCAAATTTTTTTTTTATATAGAAAAAGATAAAAATGTATGTGGCCAAGGTGGATCTTACCTTCACTCCTCCCATTTTCCATCGCAAGAGATCTTGTTTTTCGGATGGTTCAATCTCCCTCTCTACCTTGCTTTGAATTCATATTCTTCTCATTTACGGTTTCACCTCATCGTATTAGGTAGTGAAATAATTATTTTATTTTTACATATAATGTACACTATTTTGGAATCTCATGTCTCATTAGCTATCGAGTCCAATTTACTCTCTGTATATATGTCGTCTGAATTCATCTTCTTCTCATTCACAACTCCATGCTCACTCAAATCCTCTTATGTAACCGTATTTAGGTAATCAAAATAATTATTTTCTTTTCCAATAGAGCTATTTTTGAATTTGAGGGGTCATTTGGGAAATGGAGTCCAATTTAATAACTCAAAAGTGTATTGTTTTAATGAGAGACATGGACTAAGTATAATTTCAACCTAATCTTATTCGATGATATGTATATCATTCTTTTTTTTATTTACATTGGTTCGCGAGTGCAAATTATTATAGAGCTCAATCACAACATCTTTGTGGTTGTTCTTGCTGCTTTTCTAATTTCCTGTTTTATATTTCATTCGTTCAACGAATCACAAGCGAGCGGGTCAATATTTTAGTAAAAATATGATATGGAAAGTCACTTTTCCCTACAGGTGTAACTTTGGGATTCAGCTTGTTGCTCCCATTGTTTGGAGTATGGTGGTTGTACAAAGCATTGAAGAGGAGGAAGAAAAAGAAACTCAAGCAAAAGTTCTTCAAAAGAAATGGCGGTCTCCTGCTCCAAAAACAGTTGTCCTCAGGGGAGAGCGGTGTTGTTCAGAAGCTCAGATTGTTCACCTCAAAGGAACTAGAAAAGGCCACCAACAACTACAATGTTAGCAGGCTGCTCGGCCAAGGTGCACAGGGAACTGTTTACAAAGGAATGCTGGACGACGGGATCATCGTAGCGGTGAAGAAATCCATGATACTTGATGGAGGGAAGCTGAAGCAGTTCATCAATGAGGTCGTCATTCTCTCGCAGATCAACCACAGGAATGTGGTTAAGCTATTGGGCTGCTGCTTGGAGACAGAGGTTCCTCTTCTGGTTTATGAGTTCATACCCAATGGCACGCTGCATCAGTTTCTCCACAGTCAGACAGAGGAGGAGCTTGTTCTAACTTGGGAGAAGCGCCTGAGGATTGCAGCTGAGGTTTCTGGGGCGCTCTCCTATCTGCATTCAGCAGCTTGCGTGCCCATCTACCACAGAGATGTCAAGTCCACCAACATCCTCTTGGATGCTAAGTATCGAGCCAAAGTCGCCGATTTCGGGACTTCGAGGTCGATCAACGTCGATCAAACCCATCTCACTACTCGCGTGGAAGGTACCTTCGGCTACATGGATCCCGAGTATTACCAATCGAGTCATTACACGGAGAAGAGCGATGTTTATAGCTTTGGGGTAGTTCTTTTCGAGATGCTGACGAGGAAGAAACCGGTGTGCTCGAATGACTCAGGGGAAGTGATGAGTCACATTACATCATTTATACTCACGCCGGAAGAGGAGGACGACGAGCTGCTGGGCATGATTGATCCTCAAGTGATGAAGGAAGCGAACAGGGATGATGTAATGGTGATAGCTAGGTTGACGAAAAAGTGTTTATCTTTAACGGGGAAGGATCGTCCTACAATGAAAGAAGTCACAATGGTATTGGAGGGGATTCCCAAAGAGTCATTGGGGAATGGCGTTGATGTTGAGTATGATAAGAATTACGCGATTGAGCGACAGGAAACCACTTGCATAGAACATTTGCGTTTTCGTAGTAACATCTCAATGTTAGACACGTCTTAAACAACTTATTCACTGTTTCATTCATTGATTAGGGTGGTTTCTTCGATTTTGATGTGTCTTCACCAATCACATTGTATTATTCCTTGGATGGAATGAGATGGAATTTTCTATGCTAGCCATGAATCCCCTAGGGGACTCAACACATGAATCCTACATTGATGAAAAATACAACATAAACACATGACTACAACATATAACCCTAAAAATCAGAAATTCTTGTGTCGATAACAACAAAATCATGAAACAATATACCCGTTGCAATTGATGTGTACAACAAAACACTACATCGCAATAAACAAATCTTTTTTTTTTTATAGGAACATCGCAATAAACAAATCTCACGGTCACTATAAACAAGGGACTTAAAATTAAAAAGAAAAAATAATTACGATTAGAGCACCTCAATTCATAAAAATAATGGAAATTATGAAGGCTGACAATATTATGAAACAATGTAGTATTGTGAATGTCCATTAGATTCTATATTGGATACTACTTCGGATACATATTGGATGCTCCATTAGGAGATAATTACATCCCTACATTGATCATGGAAATGAATCATCATCATGGTTATTATATTACATTCATTTGCACTTATAGATGAGAGTGTAAAGGTAATGTATATGTGTCTATAAATAGATCACCCTATTGTACAAAGGAATAAGATGGATAAGAAGAAGAACACTTCTCTCCTCTTCTCTTGTGTCTTTCCTCTCTACTTTTGTTCTTGTTTCTTCTCCATTTCTACAATTTTTGTAACACGCAAATAATTTTAAGTTGTTGAGCCTATAAACCAAATAGGGTTGCATATGCAAAGATGGAAAGAAACTTGAAAAGAAAAATAAGTAAAAGATAAGTGGTATTACCTCCAAGTTCTAGGTTAATGGTATTATACATACAAGATATATTTTAATGAATTTATGTATACAAAGTATATTTCAAGACAATATTTTTATAATTTACATTCATATTTAAAGAAGACACAACATTCCTACAGAATAACAAATATGAATATTTAAAAGATAATATTTAACGTCAACACTCAAACATTTATAATTGAATTCTACAAATAAACTTAACATTTAACTTTCAAATTCATGAAATAAATAAATAAAATAATTTTGTTAATTAAATTCACTAAAATGACATCATTTTGTTTAGAGGTTGAAAATCGATCATACCGGTCATACCGGTGGAGTTCTATTTAGTTTCATGAACGACGTCGGTTCCACCGGCCGACATTCCACCATCGTGACAATCATAGTTGTCAAACAGGTGGCATGATAGTCCGTAGAACTGGGTTCAACCATTATCGGACAGAAAACCAACTGGAATGCTCCATGAACGACCAACATGATGAATTTCCGGTAGGGATGGCAATGGGGAGGTTTGCCTAACCATTCCCATACTCACTTTCAAATATCGAAACCCATATCCATGCGGGGGAAGATTTTGCAAACCCATCATCATACCCGTGGGTTTCGGGTACCCATGGGTAATACCTGCCCCTACATCCAACATTATGATACCTAAAATTTTACATGCAATTTTTCAATTAAAACACTAAACACACCTACTATATCATGACGTCGACAAATAGACAATCATTCTTAATTCGGTTAATCATCTTATCCTAAAACATCCATTAATCCATAAGATAGAGTACAATGTAATCCTAATCATTATTCTCTGACTCTAATATATCTACAAAGTAATAACTAACTAACATAATCTTGTTAACACGTGAGAAAAAGTGAAAGAGTGAATGGAGAGTTGAGGTCTTGAGGAAAATGAATTATGTTTTGATTTAGGTGGTCACTGAATTACATTTCTACTATTTATTTTCTTGAGTTATTCTCACTATCATTGATAGGTTACAATTTTATCCAACTATTTTGTACATGTGAAGAAATGTTTTGATGGGGCGGGTATGGGTATGAGGCGGGAGAGGCTAAAACCATACCTGCCTCATACCCATCAAACATTTTGCGAGTTTTATCCATACCCAGTCAGATACCCACGATCATGTGTTTGATTGTCATCCTTAATTTCTAGCCTCTAAACAAAATGATGTCGTTTTAGTGCATTCAATCAACAAAAAATTAATTAATTAATTTGATGATTTTGAAAGTTAAATGTTGATGGATTCAATATAAATATTTTGGTGTTGACGTTAAATATTGTATTTACGTATAAGTATTGTTATTTTATTTAAGTAGGGATGTAGATTACAAGACTTTTCGTTTTAAAGGCAAAGCCATTCCAAGGGAAGTTTATTCTCTCTTATTGTCCCCCGTATCAGTTTTGTGTCTTTTTCCTCTTTTGAATTTTCACAGAGCTGTCAACCTCGTGACAAAAAAGACTTGCATTGGGAGTTCGGTTGCATACGAATTACCGTTCTTTATTATTATTGATTTTGTAGTTTTGATGTTAGTCATGCCCTGTATGCTTATCTTGGTTAAATAATAGTAAAAAATTATAAGGAGATTGTCTTAAAATATGCTATATATAGGCTTAAATCAATTTGATGTTGAAGGTTTCTCACATTTTATATACATATATTTTATTAAACCAGTATGAACCGATTGTATCCCTGTCGGATCATATTACTTACTTAATCGACGTAAAACGGTAAAAGTATAAACCGGTTTGACAACCGAGTAAGCATGTCGTTTGTTTCGGAACAGATGTCGTTTTGGGGAGGGACTCCAAGGTAAAATTGCTGCCTGCCTGCCTGCCTGCCTTCCTCTACATTCTCTCCCGAGACAGAGTCCTCACCAAACGAAGAAGTGCGCAAGAGGGAATCTTCCTTCTCCGATTTCACTGCTTCCGGAGTTCTCCCGACGCACTGAGTCTCGGCTCGATTTAAACAGAATCATCCTTCACAGGCCCACACCAAGTTCATTGAGTAGTAGGCAAAAGCTCGACAAGTAGCAATGGGCGAGGAGAAGGAGGATCCACAGAAGATTAAGAGAATAGCGGCGGCGGCTTACGATTACGAGAACGACCCCAGATGGGCGGATTACTGGTCAAACATCCTCATCCCTCCTCACATGGCCTCTCGCGCAGACGTTGTCGACCACTTCAAGCGCAAGTTCTACCAGCGTTACATCGTCCGTCCCTCCCCCTTTCTCGATCTTTATCTTCCCCTTTTGTTATTGGTAGTCTGAATTGTGAATCCAAGACCTTAGCTTTACTAATTTTGTCACTTTTGGGTAGGTTTGTGTAGCGCCCCTTGAATGACTGTTGTGTTAATTGTGGAATCTCAAGTGGGTTGTGTAAATTGTTAGTGTTGGAGTCGGAAATATGCATCGTCATTCTTTGATCTGTCGCCTTCAGTTGGATGTCTTCTTAGGCTCGCTAGTTGGGCTGATTGGGTCGGATAAACGCTGTGCTCTGCCATTTCTGTTTCAAATTTAGCAATTCTAGCATCATCCTGTTGTTGTTGTTGGTGCCCTGATGCATTTCAATTTGGGGTTCATGCTGGATGTTCCACTTGCTTGGGGCTTAAGCTAACATTGTACTTTGATTATGGTGTTTTGCACAAATTGGATGCTTATGCTGATGTGTTTACACTTGCTTTTGGGTGATATAACTTTGACATGTTGCATTGGCAGGATCCTGATCTTGTGGTTGAGGCTATGTCTTCAACTGGCTCTTCTCAATCTACAAAATCGGCTTCTGGATCCTCGTCATCACCATCGAGATCATCAAATGAGCAACCTCGGCAGCGAAGCACAGGTTGGAAGTTTGGTCATATATCTGTTCAAGTGATGTGTAACAGTAAAAAAAGATTACATAATCAACAAACCATGCCATGCTACTAGTGTCCAGCATACTTAATTGATACTGTCAATATTTCTCAGGTTCAACTACCACAAACTCTGGAGCAACTCCAACTGCTACCCAAAATCCAACTTCAGTACGCTGGGATCGTCAAACTATACAATTTTCCGTCAACGCTTGGGTAAATTGCTTTTCTTTTATGTTTCTGGCTTACTTGCTTCTACTAACCTTAAGCAGCTTACATTTAAGTGGAAAAATATAGAACGTGATAGAAGTCTAGAGATTACTGTTTTGCTTGTGGGGTTGCCTTAAACCCTTGCAATGCATTTAGTTTAGACATAAATATTGCGTTGCTTTACTATTGCCATGCTCATGAGATAGTCAAAATCTGCCATTTATGGTTCTAGTTGTACTTGTTTTCTCTAACCTTTAATGTCTTGCATCTAAGTAAAACTAATATTGAACCGGTGATGTAAAGATTACTGTTTTGTTATGGGTTTGCCTTTAGTTTCTTAATTTATGCGAAAGTCTTCTAATTTATTTAGTTTGGACTTAACTATTGCTTGGCTTTTCTAATTTCTTGCATGTTGCTTTCAGTAACTTTTCAGTAATGCATGTTGCTTTCTGCACAAGCAGAACTTTTGAAGCATATGGTTCAATAGTTGTTTTGAAAATGAAGATTCATATCTTGTTCCTTTTTGTATTGACATACAATTTCAGTGTCATTCGATACTATTCCAAGTTGTGGCATGCTTGTTTTTTTATGGTAGCCTCTATGTTGTATCCATTTGGCAATTACCGCTCATTACATTTTTATCAAAGTAGGGTGCCTGACTTATGGTTGATGTCATTAATATCATCGGTCAATCCGTTAATGGAATGGGTGTTTAGATATATATTTGATATCTGAAAGTCTAGGCTTCAGGTTTCATAGTAAGTGTCTTGAAGCGATGAAGTTATGGACATTGTCTTTTGATCAGCACTGATCCCAACTAAAGTGGTGCTTGAAGTTAGAAGAATCTGATAGAGCCTAAGCTTGATAGTCCTTGTCTCAAAGTTAGCTAAAACAATAGCCTTAATTTCCTCTGATGCCTTTTCTGCATGGAAAAATTAAAATAAAAAACTCATGAAGCTGGCATTCCCGGTATTTACGAATGTGAAACTGCTTAATTAGAAGTGAACTAGTAGATACTATCTCTTCTGACTAGAAAGTGTGTTAAATATGGAAGTGGATTGCCACCTTGTAAAGTCAAAGATTGGACTTTACTTAGCTTGGTTACTAATATCTAATGGTGGAATGTTTCCAAGGCTTTGAATGGTTACCAGAAGTATTAGATGTAGGAACATGCTCAAATTCTTAAATAGCTTTAGAATCATACTCTATCGTCTCATTTTTGGTTCCTTCAGGGTACAATGAGCGAATCATGATGATGGGTGTAGTTAAGTCTCATATGCTTGAGAGGGAGAGTCACTGTCTTTATCACTTATTGAAGATGGTATTTCCCGGGGTTCTGAAGCCTTTTGTAGCATGATGTCCTCCTTATCATGTAGAGACAGGGGGAGAAAATTGTGGCTTAGGGAATTTTTGGGGTTTTTAGCTTGATATAAGGACTGTGTATACGAACTTCCCTTACAAGGTTATTTGTCTTTCATGTTAAATGGAACCTTAACAAATTATCGATTGTGAAGATAGTGCATTAGGTTCACAAGTCTTCTTTGACTACATTTCACATGCATTTGGTAACCTCAAGTTTATGGTTGTTGTGGCACAGGTTTTTGTTGTGGCTGTACTGGCAATCTTCCCTATTGTGCCTAGAAGTCTTTCCAATAGAGCATATCGTCTGGCTTTCATGGGAACTGCCTGTTCATCTCTGTATTCGTTATACATGCAATATGGGGTACTGCCTACTTTTCTCTTGCTATGCCCACCAATGCTTGTTTCATATGTCATTGACAAGCTTGATTTTCTGTAGAGGCCTAGGGCATGGAACTTGCAGGCCTTGCAGGTTTATTTGCAGTCAATAATTGCTACCAAAGATTTCATCTACTTTATCTACTGCTTGACTTTTGTCACTTCAAATCTATGCCTGACATGTGAGTATTCTGATTTTTTGGATTTGTGCTGAATTTTGTTTCACTGGCTTCATTGGATATGTTGCACTAACGGTGGTAGTTGTTTGAGCAGTTGCCTTAATCCCTATTCTATGCCGGGCATTGCTGAATGTTGCTAAGTTCTTAAGGCGTAACTTCAACAGTTCTTCCTTGTACAGGTAAGAGACCAGGTTGTGCATTTCAGTCGAATCTGTGGTCAATCTTCTTTTATGAATTTTATGTAGTCTTGACCCACCATGCGCTGGTTTTACTTCTATAGGAGGTACCTTGAAGACCCTTGTGTGTGGGTGGAATCAAACACCACCACTCTCAGTATTCTATCTTCACATGCAGAGATTGGGGTTGGGTTCCTCCTAGTTCTGTCTTTGTTCTCGTAAGTCTCGGGGAAGCCTGTTTTTGCTTGATGCCCTCTTCCTGTAAAGAGGGATACCTCACTATTCTCTTTCCTCTTCAGTCCTGTATTTTGTGGACTATTTTACCTAGATTCTTTTGTGCTATTCCAGGTGGCAACGAAACATAATACAGACATTCATGTACTGGCAGGTAAAGGAAAATTATTCCCTGATGATCCATCCCTATCGAACTTATCTTAAAGTACTTTATGCCTTTTCCTGTGTGCATATGAACCGGGTTGAAAGCATTTTACTGTTTTGTAATACTTCAGAGTCTACAAACCTGGCATCATCTAATAAATATCAATCTGAGTCCATTTTTCTCATTTTGCAATGAACAAGGAGAATTTCCACTACTAATCAGTTGCTGCTTTGTTGTTTGTTTGGTTTTTTTGTGGGCAGCTATTGAAGCTGATGTACCATGCTCCAGTTACTGCTGGGTATCATCAAAGTGGGTGGGCTAAGATCGGCAGGAGCGTGAACCCACTTGTGAGCCGTTACTGTCCATTCCTGCAAGGTCCAATTTCAGCTGTGCAAAAATGGTGGCTTAGATAGTAAACATACCAAGAGAGTGCAGGAATCTCAGCGTCAAATTGGTGATGAATGAATGGACGGATGGATGAGATGAACTCCGACGAACAGTGGTGATTTTGGTCTAAAGTAGAAGAGTAGGCTCATATTATGATATGGCTGTGCTGAGTGCTGACAGAGCTGAACTGAATTGCTCTACTTTTGACAGAGTTAGGACAGGCAAACTATAAGAATCCTCGTTCCGAAAACGAATTGCATGGTCTCAACTCAAAGGATGAAATAAACCTTTGCACCTTCTTCCATTGGCTTTTTTGCAGAGAAAAGGGCTCTGTTCTGTTTTACGCCTCTTCTTTCTGCTCGCCTAGCTTGCCTTTGCTTTGATGTCTGCTTTTGTTAACGAATATGTTGTGGCTGCTGGTTTTTTACAAACATGTATGTTACTAGTTAAAAATTCCAGCCAAAGTTAGTGGGTTTGACTTGAACGAGCTCAATAAGCACGTCGTAGATGGCTTCTGCACAATGCTCATGCTTATGTGAAATTCGGGTTTGTCCATCAAAGTAAACTAGGTTGCTGGTGATGTGAGTGGAAAACCATATGCAGCTGGCACTAGGAACAATTGCAGATTGAGATGCACTTTAACATGACGAGTTTATGAACACGAGTCAGTGAAGAGAATAAGATAAGCCATTTAACATGAGGCATGAGCCTCATATTGAGATGCTCTTCCAAAACTGCAATTATTCTGTGCATGTGTTTTTCTTGTTCAACCAAGTACTTAATTGTTATCGTATTCAACATTTATACAACTCCCTAGCGACTCTCTAGGAATCCCCTCCAATACCATTGTGACTTCTTTCATTGTAGGACGACTCGCCCTCGTTAAGGATACACACTTCTTTGTCAAGTTAGCTAGTGTCAGTACATCAACTTTTCTCGCTTCCTTCAACACTTGAGGGTCGATCATCTCGAACCATCTGGCTTCTTCCTTTGACGAGAGTATAAATGATGCGATGTGACTCATCACTTCCTCGGACGAATCATTCGACGACACCGGTTTCTTCCTCGTTAGCAGCTCAAATAGCACTACTCCAAAGCTGTAGACATCACTCTTCTCGGTGTACTGATTTGATTGGTAATACTCGGGATCCATGTAGCCAAAGGTACCTTCGACGCGAGTTGTCAGATGGGTCGCATCGATCTTGATCGACCTTGAAGTCCCAAAATCGGCTACTTTGGCTCGATATTTAGCATCTAAAAGGATGTTTTTGGACTTGACATCTCTGTGGTAAATGGGCATAGAAGCTGCTGAATGTAGGTAGGAGAGTGCTCCAGAAACTTCAGTGGCAATCCTCAAACGCACATCCCAGGTCAAAACAAGCTCCTCGGATTGATTATGAAGAAACTGATGAAGTGTACCGTTAGGTACAAACTCATAAACCAAAAGAGGAACTTCTGTCTCCAAGCAACAACCCAATAATGCTACCACATGCCTGTGATTGATCTGTGAGAGAATGACGACTTCATTGATGAACTGCTTCAGCTTCCCTCCACCAAGTACCATCGATTTCTTCACCGCAACGATTCTTCCATCATCCAACATCCCTTTATAAACCGTGCCTTGTGCACCTTGACCGAGCAACCTGCTCGCATTGTAATTGTTGGAGGCCTTGTCCAGTTCCTTCGAAGTGAACAGCTTGACCTTCTGAACATTTCCATCCCCAGTAGATAACTGTTCCTGGAGCAAGAGACCACCATTTCTCTTGAAGAACTTCTCCTTGAGTCTCTTCTTCTTTCTTCTCTTCAATGCTTTGCACAACCACCACACTCCAAACAACGGGAACAACAAGCTGAATCCCACCATCACACCTGCACAGAGGAGACTTTGGATGTCACAATGATGAATGAGACACAGGAAGAAAACAGAAATGAAAATGGAGGAGAGGGTATACCGAGTAAAATCACATTCCTGGAATTCTGACTGCTGAAGAAGTTGGAAGATTTGTATCTGTTGCATCTGAAACTCCCTTTAAGATTGAAGCAACCCTGATTCTGCTTAGCACAAGGATTGCTGGGATCTTCACATTCATTTACATCTGCATGAAAACTTCTATCAGCCTCTCTCCTCTGCCTTCTCATGAACACACTGTAGCAATCAAGCTTGAGGTTAAAGCACTGTTCCATTACCTTCACATCCTCCATCAAGATAGGGATTCTCCTGAAACCCATTGGCGCAATCACACTTCACCATCTCCCTCTTCAGAGTACGGAACCTGGGCGTGAAGTTGAAAAAAGTACAAACATGGGTTGGGATTTCATCATCATCGCCTCCAGGCCAAGCAATCAAGCCATAGTATTTCTTATCAACCATCCACGTGAGCGTAACTGGAACCGAGCTCCTCAACCCAACAACATCTGGACTCAACTTGCTATCCTCCATCCATCGCTTGTCAACAAGGTAAGCAAAATTGCATCCCCCAATTCTCAATTTCTTCCCTACAGCCTTGCCCAGCGCGCCGCGGAAGCTGGCGTTGAACACCTGGAGCCGGGAGGGGATCCTGATCTCGCAGCAATCAATCCCGTTGCAGGACCTGCGGATTGGGTCGGCGAATTCGTTGTGCTTGTCGCAGATTGAGAAGCAGCCGCAGAGGGTCGACTTCCGCTGCGACATCATCCACCAATCTGGTGTGTAGATTGACCTGTTTAATATAGGTGTCACCTTTACTGATTTTATTGATCAACTACAAAGAAAGGGGAAGCCACGTTTTGATCAATTTGTCAAATTGGCAAACAGAGATTCCTATGCAACAGCAAGAACAACAAAAACAGGGGAGAGGGCAAGTGCCAAAAGTGATCTCATCGATTTCCAGAAGAGTTGCAACGTTTTGTCAAATAGAAATATGGGTATCGCAGTAGTAGTAAGTAAATGTAAAATAATGAAAAGACAATCACACACACGATTTTTTTACGTGGTTTCCCTACTCGATGTGAGCAGGACTAGTCCACGAAGAGCTTAGGGCTTTTAGTCCGTTTTCTTTTCTCATTGATTTGAACGAATGAATTGCTTGAGTTACAACTCTCATCGTCAAGCAATACATAGAGCACCACGACCTCTTGTCTTCGACTAATGGAAAAATGACTACTAGTAGTAAATACTCAAACAACTGCCGTCCTGCCATTGCTGATGCTGCTGATGTTGGTGAAGCAACTGTAAGGCTGTGTGACAACTCTGTTAATCACTTGGCGAAGCGTAACATTGGGGACGAGATCATCCACCAAAACATCCAATTCTCCACAGGCACACGATCTTGAAGTCATCAATCGATTCCTGATGCATCCATCGCAGAAGCTGCGGAAGCAGCACCTTGTTACAAACACCGCGTCTTTCATCACCTTCGAACACAATGGACAGTGAAGCTCCGGCGGAACTCTGCCTCTGTTTGTACTTTTCTTCTCCTCCTCATCCTCCATATCGTTGCTGCCGCTGGAAGATGACGATGATGAGGGAAGTATTGCCTCTATCTCCCTTCGGAAAGTTTCCTCATCGGGCTGAACCGTCAACCTCTGCCTCTTGCTGCTGCCGCCGTCGCCGCCGTTGTTTCTCCGCCACACATACGATCCACCGCCAATGCCGCACATGGGTTTCCTCTTCCCCTGAAACTGAGACAGAGCTGGTGTGCTAACCAATTTCTTGATCTTCATATCCTCCTCTTCTTTGCTTATCGCTGCTCCATCAGCCTTCCCCTGTTTCTTCTCTAAACCCAGAGCATCTTCCCCGAAATCATGGAAATCTTCTTCTTCTTCTTCTTCTTCCTTTTCTGTAACGCTGCTCTTCTCCATTGAGGTCGTGGGTTCTCCTGAATCTTTCGATTCCTCCATCAAAGTCGCTTCCTTTTCTTGATCGGAGTTGTTCTCGACTACGATCTTGGAGGTGTCGATCCACCTCCGGCGACGATCTCCGGGGACTCGCCGGACCGCAATGGAAGCGCCGCTAGGGATCAACGCGTCTTCTTGTTCGCCGTACTCTTCCTGGGTTTGCTCGTTGGTGAAGACGAGATCGTAGTCGGTCCCCAGGCACAAGCCGTTAGGGTTCCATTTCGGATTGGCGTTCTTCTTGGCCTTGAACTTCGACCTCAGGATCGCCATCTTCAACTCCTCGACAGAAACGCATTCTCTTTCTCCGATTTCGAACTCGCTGTACACCTTGCTGCTCGCGAACCTGTACGAAACCTTCCCCATCGCTGCTTCTCGCCGGGAAAGAAACAGAGTTACTTCGCCGACGACGGATTTGGAAACAGAGCAACGGGAAAAGACAGAGCAACGAGATGAAATTACGTAGAGCAAGTAAGTGAGTGAAGTGAGTGAGTGAGTGCGGAATTGGAAGGCCGGCTGAAGGGTTTTATACAGTTAATGATCAACACAGGATTCGGATTCCTAGATTGATACGGAAAACCATATCCTTTTTGCAAACGGTAATCCTACTCCTGCTCCGGAAAGGAAAACAAAACACGCGGGAACTTCCCGCCTTGCTGTTGGGTTGGCTTTGGGCCCAAAATTGAGAGGTGTGTTTATTTACATTCTTGTTGGGCTCGAAGAGCTCACTGGGCCTAGAACCATCAGCTTCTTCAACAAATTGAACCGAACCAAAGAGCGCAATATTTTCCGAAACGTTGAACCGAAAAAGTTAGTGGTTGATGGTTCAAAGGTTAATTAATTTATTAACGACTCTTTGTTTGGTAAAGAAGAAAACCTATTTGATCTCATTGCATCTTTCAGCTTATATAGCTTGAATAAGTGGCTACAAACGTTCTACACTAGAAGGAACGAAGACAAACTTGAGGTTGAAGAAAGTACAACCAAAACGGGGAAAATGACTGAAAAAATGAACTTTGCCAATTCTACCATGAACGACATCGCTCTAAGAGCGCTACTTGATGCGTTGACGTCGGTTCATCTTGACGTACTCCTTTCAATGATGTCGATTCAGTTGGATGAAGCACGAAAACTTCATATTTGAATTTTTCCTGATTTTTAAAAGTGAATTTATTAGGAATCATAAATAATTTCAAATTCATATCATCTATCATCAAAAAGTTATAACAAAGCATTCAAACTATCTCACAAAAGAAATTATAAATTTTATTTTATAATCAAATCAATAACCAGGATGGCAATCTTTAGTGAACCAAGTAAATCCTACAGAGTACAGGGAGGCTGGGAAATGAAGAAAAAAAATGAAGTTTAAATAAAATTAGTGACTGAGGCTGGATGAACTAGTTTAACCAGATGGTTAATTTGATTTCATGTCAAACCGTTAAAATCTATTTGGTTTATCTCTAACCATACAATCAAATAAACCGTTATTGTAACTAGTATAGTTGTTCTACTGACCCAATTGATGATCTAATTCTATTCTTATAACACTGAAGAGTACAAAATCAGTTTCTTAACAACCTTCACCAATCTCCATAATGTAACAATAAAGGAATCCTGCCATTAGTATTCACTTTTTTATACATACAAACAAATGAATGAGAAGTAATTGATTTAAGTACAAACAAGAGAAGGGAAAGAAAAAAAAAGATAGTAAAAAGGTGCTAACAAAAATAATATGATGTCGTCAATGGGAGGGCCAAAACTTACAAAGACAAAAAGATAATGCAGTGGAGATCTGATTGTGGGAGAGAAAGGAGCATTGAAATGGTGAGGCGACCATGGTGCTGTTCTTCCAACACTGAACAGAGAACTAAACAACATCCAGTGATGCAAAAAAAAAAATTATGATATGGGTCGACGTCTTCATCCATCCCGCCTTCAAAATCAGCTGTAACCAAATCTTTTCACGTCGAGAAATCTGGTTAGTGTAAGTTCAGGGTATGAAGGAACTCCGGTCTCTTTCCCTGTATTCTCGAGAATTACTGTTCCAACTACTCTGACTGCGATTGAAATACTCTGAACTATAATCCTGACTACCAAATGCCATCCTCTGAAACATCCTGATCTGCGCAGACTGCTGCCTCGAATCGTAGATCTCACTCTGACCAGGTTTCATTCCGTTTGACAAATCTGACAACTCGTTTATCGAATCCAAAGCTCTCGCCACCTTCACGCAGTCGGAAAAACAAAATTCATTCAACATGATCATCACTTTGCATCATCATACGTACTAAAATCGTGTTAGAGATCGTTCCTAAGTTGGTTACCTGGCTCATTCGGGGCCTCTTTATACCCGAGTGGCGCACACAAGCTGCTGCTGCTTCAATCATTCTGAACATTTCTCCCGGTACATAGTTCTTTTCCAGTCTTGGGTCGCTCAACACGTCGAGGTCCTCGTTGTCGAGTGCTTCAGTGAGCCGTGGACGAGCCTGAGTTACATGTAGTTTCACAAGTTAGGATTATTGAGCTGCCACAGCGTGCATCTTAATAAGCGCATCAGTGAAATCGAAGAGGAATGCTTACCCACTCAACCAGGCTCTCGTCACCGAGAGGCTGAGAAGGGTCTACAGGTTTACGGCCTGTAATTAGTTCCAAAAGCACAACCCCGAAGGAATAAACATCGGACTTCTCAGTCAACTTTCCACTTTGGGCATACTCTGGAGCCATGTACCTAAAAACAAGAATGTGAAACATAGAACATGAGTGGGAATACCTTTGACATTGCATGATTTACAAAGCCCATGCTGTACAGATGCCTCAATGGACAATAAAAATAGAAGAAACTAGCAAACAGACAACAGCAAGGGCACTGCCAAAGTTCGCTTCTCTTCAACTCGCTATAATACATTGCCTACATTTTCCTTGGTCCCAAGAAGGGATGAGTCGAAAACAAAGCAAATCAGTTCATACGTACCCAAAAGTTCCCATCACACGTGTGCTGACATGCGTATTTGAATCCAGTTCCAAAGCTAGTTTTGCTAGTCCAAAATCTGCCACCTGATTTGGTAGAGAAAGGAATGTCATAAGCAACAATGTGGCAGCTAGAGATTGTGTGAAATCCTTACTTTTCAAGCAAAATGTTACAAGAGACATCCACTAGTACACAGCATCATACTTCATACATAAGCCATTCGTTCACTGTTTAAACAAATTATACAATGTTGAGATCCTAAATAGAACTGGGATGGACAGAAATTTATACCCGGGCATCGAAATTGTCATCAAGAAGGATGTTTGATGACTTTATATCTCTGTGAATAATTCGGGGATGGCCTGGAATATAAGATGTCAACAAATAAAGGAAATTCATTTCAGTAGATGAGCAAATGGCAGGTAGAAGTGCATCTATGCTGACAAACAGAGTAAAAAATATGGATTTTCATGGTAATAATATCCTGTACTCATTTTGGAAAGTGCTAATATGCTAATTTCCTCCCAGCGAAAGCGATTAAAGGTAAAGAGAAAATTACAGTCTTCATGCAGGTAGGCTAAGCCACGAGCAGCACCAGCTGCAACTTTGATTCGTGTTGCCCAATCCATGACTGGCCTGCCTTCAGCTGCAAAAGGTCCAAGCATGACAGATATAGAGAGTTAGACAAGTGCCATGCACATAAGTTTATCAAACTGAGTTCGTGAAGATGAAAGAAAATCAGTAAAAATGAATATTGGCAGCTTCTTTCCGTGATCATTGACTGACTGATATAGAGAGTAGATGAAGTTATCTCTTTTCATCTTTATGACATGCAATACTGTAGACAGCAACCCCTAAATCTGCTGATAATTTCCCTCTGCTAGCATATTGGTCAAGAAAGTTTTAGAAATACACCAGAACTTAATTAATAAGCCAATCACGCTTGCCAACTATTTATACTCAGGAGTTAGCTGCAAGTCAAAGGCATGAAGAAAAACTAACAGCAAGCAACTACCACTTATATTGATCTCGGATATGTGTCTTACTGTGGAGATGAAAATGCAGAGTATCGTTGGGAAGATAGTCATAGACCAACAGTCTTTGATGATCAGATATGCAATAACCCACCAATGAAACCAGATAGCGGTGATGTACTCGACTAATAATATCCACCTCTGCTCTAAACTCACGTTCACCCTGAGACCCACCAATTTTCAACTGCTTTACAGCTACTTCTCTTCCATCTACCAGAACACCTTTATATACACAACCGAATCCACCTTCACCTAAGAGATTCTGTTTTGAGAAACCATTTGTAGCCTGGAGCAGTTCGTCATAGGTGAACCAAGACTTGGAATTGTTTAGCCCACCAGCTTCAGATGGGGAATACATGAAATCACTGCCTGAAGGGCTTCCTTGCAGTGGGACAGAAGATTGAGGCCGCAAAAACAAAGCATCTGATAAAGGAAAACAAGAAATGATGAATTATGGACACCTTCTTGCTGGCATTTAATACAAACACAGATACTGGCATTTTCATGAGCATAGACTTGAACAGAAAACAAAGTAATGGAGTGCTTCCTCCATAACTCAGAAAATAAAGAAATAGCTCTCCACCATAAGTAGTCCTACTAGTCACCATTATATGAAAGACTGAAACCAACCATCCCCATGTAATAAGAATGATAGAAGGGACCCAAGTGATGTATAAAAAAATACTACTTGGCAACGAGGCAGTCAAGAAACTGAACTAAGGGCATAGTTAGGTGAAAAAGTTTTACTTTTACCTAAACATAAATTATGACCATGTCCATTCTATTTGTAGTTTCAACAGTGTTATTAGAGGAGGAAGCATATCAAGTTCACATCTTGAATGGAGAAACTACAAAATCAGCCTACATAGTTGCCATCATGAAGCAAATGTTGTTCGGTTAATAGACTAGCTTCTACAGTCAGTGACCACGATTAGTATCTTCATTCATCAAGCAAATGCAATTATTTGAAGAGCCTTTAGCAGCAAGGCAACTGGTTCAGGAAGGGTCAATCTACAACACAAGCGTGAATTACACAATTCAGACAGACAGTCAGAGCAATAACTAACCATGTACCTGAGTTTTGAGACGAAGCAAATGGAGAAGGCATGGTGTAACCAATATCCGCCTTATCACGCCTTCTTTTTCTGTAATGTAGGAACCACACAGCCATCACAAGGAGGCCAGCTATCGCCAGCCCAGCCACGACACCAATTGCCACGGTTGCATCGTTCGAACTCCTAGAAGGAGATGTCGAATTTCCAGAAACATTTGTACCACTACCATCAGTAGTAGCCCTTGCAGTTGGTTTCTCGGTAGGGATAGAGGGGAAAGGTGAAGTGGCAGCGCTGCCATTGCTCGAAGAATCCCCCGGAGGAGCTGGAGGAGAAAGTACAGAAGGTGTTGAAGGGGCCCCAGGAGGTTGAGATGGCAATGTGGCCGTAGGAGGAGGGCTATCAGGTTGAGAAGAAGGTGGGGGAGAATCCTTGGGGCGTTTATGGGGACCTTTGGGAGGCTTTGCTTTTGTTGGCGGTGATGGGTCATCCGAAGGAGGTGATGGTGGTGGTTGTGAAGGGGATACAGCTTGAGGTGGTGGAGGGGATAGATCAGGAGTTGTAGGGGAGGCCTGGGGTGGAGGAGAGCTTATAACCTCTGGCGGCGGCGGTGGTGGAGAAGCATCTGGAGCAGGAGGTGAAATAGTGGCATCTGGAGGGGGAGGAGGATTGTCAACGGGAGCTGATGGCGGTGGAGAGGTTGGAAGTGGCGATGATGGAGGTGGAGATGATGATGGTGGTGGAGATGCCGGAGTTGACGGTGGTGGAGCTGCTGCTGCTGTTGGCGGCGGTGGAAGCGGCGGGGAAGGAGGAGTAGCAGCAGGGGTAGAAGGTGGTGGGGAAGAAGGGTCTGTTGTCTGATCAGGCTGGCTTGAAGTGGGAGTTGGAGGCAGAAGAGATGGCAATGGGATAATGGTTGGCGATGGTGGAGTTGCAGAGTTACTAGAAGAGTCTGGTGCAGGTGCAGATGAAGCCATTTCTTTTTCTTTTCTTCTCTTTTGTTATCTCTGCCAATAGTTCTACTACCTCAAGTCCTCAACTTTGCATCATGAAACCCTAAAAAACCACTACATGAACATATCTCTGGATTCAATGCCCAGATTTTGGGGGGGATCAAGCAAAAGCAGCGTAGCAATTACTTCTCTTCAGTAGGGCACCCAGATCAGCTGGAAACCCAACAACTTAGACAAAAGATTGGGAATTAAGTTACCTCAAGAGCAGCAGACCCCAAATCAGAGGAAACCCTCAATGTTCTAGCTCACTTCTGGTGAAGGAAGCACTAGGGTTTCAAAAATCTTTCAGCAGTGAATTGAGGGGAATGCAGGAGTACCCAGAAGATGGAAAGGAGAGAGGATCAAAACCCAGAAGTCCAAAAGCAATAATGGCTTCCACATTTCATTTTCTTCCTGGGGTTTCCAGGAGAGGGTAATCGTCGTGGAGAAGAGTAGGCACAAAACAGAGGAAATGAAAGGACTTCGACGAAGGATGGTGGAGTGTATGTCTAACCCACAAAATACGCAGAGAGAAACGTGGGGGCGACTAGACTAGCAGTTGGTTGGTAATGGTAGTACCTGCTGCTACAAACTCCAACTAGGCAAAGCTTTTCCGCTTTCTTTTATTCAACTTTCTTCCCTTCCCTCTGCATAATGGAAATCCAACCAGGCACAAAAAAGACAGAGAGAGGGCTTTTGATTCAATTCAACTCAACAATAATAACCGATAGCGCAGCATGTTCTACAAATCTGTCTCTTTATCTTTCTCTCGCCAGCATCAACGCCACCGACGCCATGGCTATCATTTTAGTCGCTGCGAAATGGGGAGAGAGTTAATGAAAGCTTGAAAATTTTGGACAGCAGCAAACTACTGGTGGCTAGAACGTGGTCTCTGGTACAAGTCTCCCCCCCCTGTTTTTTTCTTCGCGACGCTTTTTAAAATTGCGCAATTTGTCGGATCTTGTATGGACGCGGGAGTCAACTTCTGTGATAAATTGTAATTATGGAACGGATTTCTACATCATAGGACCAACTTTAGCGTAATGATATTGATACCCACCAAAGCATTTTGCCCTGTTTATCTTTTGTTTATTTGTTCGTCCAAAAAAAGAAAAGATCTTTGTTTATTCTAAGTTCTAACATCTTACTGCCTCAGCCCATATTCTGGTAAAGTTCATATTCTAGTTACCTTGGCAGACATTATCTCCATTTTCTACAAATATGCAAGATTAGGAAAGTGATGGGCATAAGGCGGACAATTGAGTCTTGCTTAGTTAGGAATGGCAATGAGTCGATATATCAGGTAATTGGATTCAATTGTTATGACTTATACGGGTATTGGGTTGAACTCAAATGAATTTATATGCAATCTTGATAGTTTGGGGTTTGGATCAGACTCAAATAGGTCTATTTGTATTTGGGGTCTATATAATTATATACTCAAAAAATACCATCGATAATCTCACTATTCGTTTTCAACCAATTCACACCTTAAATTGTTGGTTTTTCCACATTTATGTTTGTTTTAAACAGAGGAAAATGCAAATTGGTTATCCATTTTCTTTTGGGTAATCAATATAATGGGTCTAATTTAGATCCAAACTATATTTTTTGGGTATAAGTATGCTTCAAAAGTGATATTATTCAAACTTGATATGACTCATAAAAAATTGGGTTTGGACAATATAAGAAATTTTGGGGTTTTTTCTGTTAGTGTTGTGGTATATGATCCACGATTGAACTTCTCCCAACAACTCGAGTTATTGGGATCAACTGGTTCTTGACATGGTATCAGAGCCTTCTGTGACCGAGAGGTCTTGTGTTCGATTCCCGGTGACCCCCATTTGTTAAGCACATGGTATTCTTGTCTTCAGACCTGTGCAAACTTCAAGCCCTTGTGAGTGGCTTTCGTTTGAGGGGGCGTGTTAGTGTTGTGGTATATGATCCACAATTGTACTTCTCCCAACAACTCGAGTTATTGGGATCAACTGGTTCTTGACATTTTCCCCATTTCTATGCTTGTGCCTAGCTCCCCTAAGAATACCTAGGCGCTAGAAGCAAAAAAAAAAAAAAAAAAATCATTTTTACCACATGATGAGTGAAATAACATTTTACAACACTTTCTCACTTTAGTTCAAATTATTAATAACTTACTTAGGCGACTTGATGGCACGAGTGAGGATTTTTGTATTGTCCTCCTGTCACACACGCGGTTCGTGTTTGAGTGGTTGATTTGGACATGCGGCATAGTCGTATCCTCAACATAACTCATCTCATCCCTTGGACCATTCCAAAGGTATGAGATTAAGGATAGAGTAGGAAAAATGTTGAACAAAAAGAAACAAACAAATATATTTGCAGACGACTAGAGAGGTTAAGCTGTCACGCTCTCTCGCCTCATTTCTTCTTCCGTATGAGTTTTAGATTGTTTGTATCTTCTTGATTTTCGCTTAATTATTTTTTACATAAAAATCATATTGAAAGATATATAAAAGATGATACTCAATTCGATATATTATGAAATAAAATATTTTCATGTTATCGGCATAGTGCTCATAGACCAATTTTCCAAATTGTTATTATATATAAATACTGCAACAAAAAAATATGCCAATTTCAAAACTATAGACACAAATATTGTATTTTTCAAAACAAAAGTGCACTTGCATGAGAGACAAAAGCACACCCAAGTTTTGTATCCACGCCCAATTAAATCATGAAGATCAAATTTACGTTGAAATGCACAACTTCTCGCATTTTGTGAGAAAAAAGAAACGTCTGGTAAATGTTCTAGTTCTCGCAATTTCTGCATCGCTTATTTCATGTTGTTGTTTTTTTCCCTTTGAGAATTGAGGCATTTTCTAACTGTAGGTAATACGAGGTTAGTGCTAGGCACATAGAGATCGGGTATGTAGAGATTATAGGTAATACGAAGTCATACCACATCAATTTGTCGTCGTACTCGTACCTGATTTGTATGTACATAAAAATTATGGGTAATACGAAGTCATGCCATATCAATTTTGTAGAGATTATTTGCATTTTATAATAGTAAAGTGGTTCTTCACTCCTGCGCTAGGTACATTAGAGATCAGGTATATGATTTCTTAACAAGATTGTTGCAACAAGGGAATATAATCTCCATTGATATGTGTTTATTCATGTGTCTGTATCTGTTCATTTGTTCATTCCAAGCTTGTCTTTTGTAACCTCAGCAGCTCCTTGTGCCTGGGCCTGAAGTTGAGCGCCACCCTGCCATCATAGAGTACAAAAAAAAAAAAAAATCAGTTAAAATTTATTCACGCGAGCTACTCGTTAGTATCAATCCATAAATTATCAGCGGTGCAGTGAGGGGACTGACTTAAACGGCGATAATTGGGAGAGGGGAGCTAACATCTTACCGACTATCTATTTTTCAGATTTGTTACGAATTTTACGAGCCTATAGGCTATAGCCACTCATGGCTTCAATCTAGTTCATCTTTCATTGCATCTTCTGGTCCAAATTTAAGATCGGTGACTCAAAAATAACAATAGCAAATAATGACTCACATCTTGAATTGAATCCTTGACAGATTGGGCGATATTGCCAGCCTTCTCCATCATGCCGCTAGCTTTCTCCTGATAAAAAAAATATATATATAGATAAATAAAGAGAAACACATGTTTATCTGCAATTCTCTCATACATTGTTCATCAAACAAATGCATAAATTATGTTTTTGTTTATCTGGGGAAAAAAAATCAGAAATAAGCCTAAATTACACTCTTGATCATTGGCAATTTGGCATAGCTAATATCACCTGAGCCTGGCCTTTGGTTTCCCCAGCTTGGAAGCTAGCCTTTTGAGAATCCATCTTTACTTTTGTGATTTTGAATTCTTAAGATAAAATCTCAAACAAATGTAGTTTCCACAAATGTAATGATGCTAATAATGTTTCAAAAGTTTTGGAGCAATATTTATAGCCTCCTTCAGTTTGCTATTTATTTCAAAATTTTAACAATTTAGCTAGTTATAGACATCGACAATTGAGGCAAATTTTCCGTAAAATGGTCTTTTCTAATCATCGGGACTAATTTCTAGGGAAACCAAGTTTTGACCAAAGGCTGAATTGAAAATTAAGGTTAGTCCTTTAAAAAAAAAAGTTAGTCCATTTTTTAAAACAGTATAAACATTACATAACGAAGGATGAATTGAAAATAAAGATTTACCAGTTGTTGATGCATTGATAAAAGATCAAATAATCATTATATTCAAATTATAGTCAATTAATTGTGAATCCTTTTATTTTTTTCATCTATTTTACTAATAAAGATTTACTGTAACACTTTAGGCAAATCCCACATCGACAAAGCACGGGAGAGATCCATGGTTCATAAGTAGGAAACCGTTCTTAACTGACGAGACGCGTTTTGGGGTGTAATGAAGGAGTTCTCAGTTCTTGTGAGAACTCCGAAGTTAAACGTGCTTAGTGTGGAGTACAACAAGGATGGGTGACCTTATGGGAAGTCACCTTGAATTGCACCCCAAGTCGAAATCCGTGAGGGTCTCGGCCCAAAGCGGACAATATCTTCGTCGGGAAAAGGTCCGGGATGTTACAAGTGGTATCAGCGCCTCTCCGCGTCCCTCTTGAACGATGGTGGGGCAAACCTCAATGAGGGCGTTGAGTCCCGAAGGGGGGGGGTGTGTATGTAACACCTTAGGCAAATCCCACATCGACAAAACGCGGGAGAGATCCATGATTCATAAGTAGGAAACCGACCTTAACTGACAAGACGCGTTTTGGGGTGTAATGGAGGAGTTCTTGTGAGAACTCCAAAGTTAAAAGTGCTCAGTGTGGAGTACAACAAGTATGGGTGACCTTATGGGAAGTCACCTTGAATTGCACCCCAAGTCGAAATCCGTGAGGGTCTCGGCCCAAAGCGGACAATATCTTCGTCGAGAAAAGGTCCGGGATGTTACATTTACCCCATCCATTCTGGCAAACCCCCCCCCCCCCCTACCGTGGTCTGAATCCTTCAAAGTGCAACTTTGGTGGAGAAGACGAAGAGGTCGATTTGGGGAATGGATTCGCCCCAACAGCCCTCATGTAGTCGTGTAGCATCCCGATTTTTTTTCCAACAATATATTGTTCGTTTTGGACCTATACATTCACGAATTTTAGCTATTGGTGTATATTAAAGTGGCTTCTCATAAAGTCACGCATTCTTTTAGTGATCCATAATAAGCACGTTTAACTATGTAGTTTTCACAAGAACTCCTCTATTTCACACAAAAACATGTTCTGTCAGTTGAGATCGGGTTCTTACTTACAAATCATGGATCTCTTCCGTGCTTTGTCGATGTGAGATTCTTCTAAGGTGTTACATACACCTCCTTTGTATGTAACACCTTAGGCAAATCCCACATCGACAAAACGCGGGAGAGATCCATGGTTCATAAGTAGGAAACCGACCTTAACTGACAAGACGCATTTTGGGGTGTAATGGAGGAGTTCTTGTGAGAACTCCGAAGTTAAAAGTGCTCAGTGTGGAGTACAACAAGTATGGGTGACCTTATGGGAAGTCACCTTGAATTGCACCCCAAGTCGAAATCCGTGAGGGTCTTGGCCCAAAGCGGACAATATCTTCGTCGAGAAAAGGTCCGGGATGTTACATTTACCCCATCCATTCTGGCAAAAAAAAAAAAAAACCCTTACCGTGGTCTGAATCCTTCAAAGTGCAACTTTGGTGGAGAAGATGAAGAGGTCGATTTGGGGAATGGATTCGCCCCAACAGCCCTCATGTAGTCGTGTAGCATCCCGAATTTTTTCCCAACAATATATTGTTCGTTTTGGACCTATACCTTCACGAATTTTAGCTTTTGGTGTATATTAAAGTGGCTTCTCATAAAGTCACGCATTCTTTCAGTGATCCATAATAAGCACGTTTAACTATGTAGTTTTCACAAGAACTCCTCTATTTCACACAAAAACACGTTTTGTCAGTTGAGATCGGGTTCTTACTTACAAATCATGGATCTCTTCCATACTTTGTCGATGTGAGATTCTTCTAAGGTGTTACATACACCTCCTTTGTGAGGTTTGCCCCCAGCATCGTTCAAGAGGGATGCAAGGAGGCTCTTGTACCACTTGTAACATTACGAACTTTTTCCCGACAAGATGTTGTCACTTTGGGCCTAGACTCTCGCTGATTTAGTCTTGGGGGTGCATATTAAGGTGTTTTCCCATAAAACCACAGATCCTTCCAGTGCTCCATAGTTGCACGGTTAACTTTGAAATTCTCATAAGAACTTCGCGTTTCACCGCAAAATGCGTATTGGCGATCAATGTGAGTTTCTTAATTATGAATCTCTCTGTGCTTTATCGATATGAGCTTCGCTTAGACCAACTTTATTGATGGGCTGGAATTCCAAAAAATTGGACCAGACCCAATTTAGTAAGGTTCCAAAATGCCAAAAGTTTCAATTGATCCAAAAATTGGGGCCAAATTTGGCCGAGAAAATGACAAAAAGTTTCAAAAGAGAGTGTGACCACATGGGGGGAAAACAGACGGGCCCACATGCCAAAAAGAGCTTTAATAATAATAAAAAAAGAAACAACTTTAGCTTTTAGCACCCACAATCTCCTTCAACGACTCTTTCGGTCCAAACAAAAGACCGTCGTTAATTAATTATTAGTAACTATATAAAATTAATGAACAAATTTTGTATTAGAATGATGAAAAATATACAAAATTGGATTATGAGTTAAAGCGCAAATCTGGAAATTTAAACTTTTGGAACACACTACTAATGCCAAAATACCTTTTGAGAGGCTAGAATTTGAATTATAGCCTCAAATTTTGGACTTTTGGATCTAATCACTAAAGATGGTCTTAAGGTGTTACAAAATGACTCATTAGACTATGTTGCGTGTGAGTAACGGTGAGGTAACTTTTCTCCTTTTTATTACATTTCGTTAGTGAAATAGATGAAAAATATAAAAGAATATATATTTTAATGAACTTTCATGGTACCCGATACCCCTAAATTGACTCTAATATGATACTCTTAACCCAATTCTCAAAGTTTAATGATATGGGTTGTTTCTTCGAGTGATTCGATCGGCTCGGATAACTCAACCGGCCCGCCTCACACAGAAAAGAGGCACGAGATAAAAGTGAAGAGTGAAGAGATTCGATTCGGAATCCTCTATGGGGTCGTTTGGATTAGGGAATGTGTAAATGAGGGATTTGGATTAAAATCTCTCAATTAAAAACCCAGGTATTTTAAACGTGGGATTTGATCCAAATAACATGTTTGGGAATAGATGAAGGATTTTAATTAAAAATTAAAGTTACAATTATACCCATCTCTAATCCCTAAGGAAGAATAAGAAAGGAAGAACAAAAGGAGGGGCAGAGTTTGGAAAAGAATGAGAAAAATGAGTGATTGTGAAATAGCTGATCCCCATCAGCTATTTTAAAAACTCTCATATGAGAGATTTAGAATTTCCTCATGCCTACAATCTCTCACCTTTCCAAACGCAGAATTGTTTTAAAATCCTGCACAACGAGAGATTGTTTTAAAATCACTCATAAATCCCTCATCACATTCACTAATCCAAACGACCCCTATGTAATTCAGGAAAATTGAAGCTAATAAAGATTAGCTAGTACAATAAAACAGCAGCGAATTTCAAAATCTCCCTCGTTCCATTTGATTCTCCCATTTTCAGATTCATTCCCGGAGGCTGAGAGCGGGAGCGGCCGGTCTCCACTGTTCTGTTCAAGGTAAATACTCTCTACTTGGAAAAACCCTAATTGTTCATCTCCTTGCGCTTCTTTCTTGCTTGTATGTTTGGTATCCGGGGAATTTTGGGTAAGCAGCTTCTTTATCGTCGCTTTCCCCCAATCCATTTTCCTTTGTTGGTTCAAAAAGATTTTGCTCAAGCTGAATTTTATTTCTTTCTTTCTCCGTTTAAGTTTGTGGGTGTGGGCAAAAGCCTGAATTGCTAGCCTGCTCGATTGGTTCAAGATTGAGCTAAACTGATAGGTCTCTTATGCATCTCGACTGTAAAGGCTTGCCACTGATGTTCCATTTTCTTTCCAATGAAGCGAATGGATTTTGGTTTTCTTCTTGTTGGGTTATGCAATCTGTAACAATTGCAATTCCAATTTCTTTGTTTTGCTGGTATAACGCTCTAAGCGAGCTGTCATTTTGCATGTTCAGCTAGGGCTAAAGTCTGCTGCTTTCTTGGATTTTGTCACTTGTTATATGAACTTCAAATGCCTAGTTCTGATTGGAAATTTCTAGATGGATATACTCGCTTAAAGATGTTGATATATTCGTACGTGTCAGATTCTGAAGCTTAAGTTTTACTGTGACTGTAGTAACTTCTGTTGATGGCAACTTGTAATCTAAAAGTAAGTTTCTTTGCAGGTACGTTCTGCAGTAGCTTGGTCTGTGGGATTGTTAAGAGGGACACTATCGGAAAGAGGGGCACTATCATTTTTGGTGAATAATGGAACCTGGGGAAATCAGTGGCAGCCCTGATCGGAGCAATTTGGAGACTACGAGTCAGGATAACAAACCTGATCTACAACCAAGTAGTGCTGGTTTACAATCTCACGATTTTGGAGGTAAAGAAGATAAAGCAAATAGTGAAACCCTGTGCATCGGTGGGGGTCAAGTTGGAGCTGAAGCTAGCACAGGACACGCTGCTGTTGGTACAAGTATGGGAATTGAAGATGGATCAGGGTGTGAGAAATTGGGAGACAACGTTGAAACTCATGATGGCCAAGTCGAAAATAAGAATGGCCAGGTTAATGTTGAAACAGAAGTTGACATGGATCTGGTTGATTCGCCGATGCATGTAAATATTCAAGTGACGGAGGTTATTTCAGTTGAAGAGAAAGTGGTTAGCATGCTGAACACTGAAAATGGTAGCCTTGACATGCCACTTGAGAATTTAAAAGGTGATGAAGGAGGGTTGTGGTATGCTGGTTGTCTACTCTATTAACATCTAATTGTTCAAGTTGTTCTCAATGTAGGTTGTGTTTTAATTTTTCTTCCTTCTATCTTTCAGCTAGATCAGGGGTTAAGAGAGCAAGGATGACTTACGAACAACAGCATCCTTCAGTGCAAGTCATGTATTATTCTCTAACAAGGTCAGTAGTTACCATTCATGAATTCTAAAAATGGTAACCAAGTTCGTCATCTTAAGCTGATTTTGTCTCTCTAGTGGTAATGTGCATGTTATTGGTTGATTATGCTAGATAATTTCTTCTTTTCTTTTATAGAGCTAGCAAAAGAAAGCTTGAGGAGCTATTACAACGCTGGTCAGAATGGCACACAACCAACACCGTGTATCTAGTAAGTCTTGGTTTCTTTTAGTGTTTCAAATTTTAACAGTAGCTTTAGTATTTACTATTCACCTTGTCAACAGGGCTTCTTCTGTTGATCCCTCTCTCTTGATAATTAAAATTGTGTTTTCCCTTGTGTACACAAATAAATATCTATTGCAAGAGTTTTAGTGTTCTTGAGGAATTGTGGGTCCTTGTCACTCATTGATATGCTGCAAGCTGCTTCTCTATCTTGTAGATCATTAAATTTATTTGTTCCTTTTAAAGCCATGAGTTTTCAATGTAAACATTTCTCTTCAAATCTCAAAGTGATTCAGGTGTATAATTGTGGGTCTCTTTCCTGGAATAATAGTTAATAAAATAGAGTGAACTTATAGGTCAGGGTTTTTGTGCTAGAATGAGTCCATTATATCAGATGAATCTTCTCTAACTGCATGCCATATAGGTCATCAAAATAGGACCGTGTTGCCTAGACTAAAACCTGAGGTGAGATGGAGCTGTTGTTTTGGTGATGCAATTATGCATTTTCAACCCTCTGGTTTCGACGATAGTGGTGCCAATCAAGTACACATACTGGCATTCACTACAGAAAGAGTGTATATTTGAATTTAATCTGTTGGCTGTTAGAGGGTGATTATTACACTACTTGCTCTATCTCATTTAACCTATTGGGTCTCGTTGATGTTTCTAAGTTTCCTTTGTTTTGTCTGATAACTAACAGTTAGTGAACTTGAACGTTGGAGGCTGTCAAATTAATTCATATTCCCCTTCTTAAGTATCAGCTGTAACAATCAGGATAATAAGTAACTGTTGTTATTCTTGCAGGATTCAGATGAAGCATTAGAATCTGGCGAGGAGACATATTTTCCTGCCATACGCACTGGCATAGAGAAGTCCTGTACAGTTGTAAGTTTTATTTTCTATCTTTGATATTAATATGCATAATTATCTTTCATGAACTCTTTGAGTTTTGGATGTTGCGGTCACCTTCCTCTTACCCTGCCCATCTCCATGATACATAAGCCTTCATTGTTTTCTTGGTATGGGCTGTTTCTTGAGCATTATCCCACAACGATTATTTCCAAAGTTTCATATTTCATTTATTTGTGTAGTAGACTACAGGGATTAAAAGTTCCACTAGCTCATTGCAAGTTTGTATGTGTGTCCACTTACCTTCTTTAGATTGGTCATAATTGTACCTGAGGCATTTTCTGAATTTGGTACTTAAGTGCTCTTATCCTGTGATGATAGCGATATTGTAACTGGAATCGTAAAATAGTTTACATGTAGCTGCCTTTCCCTAAGCAAAAACTATGAAACTTTACCTATTACTCTTTGGCACTTTTCAGTTTCGTCTGTTATGTGGGCTCTTTCTTTGACACATCTTTTTTTAAATGTGTAGTCTTTCTGCATAGACGATCGAACAAGAGATGAGCAGACCAGCGGTGTCATGCCACTTGACAGCAACTCCGTGCCCCTTTATGATCGTGGATTTGTTTTGGGTCTGACATCGGCAGATGGCTCAAACAATGCTGAACGGTAACAATCTTCTCTCAAAGATAGCCTCAAGGTAGTGTTTCTCTGTTTTAGTGAACTTGGATGGTAGGAGAACTTGTACAATCACCATTAGTTATTATTGATATAACATCCATGGCATCATCATTATGATGGATTGTGTCTAATAGGGTTACAGATTATGCTTCATGACTTTTGTTCTTTCCTCTTGTCTGAGAGTTTTCATCTGTTTGTTTCCTTTGCTTCGCATTCCAACACCTTGTGGGAACCTGTTCCTGAACATTCTTTGTTTCTTTCATTAATAAAAGTTCATCACCATTATAAAAAAAAAAAACAAGCTTACCCACCTATAAAACCCCTCTGGACATGGGTATGTGCACGTGAATGTAAAAACAACTAGCTGACTTCCCAGGTAAAATCACCAAGTAGTTCAACTTTTGGAAAATAGTAGACAATTGTATATGAAAAGCGCCCTAATTTAATATGCAAGTGTTGCTGCATGATTTCTAGTTCTATGGCCACAAGGATGGTATGTTCCCGGCTTCTAGCAGCTGTGCCTGTCTGACTAATTAATTGTAGACCTCTGACTTGGTGTTTTGCTTGATGACTGACAAACAAGAGGTTACTTATGGAATAAACAATTCTGAACTAGATAGCTCTTATGGCAGATTTCTTTATGTCGCCTGGTCCCCATATTAAGAGCCTTATCTATACTGTTGGTATGATTCCTTATTGTTTCTTTTTCTTTCGTATCTGAATTTAATAGAGGCCTGGAGATATTTGGTGATCCTGCCCGGTGTTTTAACTGTGGGTCTTACAACCATGCTATGAGAGAATGCACCAAGCCTCGGGATGCTGCTGCTGTTAATAGTGCCCGCAAACAACATATGGCCAAAAGGAATCAGAACTCCCATTCTCGCAGTTCAATTCGTTATTATCAGAGCTCATCTGGTGGGAAGTATGATGGCTTGAATCCAGGTGCTCTTGATGCTGAAACACGCAGACTTTTGGGTATTGGGGTAAGGTCCTTGACAGTTGTAGGCACGGAAATCAAGAAAGAAAACTCATACGGCAATTTCCATATGTCTGTCTGTTCAAAAGTTTCACTGATCCTTTCGCCCTTTCCCTAATTGGAATTTTAACTGGGCAGGAGCTTGATCCACCTCCATGGCTAAACAGAATGCGAGAGCTGGGATACCCACCCGGATATCTAGGTAATGGAACCACTTCAGTTGGGAGTATTTACATTCTCAATTCAAGCTTCCATTCTGTAGTCTACTTCAGTCTTATCACCGTTTTTATATTGTACCACTAAAGCAGCTGGGCTTTGTGCAGAGCAATCGTGTTATTTACCATCCAGAAGATCACAAGCTTTTGCATTTAGTTGGGGCATGGACTACATTAAAACATTTATTAACTTTTTCAACATAATAATATTTTCAGATGCCGACGATGAAGAGCAACCGTCAGGAATAACAATATTTGGTGAGGAAGAAGCCATTGTCGTCGGTGAAGAACAGGAAGAAGGAGAAATAACAATGGAAAACAGCATTCCCAAGCCGCCTCACGAGCCTCCTCGGAAGATGAATAAGACCATTGAATTTCCCGGAATAAATGCACCAATCCCAGAGAATGCAGATGAAAAGCTATGGGCAGCTGGTGGTCCTTCGTCTTCAAGTTTCGATACTACTAGTAAGAACCGACTATCAGAGCGTAGTAGTGACCACTCAGGAGGCAGATATTACCACAGCAGCGAACAAAGACGGCCTAGAAGAAGTTTCATGGATGATGATGGGCCACCTGGCGTTGACCCAGTATCGAGCCCTTCTAGGTCGAGTTACCCTCCAAGATATGGGAGTTACCATGCAAGCCAGTATAGCTTGGACAGCCCTAGAGACCTCATGCCTTCCTTTGCAAGGTCGCACTCTGATAGAGAACGGAGGAGCCCTCCCAGGTATGAAGATTCTTTCGGTAGTCACTCGTCGTTCCACCACTCGTACCACTCCAGACGCGAGCACGAAGTGGATGATCGATGGGATGGGCGTAGTCGGGATCGTCCATCGGACTATGAACTTGATGGCCACAAGTCTAGAAGGTAAAAGGAGGGCAAAAAGTAGGGATTGTTAGCACCTGACTTGTAACAGTGGCTTAGCTAATATGTCCAATTGTGACAGTAGTGTTGTAAAAGTGCCTCTTTTTTCCAGGTCGCAACAATAAACAAGATGTCTGGGCCTCATGTGAAGAATATTACTGATAGAAGCATGTTGACGTTGTTGTTTATGATTTGACAATTTTGCTGCTAGCACAGACTCCTTAAAAATGACCAATGCTATATATTTTAGGCGGGTTAAAGACACATTTGGTCACTGAGATTACAAAATCGGGACATGTTTAGTCACTAGAAAAAGTTAATATCAAATTTGGTCACTACAATTACTAAAATTGGACACATTTAGTCACTCGCCGTTAGTTGCCGTCCAACTCCGTTAAAAGAGTCCGTTATGTGCTGACGTGGCTAACGTGAGCGCCTAATCAGCGCCGTTTTGGGCAGGAAATGGTCAAACCCGACCCGCCACGTCACTAAACCCGCCACATATTAAACCCAACCCAATCCATTAACCCAACCTGACCCAGAAATAAACCCTAACCCACCTAACCATTCCAGATCGGCGAGAAGTCCAATTACGACGTCGTGTGCGATTGCTCGCACCAATTCTACTGGAACTGCGCGGAGGACGCGCACCGCCCCTTGAATTGCGCGACGGTGGAGAAGTGGATCCGGAAGAACAGATCCGATTCGGAGAACGTGAATTGGGTGCTGGCGAACACGAAGCCGTGCCCTAAGTGCCGCCAGCCGATCGAGAAGAACCAGGGCTGCAACCACATGTCCTGCAAGTGCCGGTTCGAGTTCTGCTGGATCTGCCTGGCCGACTGGTACAAGCACGACGGCGGCGGCCGCCGCGGGGGAGGGTACTACTCATGCAATTCGTATGCGGTGCAGGACATGTGGTATGCGGGAGTTCGCGAAGCGGCTGGTGGACCGGTATGCGCACTACTTCGAGCGGTGGGCGGCGAATCGGAAGGCGAGGAAGCGGGCGGCGGAGGATCTGGAGAAGCTGCGGAGGGAGCATTTCGCGCAGAACGGAGGGAACATTTCGCGCAGGCGGGAATAGAGGGTTAATGGATTGGGTTGGGTTTAATATGTGGCGGATTTAGGGACGTGGCGGGTCGGGTTTGACCATTTCCTGCCCAAAACGGAGCTGACTAGGCGCTCACGTTAGCCACGTCAGCACATAACGGACTCTTTTAACGGAGTTGGACGGCAACTAACGGCGAGTGACTAAATGTGTCCAATTTTAGTAATTGTAGTGACCAAATTTGATATTAACTTTTTCTAGTGACTAAACATGTCCCCGATTTTGTAATCTCAGTGACCAAATGTGTCTTTAACCCTATTTTAGGCTTGCACACTGCAGACTGCAGTGGCCACTCACGAACTAAGTACCAGAAAAACCGTATAAGCAACACCGGTTGTTGAGTTGGTTTCTGAAGGAACTTGGAGAATGATAGTTCAGTTTTCGAGGTTTTGAAGAATTCGTATATGTATTGTGTTGATATTTTAGGCTTGCAGTGGCTCGTTCATGAACTAAGCATTAGAAAAATCGTATATCAAAAGTGACATCGGTTGTTGAGTTGGTTTCCAGAGGAATCACTATCTTAACTGTTAGCGATCATTTGTAGAATGATAGTTCAGTTTAGATTTCGAGGGTTTGAAGAATTCATACACATATTGTGATGATATTTGAGATTTTGGATATGATTATAAAATAAGCTAAGAAGATACATTTGCCCGTATGTTTTAATTGTCTTATTCTCAATAGTTCTAACATCCAACCTTTGTCATAAGTACATGTTGTCCTTTCAAATACATGTTATCCAATCTTAGGGGTCGTTTGGAAGTTGCGATTGTTAAATATATGTATTGTTGTGAATGCATGTATAATATTATACATGTATTGTCGAATTTGTTGCATCGTAGACAAAATTTACTAAAGTATTTGTAATCTAAGCAATACCTTTGACAACAGAGGATCTAATAAATTAGATGTTCGAGTTTCAACGACTTTTAATTTCTATAATTATTCTAATTCAATTTTCACCTTCCATTACTATAGCCGTTATCATCAATGTTGTTAAACTTCTACCGTCCAGTCGGTTGGATAAGGCCTGACCAGAATCAGGCTCCAAAACGGCCTCCATATAGCTAGTGATCTTACCAGTGGAGAGAGTGAGGGTGAGAGCCGGAGGCGCCGAGAGCGGAAACACAGCGTAAGTTTTTATTTATTTATTTATTTATGAGAGGTGAATTTCTAATAGATACATGTAAAGGTAAATTTATTTCAGTCACTAATTTTGTAAAGTATTATCTTATTTGTATATATATTTAGAAAATGTACAAAACGGCTCGAACAAGTTAGACTCCCGATCACATTATTAAACCTTAAATCACATACCTGACTTTCTCAACGACTTAAACCGGTTCGACAAACTTGGTTATTAATTATTATACTTTCCCATAGGGAAAGCATCAAAATGTGGATTGTGGAGGGACTGCAATAGGCAGTAAGTTAATTCTGGAACTCATAGGGATAAACCATCAAAATTCAGGGTCCTTTATTTATTATTTATTTATATATTATCTATAATTCTATATATATATAAAAAAAAAGACAGTACCATAACAGAAATTCTATTAGGCCCCACCACCACAAAAATACAGGGGCTGGGTTGCCACCGAAACATCAGCAAGGACTCTCCTCCGCCTCCGCTGCTCCGACCAAATTGTCGCCACCCTTCTCCGCCAACAACGTAATTCCTTCTTTTCTCCTCCTTTTCTATCGTTCTTCTTTGTCTTTTCCATCGCTAAAAATACACAATAATATTATTATCCGAATCGCGGAAATCTGAATTCAACCGAAAACCAAAAAACAAAAACTACTCGCCGCGGCGGCAAACAATTCTCAGGTTCTTCTTTCTTCCCCTCTCTCTCTCTTCACCGCATCACCTCTCCCCCACCGCCTCGTTTTTTTTTTCTTCTTTGCTTTTTTAGGGTTTTCGTTTCCGTCCCCGTACCGCCGGCTCCGTCGACGTGCATTGTTGTGCATGACACGTTCCGAACCTGATCGTTCGGAATTCCGGTTGATTTCCGGGCGGGGGAGTTCCTTTTTTAGCTTGTTCGTGCATTGTTGTCCGTGCTCCGCCGCGGCGGCGGCGGTCGCCGTGACAAATTTGGGGCTACTGTTCGTGGCAACGGCGCCGTATTGGCGTTGTTTGTTGCCGTCGAACACCTGGCGAGCATGGAACCAAAAACCCTACCGCCCCACGTGGGGTTTTTTGTTTGTGAACAGCAAAATTGGGGTAGAGGAGGTTGACGAGATGATTTTGCCGTCGTTTAGCTCGTTAAATTGATTCAGGCGAGCAAAGCTTGTTATTATCAGTGGAGCAGAATCTGCTGGCTAGCTTAACTTAAAGAGTTTGGATGGATCAAATTGACTTGCAATTTGCTTCCTTCGATGTACCTATCCTTTGTTGTTCTAGGTGCTGTTCTTTGATGTGCGCTTTGTCTGAGCTTTCCATTAGTATACTATGTTGCTCTGGCTGACTCCACCGTGATTTGATTCTCATTGGAACTGGAACCAGGGTGTGCTGAAATTGCAAGCATTGTGATTTGTGTCAAGTTATTTGTGTGCTTTTCCCTGTTCATATTGGGTTTCTTTTTTGCGTGCGGATAAAATGGAAAGGTTGGGAATAGTGCAAATTGTAGGCTGAGTTGATCTGTTAGATGTTGTATGGATGTAGGTTACATGCCATCTCTTGCAATTCGTTGGTATCATTCTTACTGAGAGCTGCTAAACGGCCATAAAGTTGGTTATTTCAATTGAAAAAGTTAGTGAACGCTTATGACCGCTGTAATTTATATGATTATCTGGTTGTATGCAGTGCTTAAAGAGCAATGAGCACCTGAGCGTGGGTTTTCAAGATGTTTGTGAAGGGATTCAGGGCGAGCCAGACACCAAGCCTTCCTATTCCAAAAATTTCAGTTCAATCTTCATGGGGCGGAAATGTTTTGCATTTTGACATGAATAGAACAGTTGACTGGAGGAATGATGGCAGCATTTCTTTCTTCCGTGACTTCGTCAAATCGGAAATGTTAGTTCTCAAAGTTTGCATTGGTTTGGTGGATTGTTGTCAATACCTTTCTCATAGTATTGTTCTTATTTTGGTTTCGACGTAATAATGTCTTGTGCAGCACGAAAATTTTGGTGGCCCATTATTACTGGCAACCAGATGGCTCTGACTTCGTTAGTCTTCTAGAAAACATCATTTTTTTGGAATCTCAGTCAAAGGTATGCTGTGCTCATGACATGTTTCAATTGCTTATCATTTTCAAGAAACTCTCTGATAGCAAGATATATCAGTCTGCTTATCAGTCTGTTTTCTCAAATGACGATAGGAGGACTACATGAATTTAGATACGCTAGCAAAGCGGCTGCAAATAGTAATCCATGGTAAGATGGCTGATGCAAACTACAGTCAACAACTGTTTAACAGCCTAATATGAGTATGCATAGAAATGCTAACTTCTGGCTGATCTCATCATCAGATGCAGCAAAATCTCCTGAGAATAACTTGAACAATGTTAGCAAGACATATGACACAACTATCATGGACTTCCCTGGCGTATTTGGTTTAGTAAGGGGTAAGACTTCCAGATTTTATATATGTGTTGATGATCCAATAATTCCTTTTGATTAGCTTAGTTGATCTCGTGTTCTTTTAGGATTGAATGATAACATAAGGCCAATTACTGCTCAAGCAGGTGAGGTTGGACGAATAGCTGGGGGGATGGTACCCTCTCCTGAAATGAACTCTACCATCACTTCCTGTTCCAGTGCAAATGGGTTTTCTGAAACTGGAGTCTTTGGAAGTGAATCTGGGATTTTTGAAGGAGATAATATATGCAATTTTGAGCATGGAACCAGCGAAGTCAACTCTCAAATGCAACATGTTGCTTCTGGTACATTATTTCCGTTTTAACCAGTGGCATTGATTGATGATTGACAAATATTTACTTGTGCTGGCTATACTTTCTTAAGTTCCCCAGAATTGAATGTTTTCACCAAATACGACGTCCAAACAACTGAGTGCTTACTGGCCTGAAAACTGTTGGATATTCCTTACTAATTTCATGCTAAACTTTCTTGTGACTGATTATGCTCTAAATTGTCTTCTGAGCTTTTGCCTGCCATAGATTATTTGGGTACGGTGTCTAATACCGGGTTAACAAGAGTTATCTAATACCGGGTTGCTGCGTTCAGAGTAGTTTGCTCTTATAGCAGTGCGATTGTGTTTTTATGCTTGTTCCTAGTGGAGTGGCAGTCTATGAATTTTGGCTTGCATGTCCGGTGGACCTTTGAATCATATCCCCCACCCATTCTTGTAACCTTATTGATCTTCTTTCTTGGTATTGTGTGAACAAAGGTAGATTGGTATTCAATGAATTAAAGGATCTGGATGTCTGTACACGTAGTCTAATTGTTCTTACAGCTTTCGCAATATTTCTGTTCTTCCTTTACTCTGTTATTATAATCCTCATGCTCCTCATAAGTCAGCACTTTTTCACAGGTGAAATGGACTTGGTAAATTTTACTTGTGTGACAAGAAACCCAATTGCTCCTGCCTTGCCATCCGCTTTGGGAAATGGCTCTCAAATATCTGTAGAAAATCTCCCACTGTGGGGCTCCGAAGTCTCTGATGGATATCCTGGCTTGATCAGCTTGGATCCAGCCCTTTTGAGGTCGCTGCAAACTGGATCACCTATGTTTCAGGAGTATCATAACCAGCCTCATGATTCATCTGGGGATTCTAGGAGGTCAACACTACGGGAAGAATTCAACTCTTTTCCCGTACGACACGAATTGTTTTCTTCAATGTCTGGATTAGTACTGGGTACAGATTCCAAGCTCCCTTCAGAACAACCACATTCGTCGGATTTTAGTTCAAATTGCTCCGAGGTTTCAGATGAGGTATTCAGACTGGCAGATTCAAGTGCTACATTTCAGATGTCCATGGAACGTAAAGTCCTGTTTGCTTATGCCAACTATAAGGAATCGGCATTTTTTATGGGCGACTGCTTACCTTCTTTTCTTCAATACCTGCATGGTATTCTGTGCAAGAATTTTAGTTGCATGTGTGCAAGTTTCATCCAGATTTTATCTCATTTTGATTTCTGTGGCTCCTTGAATTGCAATATTTGTGGTCCTGTTCGTGATCATTCTTATTCTAATAGATATCAACAAAACTATGAAACTTCTGGTAGACCTGGCAGTCTCTTGTTAGAAAATTCATTGCATCCTTTAAAGCGTCTGAAGATGGAACATGGGTCAGCTCGGGTGCCTTCTGGAGCCCGAATTCCATCTGCAGAGGCTCTTCCTGGTGATCCTGATGAAGTACCTCCTATGCAAAAGTTCCCCAATTCACTTCTATGTACTGATCCTGGATTAATGGAAGTGAACATAGAACTGCCAGAAAATGTTGTGGATGTCACTCAAGGTAGTAGAAAAAACGCTGATGTTTCTCTGGGTAGAAATTGTCACATCAATCAAATGGATTCTGGATATCTTACTGCTGGCGATAAGTCAGTGAGGGTTGCTTCTGGAAATGTCAGTGATGTTACACAATTTATGAAAAATGATTTAGATATCTCAAAGCTTGATTCTTCTCTTGCTAAGGGTTGTGACATTGAAGAGCCAACAGCACAAATTATGTCGGTGGATGGCCCAGATCAATCAAATTTTGAAAATAGGTCAGATGCAGCAGATATTCAGGAAGTAGTCAAGGGACAGAGCCTGAAGATTAGAGGTGTGTCCTTGGTAGATTTTTTCACTGCACAAGAAATAAAGAAACACATATCCAGCCTTCAGCAGCGTGTCAGTAAGGTGAGTATCACTTGTACTGATAGTTTGATTGTCAAATAGATGATTAGCTAGATTTTTCAGAGCAACTTGTGGGCTTGTTTAAGGTATTGTTCTTTTAAATAATTTAGTATGAAAACCAGTTATGCATATTTTTCATGGTATTGCAGCCTGTACCCTTGCAACATGTTACAGTCCTGATAATTTCATATATTCTGTTCTTTTTTTCTTCTTCGTTCTTCTTTTCCACATCTCGCCGTGTTGGAAGTTCTTAGATTCAGCAATCTGATGAGGTTTGGCGTTATGGTTTATTGTTATGCAGAAAACATCAAATGAAGAGCAGCAGAACAGTATAGCACACATCATCCAAAGCAGTTCAGACCGAGCAACATGTACTACCAATGACAATACTTGCCAGCTATGTCTATTAGATAAGCTATTACTCGCCCCGGTTACAATATATTGTTCATGTTGTGCTGGTCGTATCAAGCATGGCATCACATATTACACATTGGAGGAAGAAACTATAAGACACTGTTTTTGTAATGCATGCCACAAGTCACGAGGAAACACTATCAGATTCTATGGGCGATCTGTTCTCAAGATGAAATTGGTGAAAAGAAAGAATGACGAGGAAAATGAAGAATCAGTGAGTTCGAATATCTAATGCCGAATTAGTTGCCTTGGAATTTCATGCATGAGTTCCTTACCCAACTTTTATATTGCTGCAGTGGGTTCAATGTGACAAATGTAAAAAATGGCAACATCAAATATGTGCTCTGTTTAACGATAAAAAGGATGTTGAAGGAAATGCAGAGTATGTTTGTCCAAGATGCTGCCTGGAAGACTTGGCCTGTTTCGGGCTTTTTCCATTGCCAAAGGATAATCTCTATGATGCAAATGCTCTGCCAAGGACTAGGCTTAGCGACTACTTGGAGAAGAGGCTTTGTCAACGACTTCAACAGGAGAGGACAGAGAGAGCAAATGCTTTGGGAAAGAACTTTGAAGAGGTTAGATATCAACTTCATAGATTGGGCTGCTTGATTATTAGTATACATAAGTTAGCCGATGGTAGTTCAATAGGGGAAGCTTGTTTATCATTTACGATTTTTTTCCTGGACTCCGGTTACCCCGGTGGTTTGCTTTCAGTACGTACTTTGGCAAATTTAGAAGGTGTAAGATAAAGAGAGATATTTCGAAGTAGGACCCTCACTCTCGCCCTAAACCTCACCCTACCTTCATTTTTCATTTGCTTACCACCGTTTATTTCCTTTGTGATTTATGCAGTGTCTTCTTATCTTTGGCTGTACTGCAATGTCTTTTTCTTTACTGCAGGTTCCAGGGGCAGAAGATCTTACTGTTAGAGTTGTCTTATCTGTGAAAAAACTGTTGAAAGTGAAGAAGCAGTTTCTGGAAATTCTTGGCAGCAATTACCCTGTTGAATTCCCATATGTATCTAAGGTACGTGATAACGTGTGAAGCTCCTATGCGATGGTAAACCCACTTTTTGGCCATGCAACATTATTCCGACTCTTCTCTCATAATTTGTTCAGGAAATTATGTACTAGTGCAATCATATTGTACTTCTCTCTTTTGTGGTGTGCTGATATTCCAATGGATTGTGGGATAGTGGTTACTCATTTCCCCAAAACATTGGTGTTTATGTTGCATCACTAACACCTATGTACACTCAGGTCATTCTATTGTTCCAGAAGATTGAAGGCGTAGATGTATGTCTCTTTGCATTGTATGTCCAAGAGTTTGGCTCGAGATGTAGTTATCCTAATCAGCGATCAATCTACATTTCGTATCTTGATTCTGTTAAGTACTTTAGACCTGAGACTGAGACTGCATCTAAAGAAGCTCTGCGTACATTTGTTTACCATGAGATACTGGTAATCTCCTTAGTAGCTTCCTTTTGCTCATTCTTCAAACTTGATGATGGCATTCCTGGTTTATCTCTTTCTTACTTCACTTATCTCCTGCAACAGGTAGGCTACCTTGAGTACTGTAAAAAACGAGGTTTTGCAACCTGCTACCTGTGGGCCTGCCCACCCCAGAGAGGAGAAGATTATATCTTGTATTGTCATCCCGAGAATCAGAAGACACCAAAGCCTGATAAGCTCCGACGATGGTCTCTGTTCTCTCTACTTGCAAATTCATCACTACTGTTTTCCCCCCTTCTTTTTCTGGTGTTTGTTCCACAGTCTATGACAACAAGTGCACTGACTAGACCAAATGATATCTTGAAGGTATAATTCAATGATAAGGAAAGCAGAGAAGGAGAACATCGTGGTCAGTTCTACAAACTTGTACGAGCACTTCTTCATCCCTAGTGCACAATCAGACTCCAAGATAACAGCTGCCCGTTTGCCTTATTTTGATGGTGATTACTGGTCTACTGTTGCCGAGAATATCTTCAAGAAGATTGAAGAGCAAGGTGGAGATTATTCAGCTAAGGCGGCAAAAAAAGTAATGAAGAATCGAACTATGAAGGCCATGGGACATACTAATCCTTCTGGAACTGCTATTAAAGATATGCTGTTGATGCAAAAGGTATTTCCGATTCACTTTCAAGTGATAAATTTTGTTTGTCACTTACTGTTTGAAAGTTCTTCGACTAACTAATTAGGAACTGTTGAATATGTGGATGTCGTTTAATTGGTTAGCCAATACATCATCCATTGGTAGTAGATGGTGGATTTTGTTTTGTCCATAATTCTTTTGAGTCTAGCTTAATAATCTGGTGTAAATCTAATAACCAGTAGAGTTTCGAGGTTCATGTGGATCTGTCCTACAAAACCCAACTTGGCCTGCAGGGTTGAACTGGTTCGGAGGCCTAGCCAGGTTCGCTGCATTCGGTAAATCTACCAACTCGACCAAGTCGACCAGGAACTCGAGAGACTTGGGTTGGTTTTAACCGGTTTTTCGTGGGAAGTCTATTTGAACAGCAGTATTTTGCGTCCTCAGGCAGAAAATATATTCAAAGAATCAACCCTAATTGACCAACCCTTGGCCGTTCCAACACCTCCCTCGTCCTCCAAAGGCCTCATTTTCTATGTATTCCTTCCATTCTCTTAGTACGTGTGATTTGAGTGATTTTTAGTGCTTCTCTCATTGATACGGTTGAGACTTGAGTTAGAGTATTACGTTTAGATTTCAGGCTTTACCAAATGTATATTCTGTGAGTCGAACACTGGGTGGAGTCTGGACCGGTTCAATATTTGACCCTTAATTCAGTTGCCTTGCCAAGTCGAATGCTGGGTGGAGTCTGACTGTCAACATTGATGCGAACTAATGCTCTATCAGCTAAGATGCATTTCAGGGACTGTTCAGTTAGATTTTTTCTTTGGTCATATTCTCTTCCTCCTAAATTGTTCGTTTATCACTTCCTAAAGCTGTCTTAATGAGTTGAAAAAGGGGCAAAGGATATTTGTCTTCTAGTAGTACCATCGTTACTTTGATAATGGGGCAAGGATATACTGTGGCGGAATGCATTTTGTGTTGAAGGTCAAATTGCAATTTCCTGCGTCAAATTTTCATACACAGCTACTGTTAAAGTTGTGTCCTCGGTATTGACTTGTTTCCATAATTTTTCATGTCTCTTCCCCTCAATCAGCTAGGGCAAGCCATATTTCCAGCTAAGGATGATTTCATCATTGTGCACTTGCAATTTGTTTGCACGTACTGTAATAGAGAAATCGTGTCAGGATGCCGATGGTTTTGTGCAGAATGTAAAAACTTTCATTTGTGTGGAAGGTATGTCCTCTCAGACTTGGTTTCAGCATTGCAAATGCACAATTGATAACAAACTTAGAATTTTTTTTTTTTTTTTTTTTTTTTTTGCAGTTTCACTAAACTAGCTGTTTGTTGAATGGTATTGAATTTGATTTTACAGGTGCCGCGACACCAAGCTAAGCCATCTGGAAGATGCACACATCTTAAATAACAAGGAAAAGCATCTTTTATCCAAGGTTATGGTAAATGATGTACCAAGCGATACCGAGGATGAAGATGTGGATATAGACAGCTGGTTATTTGAGGATAGGCACACTTTCTTGAGTTTCTGTCAGAAGAATCACTACCAGTTTGACACACTCCGCCGTGCCAAGCATTCTTCAATGATGATTCTCCACCATGCACGTAGCCCAGAGTCACCAATGTTTGGAGCCACAGCTTGCAAGTTTTGCCATGTAGAGACCCGGGGTCATGATGTTTGTTCCACTTGTTGCCGCAAGAAAGCAGGGCCTAAGAAACTCATTGATAGCGCAATGCCGGAATCTCTGCCAGCTACTGATCCTGGGAGTCACACAAGTCATGAGCAGGCTGGCTACCTTCCCCTACAGCGCACATCCCATAAAAGAAAGGTTAGAGGCTTCCTCTTCTCCTTTTTGTTTTTGTTATTCTGGCGCAATAACAGCTCAGTTGCAATCATATGCAGCCAGCCATCTCGTATCTTAAGTGGTCAACGTGAACTTTTCAAAAGCTCTAACCCGCACATCTCATTTTGTTTAAAAACTTGCAAAGTACTATCTCAAGCTTTCTGGCCATTGCTGACTTGGAGGTGCACTGGTTTTGCTCAGTTGCAGTCTAATGTGGTGATGGGTAGTGTTCTGGATGCTTTACCACATGCTTCAGTCTGTCCAGTCACCCGTAGCAACAGCTGCCCATACAAAAACTGCTCTGTACTGAAACGGTTGTTCAGCCACGCGACGAAATGTAGCACTCGGTCCTCCGGTGGTTGTTTGCTTTGTCGTGCGGTGTGGAACATCTTGAGGCTGCACTCCCTAGAATGCAGCGAACCCAATTGCCGTGTGCCTCGCTGCTCGTGAGTCATTTCCCGCCCTCGCTTCTTCCATTCCATCTAGTTCCTTTTCTCTCTCCTATTCTCTGCTTCAAAAATCTAGCAATGCAGCAGTATATCGAAGCGCCAAAGTTTCCGCGGATTGACGGTGAATTTGCAGGGATTTGAAGGAGTACGTGGCACTGAAGAAGAACCAGCAACAGCAACAGCAACATCAATAGCAACATCATTCGAGGCCATGAGAAGTACTAGAGAAGTTGTACATACTGCTTCAGCTAACAGCAAACTTCACTGGCCGAAGGTAAAAGTAGCTCAACATATAGTAAGAGAAAATGATAGGTTTACAGAAAGAATGAATATAGCAAAAAAGCTTTATATGACCTGTAAGTGAAATGTGGAAAGGTGACAACATAGGTTGTAAAGGAAGAACAAAATCTCAGCGTTGGTGCTAGTGCAGAACTTAGGACTTAGGATCGTTAAAGAGGTTCATTTTGTATGTACGAAACTCTGTACACATAGAATCAAGCTCAGTGCCCCCTCCGTCGCGTCGTCTCACCGGCCATCGTGGAGTATGGAATCCGTACTCGACAACGAGCCGACGGTGGTGTAGTCCTTACCGACAACGACGGAGGAAGGGAACGACGACATGGCGAACTCCGTCGTCTCCCTCCCTGCCATCGCAAACGCCCCGATCCCCGAGCTCTCCAGCGGGACGTCGGGCAAGTTGCAGTCGCCATCAAGGTACTGCATTACCTGCCTCATGCTGGGTCGAAACGCCGGCATGTTGTGCGAGCAGTACAGCCCGAGCTTCAGCACCGCCGCCATCTCCTCCCTCGCGTACTCCCCTGCCAGCTTCGGATCCCCTGCCTCCCAAATCGCGCCGCGCTTCCAGCATTCGATCACCCAGTCGACGAGGATCACCTCGGCGGGAAGCGCCTGCGCGTCGATCGGGCGCTTCCCGCACGCCACCTCGAGCATGAACACACCGAATGCGTACACGTCGGTCGCCGTGGTCGCCTTCCCGAGCCTCGACATCTCGGGAGCGAGGTAACCCACGGTCCCGACGACGTGCGTGGTCTGCGGGTTGGTCCCGTGGTCGTAGAGCCTGGCGAGCCCGAAATCGCCCAGCCGGCCGTTGAGATCGGCGTCGAGGAGGACGTTGCTGGCCTTAATGTCGCGGTGGAGAACCACCTGCTCCCATTCCTCGTGGAGGTACAGAAGCCCCGACGCCACGCCTCTCAGGATTTGGTACCGTGAACTCCAGTCATTGTAGGTGAAGCTGGTGGTGGGTTCTGGGTTTTGGGAATTGGCGGCGGGGAGGAGAGTGGAGAAGTGGAGAAGTAGTGGTGCTAGAAATAGGAATCCCATGATAGCTGCTGCAGCTGGAGAAGACGGAGCAGCAGCAGCCATGGATGGGATGGGAGTTTTTTTTTCCTTAATGGGGATTATCTATAGCCTGCAGTTGTGGAATTTGGGGCTAATTTTCTTGAGAGAGAGGGAAGAAGAAGAAGGTGAAAGTCAACAAGTCACGGTCTGATTGATCGACAGTGAAGTGCCGATGATCGGAGTCGGAGGCAATGTTGGTCGACGATTGCGACAAGGGGGGAGAAATTAAAATTAAGTGCAATGAGAGTTGAGAGAGTCAGGTTTCTCCTCCCTCCGGTTCCACGAAGCGTCTCACTAGCCGCCGGCCATTATTACTTACTCAAAGTTGTTGTAAAGCCAATTACTCAAACAAAACAAAAAGGTCGTTGACAAATCGGTTATATTAGGTGATGTATCATGTATGACCGAAAATTGAATGTGAATCAACATCAAATGTTTATATTTGAATTCAATAGATAACTAACAAAAAAAAAAGACATCGTTTTGTGAAATTAACTAACAAAAGGGGGGGGGGGGGGGGAATATATCGAATTCACGTATAAATATTTGGATGTTGAACCTAGTTGTAACTTATACTTGCTTCTGCGTCTCGTTTCGATTTGGATCTGGTCCCTCTCCCTCCGCCTACATCTCTAGCTCGTTGGATTGCTCCTCCCGAAGACTTTGTCAAGATTGACTTTGATGTTGTTGTACATGATTTTGGCTATGTTTCTAGCCTAGTGGTTCGTGGACCGGGCGGGCATGTGTTGTCTGGCAATCGGATATAACCATTTTGAGGTATCGGATCCGTACATCGCCAAGCTACATGTTGTTAGAGTCACCCTCTCAGCCATTGTTTCTCGAAGTCTTCATCGTGTTATCCTGGAATGTGATTCGGAGGTGGGCGATTCACCAAGTTCGTCTAGGCGTGTCGTTAGCTGATTTCCTCTACTTCATTTTGTATAGTCTTTGAATAGATTTCGCGAGCCGTAAATTGAATTCCTATAGAGCGACATATAAAACCATGTTTTTTTTTTGGGTCTATTTAGAGTTTAGAGTTAGCTTTCCTTGTTTTTAGCCTAATTAGTGTGTTGCTTTAGGAATGTTATGGGATGAAAATGTGCATCTTTCCAAACATTTCTCTTCATATTTCTTGAGGGGAAACAATATGTTCTCAAAGGGGGAAAATAAGAAAACACTTAAATAATAGCATTACTTAATATATTTTTCAGAACATGATGGGCTCTCACTTTCTCGATGATTAAATTATAGCCTCATTGTTACTACTTGTTTCATATTTTTTTGATAGATCAAATTAGTGTGGGGCATGTGATTGGAGCCACTTGAAGTTGAATTATGTTGGTCTTGGTGTTGTTCTGGTCTGTTCTGTTCAACATAAACAATCATAGGTAGTGGGGGCAGCCAGACAATCTTCAATCAAAGAACCGTAAAACGTTACCGGAAATTGTACGAATAATTGAACGGTAGAGTGTTTAGTGGTTAAATTGTTTTCATACTGAAGGAGGAAAAAAAAAACTTCTCGACTTAAATGTTCAACAATTTATTTTTTCCTCAGATGAGATTGTTGATACTGGATACAGTACGATTTTACAAACACTTCTTGAGCCCGGTCTGGTCTTGCTCCACGGCCCGTGTTTTCTGTTGGTCGATAATTAGAGTCTCAAAGCCAACGTTTTGATTTGCTGGAGAGAAAGTAGCAACGACCGAGTACCGACTTTTTGAATATTAATTAGCAGCAGCCAGGCCCACTAGGCTCATTTGCGGAGAGATTTCTGTTATAATATAAAAGGGCTTTTTGCATTGCAAAGCAATCAACTTGGCCCATTAGAAAAAAGAGGCTTCTAGACTTGCTAGAATAAACCAAAGAATTAGATGAGAGAGAGAGATGAGCGAGGGAGCCAAGTTTTTGGAAAGCAGTGAACAACACCGCGTTCCAAAAATTATGATATTGCCAAAACCGGGAGGGGTTCCCAGTATTAGTAGAGAAGGAACGGGGAATAGCCTTGGAAGTGTTCTTCTGATGGTCATCTAAATGGTTGGAACGAGTGGAGCAATTTTTTAAATTTCAGGAAACGCCGAAAGAGAATTAGTTGCTACTCGCATCTTATTAGATGGAGGATGAAGCCAATTAATAGTGACAATGGTTGGATCGAGCTTACACGACGTCAGGAATATTGACCATGACATGGCTCCAGTTTTCGAGAGGAGTTTTGGGCAAGGTTTGGGTCGTCTGACAACATCTCTTGTCACGAGGCGCTCGCCAAAATTAAGCGACCTGGTTCCTTGAGCGACTGTTTGTTGACTTTTGAGAAATTGGGTAATCGGTGCTTTGGGTGGACCGAAGAGGCGTTAGTGGACTCGTTCATTGGTGGGATCAAACGGGAAATATCCGACGCAATCTGCAGGTTCAAGCTAGAAATTGTAAGAGAGGCAATACGACTTGCCAAGGTGAAGAACGAGGAGCTGGCGAAACATCAAGGAATACAAAGGGGCCAACGGCGAGCACCCTTTGAGGTCGCAACCGAGCCACCACCACTGCGGGGTCGCACTGCCACGCAACCCCAATGCTCGTAGAATGTCGCCGGAAGAGGTAGCACGTCGCCGAGCGCAAGGACTCTGCTTCCATTGCGACGAGCGTCTCCCGATTGGCCATCATTGTGCCAACAAGAACGTCCTACTAATGTTTGGCGCGTGCGCTGACGAGGAGGAAAGTCAATTCATTCTTGAAGATGATCAACCTTGAGGGCCAGGTTGCTGTGAAGGGGGGAGGAATGTCACGAGAATCAAGCCATCGTAACTATTGGGCCTCGATCTGGGCTTACATATCTTATTATTTAGTATTTTATTATTAATTGTCTCTATTATTGTTTTCATTGTTCAAGTAGGATTTGGTTTATTATTTAGGAGTTAATTACTATTTACTTGTGGGTTAGGTTTCATAATCTAGTTAGGAAAAGGGGGAGAGAGTCGCCGACCTTGTAAGGGAAGGATTGAGATTTTGAGGTTTTCTATGTCTATAAATATGTACTTACCTTTTGGTTAATAATATGATAAGATAGGAATCCAATAATAGTTTGTAATTTATCCTTCTTTCGTCTCAATTATCTTCGTTCTTAGTCTATTTCTTATATTTATCTATCGATTACGACAACACACATTGAGTGAAGTTTCTCACCGAAAAAATACACGTAACATGATCATATGTCTTACCATTTATCTTATAATCGATATTGGGATTAAGTCCTATGAAAGTTGAATATTTTTTTTATGACTGAAGGTTGGATGGTGGATGTGTATAGAAAAACGAGAAGATTAATTCTGCATTTCAGCATTAATATGGTCAAAGTTTGATGAAAAGTTGATGACACAACTCATTCTGATTAAAGGTGAATGAACAGTTGATGATAAATTTCATTCTGATTAAAGTTGAATGAGACACACCTCATTTATGATTAAAATTTGATGAGCAGATGATGATACAACTCAATCTGACAAGTATGGGGTGAATTTGTGGCTATCTAAACCAATTTTGTGTTTTTGTCATTGAGTTGTGTATATGGACTATGGAGTAATAACTTCCAAATAATAAAAATATATATATCAAAATGTTCTGTCTTAATAAATTTTTACTCCATATACAAAAAATAAAGAATAGAGTATTCAATTAAAGTGATGAAATATACATTATAGTTTAATGATTAAACTATATTAGGAGAATGTGTGCAACTTGGAAGATTTGACATTAGCATTATATCACTCATTTTGGTGGAGTTACCATTTGGCACCTTGGGATTTACCATTGGAGATGGTCTAACCTGTACCTAGGCACCCAACTCGGCCACCCACAAGCTAGCACGTCACGAGCACATACACGAAATATATGTGTCAGCTTGACACAAGCACGAATAATTTATGGGACGTGTCGGGCCTGAACTTCATTGCCCTGAGCACGGTAAACACGACATAATTCAAACCATCCTCAAACCCATATCAAATCTAACAAATTAAAAAAATTGAACTGACGTGACATGAAAATTAACAAACTATACCAAACACGATACGAGATAAACAGGTCCGAAACGTGTCCCTATCGTGCATGCCTAAACACGGCCCAGTGCCACTGCCAGGGTACACTCGTCTTAACCCAAATAAAACTCCCTGTATAATCCCAAATTTTGGCGGCGGTGACGACGAAGCAAATGAGTAGAAGGGTTTTGAAGCCGAATAAAACTGCCCATAATATATTCACAAGCGAGAAGGACTGCGGGATTTTCAGATTTATTGTTTGCTCAAACTGGCCAAACGGCTCCGGCTGTTGCCGTCCGATGGAGGAAGATATCGAGACTCAAAACTACCAATGCCATGACTGCGGAGGCCGCATCTTCTTCGAGAACGGTGGTTCCTATTACTGCCGTCATTGCCTTACCATGGCCCAAGGCATCATACTGACAGCAACCGACGACGACGGTAAAACCGCTGGCTGCGGCGGCGGCGGCGGCGTCACCCGGCATCGGCGGCACACCCCTTCTGAGGGAACCAAGGAGGTGCCCAGGTACGAGGATTGCTGCAACGAGGTGAGGAATAGGTATATAGAGGGGATTCAGTGGACGATTCAGTTACAGTGCGAGGCGTTGGTTGCCAAGTTCGGTGTCAGCCCTTTGATTTGTGGGGTGGCCTCTGCTGTTTGGCTGAGGTTCGTGGTTGCTGCTGGAGTATTCAAAGATGTTTGGGCTGATAACACTTTTACGGAATCCGAAAACCAGCTAGGTAAGAAACCCTATACCATGATGATGCTTTCCTATCTGCTTGTGTGAGCGCTGAGAATCAAAAGAGCTTGAGATTTTTCTAGGGAGGGAAATTATCAGTCTACTGATTGTGATTTGTGGCAATTTGAATGCTTCGCGTGTTGGTTTGCATTGTCTTGAATTTCTGTGGGAAAGGGTTGTGTTATGTAGCTTATCTTGAATTTCTGCAGGAGAATTTGATGACAGTAAGATCCATGACAAGGGCAGGGATGAACTACACAAGGAGAATGGCCAGCATGTCGCAATGGTTTGGTTTAGGAGTTTGAGAAAGGTAATACCACTTGATTGCTCTTTGGCTATATGTTTTTTGGCTTGCCATGTTGCAAGAGAAGCAATTTTGCCAACGGATATAGTGAAGTGGTCGATCGAAGGGAAGATTCCTTATTTTGCTGCTCATGTTGAGATCGAGAAGCGTTTCGGCATGCCCTCGCTTGCCTGTCCTATAAGTTCAGCCCTAATGTTTAGGCCTTGTAAGTCGATTCCAGTACAGAAGTTGGAGCGAATGGCTGCTAGTATTGCGGAGTCGATAGGCTTGAATTTGCCTCCAGTGAACTTCCATGCAGTGGCTTGTTGCTATCTCAATCGGCTGTCTGTTCCCAGCAAAAAGATTCTTCCACATGCTTGTCGCATCTATGAGTGGTCGATGCCCCCCGGTTTATGGTTGTCAACAAATGAGTTGAGACTTCCCTCTCGTGTCTCTGTGATGTCTATACTGATTGTAGCCATAAGAATTCTCTACAACATAAACGGGTTTGGTGCATGGGAGAGGAGCTTATCTAAGGGTGTCCTTTCTGGGGTGAGGGGAGATGGCGGCAAGGATAATGGCTACCCTCTGCATGAGGTAGCTGATTCAAGTGAAAATTTGGTCAAGAATGAAAAGGATGTTCAGATATCAGAGTTCGATTCCGAGGAACTCTTGCGCAACCTTGAAGCAAAGTATAGTGAGATTGAAGAACCATGTGGTAACGGTTTGGAATGTTGCACTTGTTGAATTTGCGTCTTAGAAGCAGCTCATTTTCTCTCGTTCGTGCCTGCAGAATTTGCAAAAGACTTGACTTCATATCTCCAGTACTGCAAGGACGTGGTATTTGCAGGAGTTGGGTCATCTTTGCGCAAAGCTCAGTGGAAGCAGGAGGAGGAAGAATTGATAGACAAGTTGTGGGATTTTTATCAGAATGCAGAGGTAACACTCAAAACTTAATTATTTCCTTGCTCTTAGCTATCACCAGATGCATGATATTCATGAACATGCGTGTGTTTCAGGATTATGAACCTGCAGAGGAAATGGCTGGAAAGCAAGGCCGCACTTCTGACAAGAAAAGATCGAGGAGCGATGACGCCAGGTTTGTCCCAATTCAGCCAAGAACAAGGCAATTCAGAGAGATGTTCCATGAGAGCCCACTTCAGGATTCTGACAACAGTGACCCTGCCAAACAAACTGCAATCAAGAAATTGAAGTTGAACATGGAGGAGAATCGATTTTGCTACATCCCACCAAGGGTTAACATCAAGAGATCTGGTTACCTCCAGTACTCGAGGAAACAGGATGAGGGTGTCTTGAGATATGTTGCACATGCGGACTACTACATCCTGCTGCGTTCTTGTGCGAGAGTCGCACAAGTCGATATTAGGATCATGCACATTGGGGTCCTGGATTTGGAGAGGAGATTGGCCTGGTTGGAGAAAAGGATTGATCATTGCTTGCATTTGACGGCTCCTAGTATTACTTGTGACTTCTGTAGGAATGTTACATAATGTGAGTACGATGTTGTAGATCGAACTCCTGAGTCCAGAACTCTACCTTTGAGACCCTAGTTTTGACTTTTTTTTAGGGATTTTGACTTGGGTGTTTGTTCATACTTCCCCAAAATTTTAGATAATCAGAAAAGTCATGGTAGTGATTAGCCTTGTTGATCTTTCTACCCCTCAAGAATACTGTGTAACCAACTTTCAGAAATCTTGGATGAAGCAGTTCAAGTAGAAATACTATTACAAAATTGCATTAAGTCGATCCAAGAAAACATTTGGCTGCATTTTGCAGCAGAAACCACCCAGAGATATCTGAATTCAATTCTAACTCTGGTAAACTAAGGTAAAACAATAATGTCCCCTCAATAACACCACCCTACATGAACTTGAGTGTTGTAATAGCTTACTACTATATACTCAGATCAATCAAGAATCCGTTTAACAGGACTGCTAAGCTTGCACTAGTCAGTCACGTTGTGAAGAAAGTCCAGAGCTTCTTCCCTATTGAGGCTTCGCCAGGATGATGTTCAGACTCTTCTTCATCATCACCTTCATCGCCTCCATGAGATTTGCTGCTACACTGTTCTGAATTCTCCCAACGCATTTCCATCCTTCCGCTAACCTCTTCACTCATCGTTACATCTGGTTCTTCATGAGCTTCACCATCCAGACGCTCTGCAGCTTTCTCGCTCTGCTGCAGAGAAGAACAGAAACCAATGTTACGTTGTGAAGAAAACAGCTCTACATCTCTCATTCCACAAGTAGTTAGGACCAAAATATTTCAGACCATGCTCACCTTCACATGTTGTCTGCTTTCGCCATGCTCAGTAGCAGCTCCTCCTACCGATGTACCTGCATTAACTGTTGTGATATCTCGGTCCTCTACATGCACAGCACCAGTGGCTTCTCCTTGTTCATTTTCATTGTTCAAGTCTGACGTGGCTTTTACATTCACCACAGCAACCCTGTTGACAATTATGTTAGCATACGAGAGGGCTGAAGCTAAGGGTGCGTTTGTATTGAAAAGTTAAACCAATAACACTTTTCCAATCTATCTATATAGAGCAACCTACCCATAATAGTTACTTTGCAAAATCTTTACTACTAAACAAACTATCCTACACCCCATCAATATATTTTGTATTACAAAACAATATCCTACACCCCAGTAACATAACTTTTTTTCCAAAACCAAATACACCTTTTCTTTGCTTTTACTAGATTCTGAAAAAAAGTTCCTTATTTTCAGCGAAAGATATAACAAACACAACCCTAAACAAAATTTTATCATGTGGCATTACAGCCCGCAGATGGCCGAACAACATTTACCCACAAATCACATAGGACTATATGAGAAATCCTACCGTTTCGATCGCCTGAGATTGTATCGTGTTTCAACAGGCACAGCACCTGCCCGACTCTTCTTGCGCTTGCCAGTGATTATACTATCTGAATGTCCATCGCTCTCATTGCCATCAAGTTCACTAGCAGTAGTCTGAGATGCCTGTCCTCGGTTTCTCTTCCTTCCCCTTCCTTGATGAGCAACTTTATCACCATGGCCAGATTCGCCATGGCTTTCAGACCTCACAGAATCTTCAGCCATATTAGGCTCCCCAAGAATCACCTTGGCTTCTTCAATAACAGCCTTCATAGTACTTGTTCTACTCACTTTACCTCTTGTTCTCTTGTGACGCTGACCATGCTTCTTGAGATCAGAAGGCTGGGAGACTTCGGGCAATTCCAAAGACCTGCTGTTGGTGTTGCTTAAGTCATCAAATGAGTGGTTTCCATATGAGAAAGACAGCTCTTGTTCATCATCAAGAACATCAACTTTGTCAGTAGCTGGAGCAGCCTCATCCAAATCTTTTACAAGTTGCCCCCGCTTAAGTGGGGACAGCTTGAATATCTTCGTGGTACATTTCTGTAGCCAAGATACTGGAGATACTCTTTGGCTGGGAGTAGTAACAGGCCTCTCACCCTCTAGCCTTTCATCAGAAGCTAAAGTACCATTGTCAGCATTAGCATTGCCCGTTTCTTGCAATGAGCTCAAATCAGCAAGCTGGAATTGGAAAGCTGTTTCCCCACAGTTACTGCAACCCTTGTGTTGCTCAACGAAAGACATGAACTGCTCTTTCTCTTTAATAAACTGTTCTCTGTAGACCTTGAGCTTCATGCTAAGATCACCAAGCATATCAATGTCTTCTCGCATTTCGATTTGTTGCTGTTGAAGTTGCTTTTTGTTTTCATCAAGCTGTTCCCTGTCCTTCTCTAACCTGGATCTTTCCACTTCCATATCCTCCATCTCTCTTTTGGCTGCATCTCGCAGGATATTTACATCCTTTAAAGCTCTCTGCTTCTCTTCTTCAAAGCGCTGTGTCTTCTTCTGCAAATCTCTGTCCATTTCCTCCTGAGCTTTCTGCAAGCTATTTTCTAGTGCAGACTTTTTTACCTCAATGTCATCTAACAATAAGTTTCTGTCAGTTTGTGCTTTCTCAACCATTAGCAATCGCTCATGCTCCAAGTTTGTCTTGAGAGATGCTTTTGCTAACTCAAGAGACTCGAGTTCCTTTTTAATCAAGTCATCCATAGCCTTTTTATCACGCTTTATCCTTTCTTCTTTCAATTGCTTTTGCTTTTCAAACTTTTCCTTCTCATCACTAATGCTTTTCTGCTCTTTGTCAATTCCAAATTTTTTCTCATCCAACTCGTCCCACTCCCTTTCAAAATTCTCCTTCCTCTGCTTTAAGTCTTCAACCTCTTGCAACAGAAGCTCCTCTCTAGACCTGCACCTTTCTATTTCCTCTTTCAGTTCAGATTGTAAGCGAATATAGTCGGACCTCTCGTCTTCACTTATTTGGAGTTGCTCCTTCTCTTCAGATATCTTTAGGAACTGCTTATCATTGGCGGCCTTTACATGATCTAGTTCAGCTTTGAGATTTAGAAGACGTTCTTTCTCAGTTCCCAATTGTGCTTTCTCTCCCTCCAAGTTTTCTACCTCAGATTTCAAGCTCTTCTCCTTTTCCATGAGAGCTTTCGATTTGGATTCAAATTCAGCTTCTTTCTCCTTAAGTTTCTCCGATTTCTTATCCAAAGCTTGCTCTCTTTTTGCAAATTTCTCCTCCATATGCTTCACATCAACTTCCTTCCTCTCAAGCTCAATTACTTTGCTCTTTAACTCCTCATCAACAGCCTTCCTCCGTTGCTCAGCTTCCAACTCAAACTCACATCTTTTGGCATCCAAAATTGTATTATGTTCACTAAGGAGTTTTGGAATCTCAACCTGGAAAATTAAAAAAAATGCATATTAAGGAGCAGGTAGTAACATGCCAATGAAGAACCAACAAATGACGCCACAAAAGCATGAAGGAAGTCTAAGTACAAACTAGCTATTGATTCCATAGGCATACTGAATCTCAAAACATAGGTAAATATATACTACAAGCCCAAATATTTGTCTCTTCCTATCTCACAGAGTTAAAAAAAAAAAAGGAACATGTTGCTTATCCAACCTAATCCAAGAAAATATTATTGTCTATTGCATGCAAAGCTAAAATACTCAAATTTGAGATTAGTATAAAATTAAGTTCTCTTTAACAAGAGCTAGTATAAAATTTTCCATACAATCATATGGCCACGGCCCACGATATGTATACACTATGGAAGTAATGACATAGACATAGTGAATCGATCAGCAATTTTGCAGATAGACACTCAGATCAGTAAAGTTAGGTTGAGAACTATGATTCATAAATATGAAGATATAGTTAAATGAGAACCTTCTATATGGACTTATTTCATCTTATAAATACAGAAAAATAGAAATTAGTTTCAAGAATGTACTTTTTCCCTCTCATTCAACTTCTCATCCAGGGTCTGTAACTCCTCCTCCTTCAACAGCAAATTCTCTTTTGTAGCAACAAAATCCTGCATAATTGGATCCATTTCTAGCAAAATGAGTATATGGATGAAATCCAGGACTAGCACAGCTCAATACACAAGCATTAAATACTTACCTTTTCCATAAGGAACAGTTTAGCTTGTCGACCAGCAATGTCATCTTCTTTCCTCTTCAAGATTGAGTTTGCTTCATCTATCTTCCTTTGTGCCTCTCGAAGGTCCTTAATTTTTTGTTCAGAGATTCTATCACTATGACCTTCCCTTTCATCCCTTTCCTTGACAATTCTTAGATCATTTGATAGCCACTCTTCTTCTTCATCTAATTTTCTCTCCCAGACTCGCAACTCCTCTCTTTGCTTGGACAAACTGGTATCATGTGCTTCTTTCCTGAAATGAACAAGGACCAAAATGCACAATAAATGGCCTGCAATGGTGCAACCCAGAACGAAATTATTTAAGGAGAAACTAAAAACAGGAAGACAAGGAGGCGTAGCCACACCCTGCTACTACAGATAAGCGCTCCTTTCGAAGAGAGCTCTCTTGGGATTCCACCTCCCGTGATTTTCTCTCTAGCTCTGAACTCTTTCTGCTCACTTCAGCTAGCCTAGCTTCAATTGCTCGCTGTTGGGCCTCAACATCGAGATACTTTGCATCAACACTGTTAACCAGTTCATTTGCATCAGCCAACTTTGAATCAGCCCTAAGTTGCATTTCAGCAATTTCAGAACGCATCTCCTGAACTGCCTCCTTCAGCTGTAATGAGGACAGTCATCTTTCATTAGGATATTCAAGGCTGAGGCCTAGTAGATTACTCAATGTTGCACACAACCTACTGGATCAGTTAAAAGGCAGAGCACAAGTAACAGATCCCAATAACTAAGCTTTGCTTACAAAGATTCATGCCTACAAGCTTGGTCAAAATGAAGTAATCACAATGAGGAAGTTGCTAAGTTTTGCTCTAAGATTTATGGTATCCACATCCGAATCATTAGACTTCGCCTTTACAGCTTATTTTTCTGTTTCAAAGCCACCCAGAGAACAAGTATAAACATAATAAGAACCAAAGAATAACCATCTTCAGGATAACTTAAGTTGTCAAAGCTTTTCCTATGACCCATTACTTCCAACACAAAATAGTCGGAAACCAACCATAGTATTATTACACCTTCTTTCAGCTTCTACAAATTTTCCATCCAACATAAAATCAAAATTAAACAGTTCAGATTGCTAGTTCATATAATGTAACGGATATAGCAATTTTAGAATGGAAGTGGCAAAATTGGATAATTATCTTACATCCACAGCACACTGCTTTTCATAGCCCAATGTGCTTCTCAACTTCTCTTCTTGCTGCTCAGCACCAGAGATTGCAATCAAGTGTGCTGCTTGCTCGCGTTTAAACTTATCTGTCGTGTCAACTAATGCTTGCTTAAGTTCTTCAAATTTAGCACTCCAGCCCTTCTTTTCAAGAATAAGAAGACCCATATTGTACTGGTACTCATACAACTGAAATATAAATCGGTAAAAAAAAAAACATTAGCAATACAGCATAACACCCTGAACACAACTATCACACATGATAACAAAATTCAAAATAATAAGGAATCATGAACGATCTCACAAACAGCCGGGTAGGAATGTAGCACAAGAGCACGGCCAAATAAGGAATGAAGACAGCAAAACTGGGCAAATCTTTCTAAAGAAACAGCACGCCAAGATAGCCAGAAAAGGTTTTTCAATGTATTCCCTGATATATTTGACCTGATAACTTCAACTTGTGGTTCAAGCCACTCAGTGGTGAAACATAATTCTACCATTAGAGTGTAATAAGGAGATGATATATGGTTATCATTAAATGAAACAGTAACTACAGTTAAATAAAAAAATTCAAAGTCTTAGGATCATCAGTCGAAATTATACAAAAGCGAAGCTTTTTAAGCTGTCAGAGCCATGCCTGCAATATCTTGCAAATTAAATTGGTCTCTATCAGAGGGTCATATTCTGTACCACTATGCCAGCTTCTTCCGTGTCTATACAACCTCTACCTATTTTACTGGTTAACCATACAAATCTAACAAGCTCCAAAAGCTACTCCAAAAAACAAGTGGCAAGATCAGCTAGTTTCAAAGCAGGAACCAAGATTTGACCGCGCAGAGCATCACGCAGTAGTAACCACAGATTAAAGAGCAAAGATGAAGGCTTTAAGCAAGAAAAGGGAAGCAAGAAACAGCAAACCTCGTCCTCGAGCCTCTCAATCTTGCTCGGCAATTCCTCACTGTCCAAATCATAGCCAACCCCATTGGGTGTCAGTCCTTCGGTAACTGCGAGGCTTTTCCCTCTCAGGAGACTCCCATCTCCGATTCTTGGGGCAACCCTGCCGATAGAATTCGAAGTCGGATGGAAAGCACGCCCAGGTTTCTGCGCCTCCGACCAAAACCTCTTCTGCGGCGTAGACATAGTAAATATACCCACAGTTCCTACTTCCTTCCCCTCAATTACCAAAGAGGAACCAAATTGACGGCCCCTAGAATCAAATTCGTAAACACAGCGAAACCCTTTCCGGAAAAGGGGCCAAAAGGAAAGGAAGCAAGTAGCTTGAGAATTCAATGTGGGAGGACAAAATCCTTGGGTGCAAAATGGCGGTGCGGGGAGGGTTGATGCTTCCGACCGCCGGGGGGAATTACTCAGTGGAGGCCCTGATTCAGGTATGGCGTTGGCCGTCACCGAATAAAGATTCGAAACCTATTAACAGCGGACTTCAACCGATTTTTCCAAATCCGAGAATTGTGGGCTTGCGTTCCGTCAAACCGGTTAAAAGAATACCGTCGTATAGTGGAACTCGGTCAGATATGGTATAACGATCCATAATATCAAATATCGAATTACAGTCATAAAATTAATTTTATTTTATTTTTAAATAATTTTGATATCTCAATTTCATATATTTTGATTCGATATTGGTACAGACCAAATACCAAATTATTTCCTTCCTTTTTACGAAAGTATATTTTATTTCCATTCCAACAGACCATAGGTGAGTAGAGATGGCAAAAATATCTGTAACCGTGGATATCCCCACCCGAATTCGGTCTAATTGGGTAGGGTAAAACCCGAACCCGAAGGACATTTAGTGGGTACGAGTAACACCCGAACCCGAATATTGCGGGTAATGGGTGGGCATGGGTTTCTAACTGTCCAACCCGAATCCGCCCGATTATACGCATGCATGTGTATTTTCTCTAGAAATAATTATTATTTTTCTCTAACATATTTTATATTTAGCATATAGATATAATATTTTCATGAAATTGTGTTGTTTTAGTTAATTTTCTTCATTCTAGTGAACTATTGTCGTATTTTTCCTCTTACGTAATGTGAGAATACGTGTGAATGTTAACATATTGGTTGGAGTTATGAAAAGAAATTATTATCCATGGATAACCGTGGATACCCGAAACCCGAACGGATATGGGCATGGTTTTAATTTTCTACCCGTTTCTCATGTGGGTATGGGTATGAGTAAAACCCGAACTACTTTGGATAGCGTAACGAATATGCATAATCGATGAGCAAGAAACACCATTCGATCAGCAAATCGATCAAGAGAATGTTGAAGCGAAAACCACAATCTGGTACAACAATCGAATCAATTAGGAGACATCCTTGGATAAACGTGACCTCTATGAACTAAATCTGATCCATCGAAAGATCAGATGATTCGACTCTATTGTTCCCGTGTCATCATTTTTCAATACACAACAGCTCAGAAATTCAATATCCAGGGATGAAACAAAACACATATCCCTTTTTTTACGCCCTGATTTACCTGAACGCTACTTTGTCTACACCTTTTTAACTTACACGCCACAAACCCAGAAGAAGAGAAGAAACGGGAGTCCTAACTATATACTAGGACAAACAATAAAAGACGTCCTTCAACCTGCTCTGCTTTGGCTTTACGACCATATCACGTCGTCAAGAAAGTCCACAGTTTCTTCCCTATGGAGGCTTCACCAGGATGAAGCGACTCTTCTTCCTCGTCGCCGTCGTCTTCCTTCTCGTCCCGATCTTCACTTTCTCTACGGGATTCAGTTGCATACCCTTGTTCCATCTCCATTTCCGCCACCCCATTTACCTCCTCGCTCATCGCCACATTTACATCTGGATTGCCCTGCCTCTCATTGTGTTCTTCTGCAACTTCATCAGCCTGACAACAAAAAAGAAAACAGCAAAAATCATTAGCTTTATGTGCTTCCTCTTCTAGTCAAGAAAAAACAAGCTACTATTAAGAAGACATACTGGCACAGCAGAGTGTCTGGTTGTCCCATTTTCACCGTCACCTCCTGCTGGCATATCTGCATGACTTCTCGACATATCTCCATCGTTGGAACTAATTACACCGTCATCCTCTTTCTTGTTATTATCTTTGAGGTCGGATGAGGTTTTGGCATCTACAACAGCTGCCCTGCTGAGAACAATTTAGCATGGCAGCTATTAGTTAGATATAATGAAACAGCAAGGCTAAAGACCAATCAGCCTTCTCTGTTATAATCATTTATGTAACATAGGTAACAGCTGAAGGCAGTAGCCAATGACTACGCCTTAATGAAAAACACTCATGTTTGAGGCGAATGACATCGCAATTTAAATCTGATGATAAGCTGAGGAACTTACAGTTTTGATCGTCGGAGATTATATCTAGCTTCCCCTGGAGCTTGCACGGTACTCGCTTTCTGCTGACGCTTCCTGCGTTTTCCAGCCGCAGTGCTACCAGAATGCCCCTCACTCTCATTGCCATCACGTTCAATTGTTGTGGTCTGAGAAGCTTGTCCTCGGCCCCTCTTTTTCCCCTTTCTTTGAGTTCCCTTATCAGCATGGCTAGATTCCTGATGGCTTTCAGATGCCAAAATATCAGAGTCTTCGGCGACCAAATTTGATTCCAAGGCCTCTCCAATAACTGCTTTGGCATCTTCTGCAGCAGCTTTGACAGCGCGTGTTCTGCGGACATTCACTCTTCTTTTATTGGGACCCTGTCCACGCTTCAGACCCGAAGACTCCGAGATCTCTTGAGGAGGCTGCAATGACATGCTGTTAACATCGCTTTGGCCATCTGCTGACAGATCTTGCATTGCTGCAGTAGCCTCTCCAGTACCATCATACTGTGCCCTCTGGTCGCCAAGTGAGTCATTTCCATAAGCCAAAGATATTTCTTGCTCATCTTCAAAGATATCCACTCTGTTTGATGGTTCTGCTACATCAGCCAAGTCTCTTACAAGCTCTATCCGTTTGAGTGGGGAGAAGTTGAATATTTTAGTTGTGCACTTCTGGAGCCAAGAAGCTGGAGATACTGTGTAGCTTCTGGGCACCATGTGAGATTTCTCAGCCTCTCTTCTTTCAGAGGCTTCAGAGTTTTTGCAATTTCCAGCTCCTGACGCTGCCAGTCTTGAAGCAGACAAGATATTGGCATTCTCAATTTCTTGGGAAGCGATTAAGTCGGAAAGAACAAACTGGGATGTCACTTCACCACAGTTTTTACAGTCCTTGTGCTGCTCGACAAAGGCGATGAAGCGCTCTTTCTCTTTAACAAATACTTCCCTGTGTTCCTTGAGCTTCCTGCTAATATCCCCAAGTCTATCTATATCTTCTCGTATTTCATGTTGTTGCTCCTCAAGATGCTTCTTGTTTTCAGCAAGCTCTAGCCTGTCCTTTTCTATTCTTGATCTCTCCATCTTCAGTTCATCCATCTCTCTTCTAACCACATCTTTCAAGTAATTGAGATTTTCCATTTCTCTCTGTTTCTCCTCCTCAAACAATCTCTCCTTCTGCTGCAGATGTCTGTTCGTTTCTTCCTGCTTCTTCTGCAAGCTGTTCTCAGTTTCACTCTTCAATAGCTCAATCTCATTCAGCATTATGTTTCTGTCGCTCTGCGCTTTCTCTGACATAATTGACTGTTCCTGCTCCATCTTGGCCTTAAATGACTCTTTCGCTAATTCAAGAGTTTCAAACTCCCTTTTGATGTAATCTTCTGTAGCCTGTCTCTCGTGCTTAATCTTTTCCTCCTCCAATTGCCTTTGCTTCTCAAACTTTTCTTTTTGCTCGCCAATGCTTTTAAGCTCTCTTTCAATCTCAGCCTTCTTACCATCCAATTCCAGCCACTCCCGCTCAAAGTTCTCCTTCAGCTGCTTTAAATCTTCAGCCTCCTTCAAAAGCACCTCTTCCCTAAATCTGCACTTTTCTGTTTCCTCTTTAAGTTCAGATTGCAGACGAACAAACTCAAACCTCTCATCTTGACTTATCTGGAGTTGCTCTTTCTCTTCATGAATCTTCAGGAGCTGCTGCTCATTAGCAGCCGTTAAATTCTCAAGCTCAGCTTTCAGGTTTTTAAGTTCTTCCTCATCAGAATGCAGTTGTTTTTTCTCTATCATCAAGTTCTTCTCCTCAGATTTGATGGTCTTCTCCCTTTCCTTGAGAGATTTTGATTTGGATTCAAAATCCTTTTCTTTCTCTTTTATCTTCTCTAGTCTCTTTTCCAAAGCCTGCTCCCTTTTGGCAACTTTAGCCTCCCAATGCTGGACTTCAGCTTCCTTTCTCTCCAACTCAACTACCTTGCTCTTCAACTCCTCATCCAAGGACTTCCTCCTTTGCTCAGCTTCCAGCTCGAATTCGGAACTTTTGGCATCCAGAATAGCTTGATGTTCCTCATGCAGCTTCTGAATCTCCAGCTAACAGACGAAATTCACAAATGCATGATAAGAAAAGCTAATCCAGAGCCATTTAAGAGAATCATGCACCAATCTATTTAGTAAAATCTACATCATCAATAGAACACCATTATCCATAGATTTCAGAGGGCAAAGAAAGCAGAAAGCATACAGTTAAAATTTACAAAAGCAATTTCAGGCCCTCTACTTTCTCTATGAGATTATAGCAGAGTGCATGTTTTATCCACCCACGTCCAAGAATTTCATGATGACATTGCCCAGATATACATCAATTGCTGAATGCAAGGAGAACTTCGACGAATATGATTTCTATTGCATTTACACGCAATGGAAAATTGAAAAAAGGAATATGAAACCCATAAAAAAAGGACTTCGAAGAAGCACATTATCTATCATAGAAAGACGGAACTAAACTAGTAGGGCAAGTGCAGATAAATAACTTAAAGCATCATATACACATCCTATATAAAAGTGTGAAGGACTCACATTCTCTCTCTCGTTCAACTTCTCTTCCAGGGCACGTAACTCCTCCTCTTTCAATTGCAACCTATTTTTAGTAGCATCAAACTCCTGCATGTACCCGAGAGATATTTATCAGTGAGTGTATGCAAGGAAAGGATAATCCACAAACTAAGATGAGTAACACACACCTTTTCCCTAAAATTCAGATTAGCAAGGCGACTAGTTATGTCATCTTCTTTCCTTTTCAAATCTGAATTTGCTTCATCTAACTTCTTTTGTGCCTCCTCAAAGTCCTTCTCCTTTTGCTTGGAGACTCTATCATTCTCATTTGCCCTTTCTTCTCTTTGATTGACGATTCTCAGACCCTTTGATAGCCTCTCTTCCTCCTCTTGTAATTTTCTCTCCCATTCTCGCAAGTCCTCTCTTTGCTTAGATAGAGCTTCTTCATGTGATTCTTTCCTGAGACAAACAAAAAAAAAAAAAAAAAAGGGGGGATCAACACAATGACTTAAACTGCAACATGGTGCAAACAAGTTTGAACTTACACATCTCTAATAGAAGTTCTTACTCTGCAATCAAGGATAAACGATCCCTTCGTACTGCACTTTCTCGGGTCTCAACCTCTTGTGATTTCCTCTCCAGCTCTGAACTTTTTCTGTTCACTTCTGCCAGCCTAGCGTCAACTGACCGCAGCTTTGCCTCAACCTCAAGAGATCTTTCTTCAACACTGCTCATCAATGCATTGGCTTCAGCCAGCTTTGAATCAGCAGTGAACTTAATTTCAGCATTTTCATATCGCATCTCCTGCACAGACTTCTCCAGCTGGAAAACAAGAATTCACCATGTTACTAGTGTTTTTAGCAAATTACAATGTTACTAATGCTAACATCGAACTTTTTGCCGGCACTGCCCACAGATCAACAGATAGCAAAAATTGATTACTTGCACAAATAAGATGCTAATTGGCATATGCTGTTTAAGATCCAATCTACCTATATTCATTATGTGTTGCTTTTCTTGTCCACATGAAGAGCAGCATAAGAACAAACCAACTATACAATGCTTTTCTCACGAACAATCACTTCAAGAGGTAAGAACCTGAAAGCCAACCTTAATATTTCTTGTTTCATGATCACAAACCCACCGAGCACGTGACCAATTAGCTACCTAGTCTTTTAACACATATATCTTCATGCTTCAAAATATGGATCGTACAGAAGTTCAATATCAATGTGACTCAATGAAAACCATACTTACGTCAAGTACACACTGTTTTTCAACCCCCAATGCCTTCCTCAAATTCTCTTCTCGCTTCTCAGCATCAGACACTGAAACCAAGTGTGTTGCTTGCTCCCGTTTCAGTGCATCCTTCACATCAGCCAATGCTTGCTTGAGTTGGTCCGCTTTAGCATTCCAATCCTTCTTTTCAACTAAAAGAAGCTCCATACTATATTCAAATAACTGAAAAAGAGATGACAAGAATAAATAATAAAACATAAACACAACACAAGAAACGAAAGTAAAAGGAGATGACACCATATGAAGACCAAGTAACAGAGATCACTTTGTCTAGAAATTAAATGAAAGCACAACCAAGTGAGGAATGATGACAGCAAACTAATAAGAAAACAGACTAAAACCCAAATGCTGTCAGCAGAGCCGACAGGTCGTAGAGTTGAAGTCTTTGGTGAAGTCATATTCTGGCAATATAATGGAGCTGAAATATGCAGTTATCTAGCAAAAACTAGCCATTAAAATTTACAAGTGATGTAATGGAAGAGACCATGATTACTGAAAATATATCATGAACATAAGAACAGCAATATAGGAGTGAACTACCATTTGACCATCATGTATTGAATTCTTGAAGCAAGATAAAGCCAAGGCTATTGGGAAAACAACATGGTAAACAAAATGAGGCCCCCATCATTCAAATCGCTACTTCAACTATACATCAACACAATAAGCAAAAGATGCTGAATCCATCCGTATGGTACAACTGAAAACAACAAATGGGAAAGCATGACAATTCATCAAGAATACAAGTATGGAAGTGATCAATTAACCTTCACCACCAAATATCAAATTCATTAACCTAGATACGATGAGGCTACATTCCAGCAACACTTCAACTACGCATACTAGGTGTGCTTCTACAGTATTCTACAGTTCCTTTTCAGGTAAGGATTCTGTTATACATCATGAAAACTGCATTCGCCTTCCCAATTGAACTCATCTATATAATCAAATCAAGGTAACTGTTATACATTAAGATCCAACCAGGGCCCACTAAAGAAGAAGAAAAAAAACCTGACCATCGCCATGAATACCAAAACCTGCTAAAAGATGAGGAAGCCGAAAGAATAACAAGCAAGGGAGAGAACAAAGATTCTGCGGAGAAGAAAGGTAGAAAGAAGCGCCAACCTCATTCTCGAGCCTGGAAATCTTGGCAGCCAAATCGTGAGTATCCAAAGCACGGCCCAAGCCATTGGGAGAAGCAGCTTCGTCAAAAAGCAGGCCCTTCCCTTTCAAACGGCTCCCGTCTCCTGGATTCGAAGCAGGCGTGCCATTGGAATCGGGAGCCTGATGCAAAATCCCGCCGGCAGATTTCTGCGCCTCCCTCCGCGGAGTGAGCGACCAAACGGACCAGGCCTTCCTCTGCGGTGTAGACGAGGACATGACGAAATCTCACATCCACAGTTTTCGGCCGTGTAAAGAGAACTGAAGTCAACTGAATTTCGTTGCACAGCCGGCGGAAATTGGAAGTCACAACCCTATCCTGAGGGCGCTCCTCTTCAGCTTTCCACTGGCAAGTAGAACCAATTCAGCCCGGTGAGTGATGTATGCTTACAGCTCTGTCGCCGGCGACGGAGAAGAACGAAACCCTGGACCGGACGTGAACCGAGTTCCCAAATTCCGCCGTAGTGTGGAGTTTGGAGTCCGGTAACGTCTCCAAACGAACTTTCTCTCGCTCTTCTTCTTGTTTTGTGGGTGGTCATTTTTTTTTCTTTTTGTTTTATTTTCCGGTTTATCTAAAAATATGCCTTTATTGGTCGGCCCCACAGCGAACGGTCCGAAGCTCTGGTGTTTGATTACCGTTTTACCCCCGCACTTCGAGGCGTGCGCTGGCGTCGTGCTCTACATTACAGAAGGGCGGTATGGGGAATTCGACAAAAAGATGGATTTGTTTGTCTGGAACGTGAGATTTTAGGCGGCTCTTTTCTGGATTGGACGGAAATGCCCCTGAAGAACAAAAAAAAAAAAAAGGAGGGAACTGCGTGCCAAGGCGGCAAGAAAGAAGGGTGGTCGTCTTTATAGAAAAACCCACAATTGTCACGGTAATCAGTTCTTTGTTTATTGAAAAGGTAAGCATAAAGATTAAAGTTAAAAGGGAAGAGCCAAAAAGGTTGGTTAATCTCAATGTTAAGCACTTGATCTACCATCTAAATGCATTTGATCTGGGATGTAATTAATTAAATAATAGAAGAATAAATATATGTGAATGGGAAGGGGTTTTTTGGGAAGGACAGTGGCTGGCTGGGAATAGTTGGCAAGAGCAATGATGAAAAGTTCTAGGGCACATGGGGGACAAGTCAGCAGATGCTTATCTTAGTTGGCAAGAGCAATAACGGCATATTCCTTTTCCCGCCTCCTCACCACATTGCCTTCCTGCTAAGTAATCACACAGCTCCTTCAACAAGTTACTTTACCGCCGGACGTGGGATAGTATGTGAAATCGTACCGGAAGTTGTATACGACTCATTGTATGGTGGGTATTTTGTGACGATCGTGGTTCAATTTTGTCGTACCGGCTAAATTAGGGTACCGTTTTAGAATGCACCGGATAACAAGTTGTAGGTAAACATAATATCCAATCAACCATATAATCATCTAGGTGCATATGTTTAGAAACAATGGCAAAACAACCGAACAACAACAACGTTCTCAAACTACAAAACTCAAACTAGAAACTACTACTGTGATTCTAAATCTGACATCCACGAACCTTACTTCAAAGGTCTTTATAAATGGCTTGATGCGAGCTTCCAGAGTTACCCAAAATCACTCTACTTGAAGCGGAAGGAAGGATGCACCTCGTGGATAAGCAGGGCCGACCAGGGAAGTTGAAAGACAGAAGACCCTCGGCGAGGAGGGATTAAATTCTCGACCGGGGATCAGGAGCATCTGTCAGGTGATTTTCAATCCCCGATTGGGGATTCGAAGGTCGTGATAAGGGATTGTCTGACGAGTGAATTTGCCTTTTTTTTAATTATGATCTTTTCCTTTTGAGAGTTTTTGTTTCCTTAGCCTATATAAAGGCTTAAACTCGAGTTTTAGGTCAGACTTTGATTAATTGAAAACCCATTTTGTTCATTGAGCTTTTGCCTTGTGAAATTTGCTCTCGTCCTTGGTGGACTCCAATTGCTTTGAGTGTGTCTTTGTGTCAATCAAGCATTCCCCCTTGATTGTGGTCAACCTTCTACCCTACATTGATAGAGCCATCTCCCACATGTGAGATTGCACCTCAATTCCGCCTTATCCCTAGTATTAATTCTTGTTTTCGACTGTGTGATTTTGATAACTACGCGCACCAATTTCGTGCTCGTATCATGACTGATCCTTTGTTGACATGGTGGCGAGAAGGCTAGGTGTGATCTACCGGACCGTTGTACTCGCCACTGTGGTTTGAGGATTGGTAAAAGCAGCAATAAAAGAACTTATCATGAATGATCCCCCGATACAATGTCAAAATCGATTGAATTACTCCAAACACAACCAAACTCAATGAATATTCATGAGTGCATGAGTATCCATAAGTCCATAAACATAATTACGAATAATTTCTCCGATCATCCAAACCCAAACCGTAACTTGTCAACCCAGAATTTTACCCGGTTTGACGAGATCGGATCAAGCCAAGTTGAGTACCTGCGGATGCTTGTTCAATTGCCATCCTTATTGTCAGGCTTAGTACCTCGATGGCTATGAAGCTTCTAATGGAAGGGGAATTCCTTGGTGACTTGTGAAATCCGCGGCGTAAGGTATCGCCTGACGTGGGGCTTCTCCGGTAACGTGGCCAACTGAACTGGGAACGTTCCTTGCTTCCAATTTCTCTGCGGAAGAACGAACAAGAGAGAGGAGAAAGGCAGGCACCAGATCCAAAATCACCCCAATTACTTCTTCCATCTCAAAAACCCTAATAAAACGACACCAATCCTAAGTCTTCGCATTCGTCAAAACGCCGGATTTCTCTCGTTTGCAACACAGTAAAAAGAGAAATGGCGGCGGTTCCTGTGGCCAGGTTCCCCATCTTCATCGTAGTCCGGCTGCTTGGGGCGATCGTCGCCGGCTTGGTTCTGACGTGGACGGTACATTACAGGGGAGGATTGGCTCTCGTCTCCGACAACAAAGATCTCATCTTCAATGTAAGGAAGATAACTGAACACCGTTTTCTGCTTTTTCCCACCACCTGTAATAATTATGCTTCATCTCTCACTGTTTCTTGGGTTTTGCTGGTGCTATCCGTTGCAGGTTCATCCAGTTCTTATGGTAATCGGGCTACTACTCATGAATGGTGAAGGTAAATGGGTTCTCGTTAATATGCATTTCTTTTGTTTCTCCTGGGGAATTTGGTTGACTTTTTGTTGTTGCCCATTGAACTTGAGTGCCTCTAGGGTTTGAAATGATAATGCTTTTCTCGTTGTTCCATCATCCGGTCCGATTTGTATGCTGTTGATGGTATGTTCAGGTAGCCAACGTTCCTTCCGAGTTGTTGATCATATGTAGGGTGTTCCGCTGATTCTTCATTTAGCCTTGTTTCTCCATTTTCTGTGAGGTCAATGCTTTGTTTTTCCTGTTGTGTTACAAGAGTAAGAAGTAGAACATCTTGAATAGGAGTTGCGCTGGACGACCTGAAAGTCCATCTCTCCAGGGATTTCAACATTGAGTTCTCTGCTTCCTCAAACTGGAAACAATGCTTGCTGCTAGGCATGTCTATAGCATTTATGTTAACTCATTGATGGACACATTTCTTATATGGAAAGCTTAGTCCTTGTAGGTCCCAGATCGGGGTAGTTTGTGAAACTCAATGTTGAATATTGTTGTATGGATTGCTGCAGCCATGTTGGCCTACAAGACGGTCCCAGGAACAAAAAACTTCAAGAAACTCGTGCATCTCGCGGTGCAGTTTCTCGCCCTCTTCCTGAGCTTGATCGGTGTGTGGGCAGCACTGAAGTTCCACAATGACAAGGGCATTGACAACTTCTACAGTCTCCACTCGTGGTTAGGTCTTGCATGTGTTTTCCTCTTCATCGTTCAGGTCTGTCTTCCATCGGCCCTTTCCTGTTCTGAAGTTACGACACCATCATGTGCTTTCATGGGTCCCAACTCAATTAGCAGGAAATGATTTTCTTGTGTTTTGATGCAGTGGGCAGCTGGGTTTGTGACCTTTTGGTATCCAGGTGGTTCGAGAAACAGCAGAGCGACTTTGATGCCATGGCATGTCTTTTTCGGAGTCTTTATATATGCGCTCGCTATTGTTACAGCTACAACTGGTCTCTTGGAGAAAGCCACGTTCCTTCAAGTGAACAACGTGATATCACGTTATTCAACTGAAGCTCTGATGGTGAACTCATTGGGAGTCTTGATCGTCATTCTTGGTGGCTTTGTTGTTCTGGCGACGATAAGTCCTCTTCACGGCAAAGCAGAAATGCCCAGGAACGCCACGGATTAGGAACCACACCTTGAATCGTCCTGTAGATCGAGGCTCGCCTACTGCACATAACACACCGGGCTTCACTACAGGAGCCTCTAACACCATTCTGCATTTGATAGCTGTGTGAATGCTGGGAAAGTGAGGTTAACTCACTCGGGCAGCTTACACCGAAATGCTATTTAAGGATGTGCAAACTTTCGCACTTGCACCTTTTATGGTTCTTTTATGAATGTAATTCATTGATCAAGTTTGGCTACTTACTGTTAATTGTCTCTCTCTGTTTGCTCCTTTCCCGTGTCTGAATTTGTCAAAACTTTGCTGTACCGGTTCAGAGATATAAGAAGCAAGAACGAACGACTGTTACATTTCATAGTGGATTACGAGTGTACATTGAATCATTCCAGTTACAGATCAATTAGGAAGAGAGGCTGAACTAGCGAGTCGCGTTACAAAATTGCGAACAGATCGAATAGCTCCACAGAATATCAAAACTTCCCAGAATGCAGTTCCGATTTGTGAGCCGAATGAACTGTGTTTGGGATACACGATACAACGGAAATTGTTGAATGGCAAGATCTGCTCGGAGAGGCAAAGATACACTCTTCACTGAGTCAGTGGATTATACTAGAACCCCAGAAAACTCATAATACCATTTCTTACGGATTCGTCCACAACGACACCAAAAGGATAAGGGAGACCAAATTACTGAGGTGAAAGAGATCAAAATTTAGTGAAAAGTTTACTGGTGTTATCATCCACGCTTCCCTTGCAGAACATGGATATTCAGTAGCCTCCCTGAGAAAAATGTGTGAGAACCCTCCCTGATAGCGATCCCACAGAGAGTCAGCTATATCCACAGTTGTTCTTTCCGATATTCCCGGACAATAACTGGTACACTGGTTGGTGGAACCTGCAAACACATGAGCGGGAGTAAGTTAGTATTGTACACACGGAAATAACAGAAAATCATAAGCTCCAATCCGCGTATATACCATGCCATAGTCGGTGATTATCATTGAAACATAGTCAGAAGGCGTTGCATCATAGCTGCAAAAAATCAACCCACCAACCCATATGAGCTGTTAGTTGAGGATACTGACTAACTGTCCTATCAACAAACAATCATATGCTTAGTCGGAACCTACATCAGATTCAGGAGCTGCAGATTGTTTCCATTGGTCCAACCATCCAAAAAGTTAATCTCATCCCTACCACGAACTTTGCAAATGACATCAGGATCACCTGCAAGCACAGGGCAGCAACTATAAAACGAGGAGCAACGGCAAACAGATACTATTAAATCACCAACAGGGGGGAGGAAGAACCTTACCGAGCTCATTCGAGCATATTGAATCAAGCTGGACCCTCTCGTGGAACTTGTATGTTTCACAACAGACCATTACTGGCACATGAAAAGTATGGGCAACCATGGCAACACATGCAGTTCCAACTCTCGAATACACTGTTCCATTGGAAAGTACTGAAGATGCTCCCAAGAAAACTCGACTCACTTCATGCATGATATATGAGATCGCATTTATATGAGTATATGTACAGCTGAGGCCTTTTCCTACCAACTTCCGAAGCAACAACTGGCCTTCAAGTTTGGGTCGAGAGTCGACTACTACAACTCTGAACTGCTTCCCAAGCTCATGTGCATGTAACAGTATCATTTCAACTACAGAGGATGATCCATACGTGAGGAGAACATCACCATCCCTGATCTTGGTTACTGCATGCTTTACTATCATCTTATCTGCCAGAATGATCTTGTCATGTATGAACCGGTCAATATCAGCCACCACAGTTGCTTTTGCTTCTGATTCAGACAAGGTTAAGGGCAACTTGGCAATTCGATTCTTTAGATATCTAATGGCGTTCCCCATGCTGATTGAGAGGGGCCGGCACTCGATAAGAAATGAAACATAGCTACCGATTTTAGATGTTAAGTCTCTAACAAGAGCTTTCCCAGGTGGTACAGAGTAGTCTATAATGGCCTCCCGGATTGCTTGAAGCATTGCAATGCAGCGTGCATTGCTGCCACTTATATCTCCTGACAAATACTGGAATCCAACCTGGAAACACCAAAGAAATCCAGGCAGAAACACATCTCAGTTTTTACTTAAACCTAGGGATGCATAACAAGACAAATAAACAGGGCATGAGTAGAATATATTGGCACTAATCTAACATGGTAATCTACCTAATCAAAGCAAAAGCTTCCAATCCAGCACTCAATAAGACTTTTGCCAACATGCATAGCCACACAACAAGAGGCAATGGATGTGCGAGTAAAAATATAAACTTCACTGCATCTACCTTGCTGATAGCAGGGTGCACTGGATCAAGTTGGAAAAACCTCGACTGGAGATCAGGAAGTAGTGTCCCACGCTCATATTGAGGCAAGTGTCTGAACAACTCAACTCTGTTCCTAGCCTCTGTCTGTTTTAGCACAGCACGTTTTTTGGCCTTCTCGACTCGACTCTTGTCATCATACTGCATGCGTGGTTGAGGGACGTCTTTCTTCCTGTCTTTTTCTAGTTGGCGGTCAATTACCTTCTTCTCATTAACTGCAGCAATATCGTTTCTCTGGAAATGAGCCTTTGGTACTTCAACGGACTCCACATCTGAAGCAAGCACAACCTCGGACATATGAACCGACGCCTTGCCACCAACGCCTGCTATCGTGAGGTGAACGTTAATTGAATTATTAAAACCATAAATAACTAGCAACCTAGGAAAGATTGACATCTTCATATGCACACAACAGCTTAAATGTACCTTTAGCTGCTGCTTTTGCAGCCCGCTGAGCTTCTTGAAGTGCGCGCCTTTCAGCTTTCGTGGTTTTCTCTTTCAAAGGTTTTGACTGTTTAGGCTTGTCACCTTGTACTTTACTTGCTGCTCCACTAGGCTTCCCTGCAGTGGTGCTCCATTTAATCAGAACATGACTTATAACATTAACACCTCTACATCAGTTATACGGGTATTCCACAAACCAGGGTATATACCTCTTTCACAGGGGGAAGGGACTATTTCTAGCAAACACGAACAGTAGTCTCTTAACCTCAGTTTCTCTAAAGGTCTAAAGGAGAAACGATCATTCGATAACTCAGATTCCATGAATAACGGGTAAGCACATGGGCGTATTAACTGCTGCTGTGCGAGCTAACTCGTGATATCACCCAGGAAACTCCCAAGAAAAACTAACCCATCTACCAGAAAAATCCAAAGCAGAAAGTATCAAGACACTCAAAAGAAACAAAACGCTTGTCAATAGATTATGCGACCATCGTTTTCGCTTGATTCTGGTTTTTACGGGTTGCATTAGAAAAATAGCTTCCGTAGCCCGTACATTACAGTAAGGCTGCTCTCTTGAACTCGCAAATAACGACGGGCTTCGGCGTAATGCAACCGAAAGAAACTCGAAAAGTAGGAGCAGAAGAAACGATCGAAGTTCCAAGAAAGAAACATACCCGAAACACCAGCCGAACGGTGGACATTAGAAACGGCAGTCAATCCGGCTGTCGCCGGGACACTGCTGGCCAGGCCTTTGGCAATCATGGCGGCAGAGCCTACAGGGGGCAAGCTACTGGCGCCCGCGCCAACCGTATCTCCCACCCAAGCAGAGTCGGCAGAAGTTGGCAAGGCCCAGTCGTCGGTAGCCGAGGCGGTGGATGCGGTTGGAGAGCCGACATCCAGGAACCTCTTGCCGCTGTAACTCCCGACGATGAAGGAGTCGCGGCGGCGAGGAGACAGAGGAGCGGCGGAATGGCGCGGAGGAGGAATCATGACGGGGGAGATGGAGGTGCCCGGAGGCGTGAGGTGGGCGGCGGCGGGAGGGGAAGAGGAGAGGGGATCGGGTGGGGCGGAGTTGGAGCGGTCCGGCGGTGGCGGGGCGTCGGCCCCGGGAGCGAAGAAGCCGACGTGGCGGACCTTGGGGTCCGGGACGGTGCGCGGAGGTCGGCGAGGATCCATGGAGGGTTTGGGGAATCAGTAGGCGAACATCAAATGGGGTTGAATTTCGGGGGATTGTTATAGCAGGGAAATGAATTTGGGAATTAGGGTTACAGATTGCTTCAGGTTGTTATGGGAATTCTTCGCCTGCCTCGGAGGGAGCGGGAAAGACGATGACTGACAGTGACAGACACCAGTCTCATCCTGCGCCATGCAGCACCCAAATTCCCTTTCCCTTTTCCTTACAATTTTTTTTTTATTTTCTTTTTCCATTTCTACTTTTTTTTTTCGAAAGATAACTCGTATTACCGAGACAAAAGAGTTACACTAGAGTCACCTAGCCGCACGCCGCCAGCTTTTTCCATTTCTACTCGAAAATGAAAAAAAGGCATACGCACAGTTTTCGACTATACATCGTATCATTTCAATTTTATAAGATATATCTCCGAAAGAACGATTATGCAATATGCTGTATGCATCATATCCAGTATCATATATGACGAACAAAACTATTTGCAGACGCCTTGTCTCTATGCGCATTGATCGAGCATAGACAATATGTTTCGATGTCGAGATCGCATGGTAGTAGCTGCTGCATCCAGCAACTCCGGTAGCGAATGCAAGCAATCGAGATCGACGTGAATCATGCCAAGCAAATTCGTAAGAGGATCTATGAGACATGCCATATAAACCAACCCACATTTAGAATTCAGACGATGATGCAATATAGTCTGATAAACGCTAGCAAAGAGTGTTGTACATCTCCCAGGTCTATTAAAACATTCAGATCCCAACAATACAGGAAAGGTGGAATTATCAAATTTGTTCGACGACGATTGCGTGCCCCATCCCCAGTACTGCTAACAAAAGGTCAAACACAGCTTGAAATTACACGAAACTCGGGCAGACTGGTCCTTTAGAAATCCCCAGGCGAACCTCCATTCCATGGTGCATGTCCTGAGGGCGATAAACTTCAGACTCGCGAGGATCTGCATCAAACAAGCGTACCGACATACACCGTCAGATGAAAATAACGGGTTCGCTAAACATGTGCGCAGGCGCGTTGAAGTACTCTTCAAGGAAAAGAGGTTCATCAAAAGGACTTTACCATTCAGATAATCCTCAAAACCAAAGTCATCCAAGCTTCCATTCAAGGCTTCCAAACCAAGCATTGAAGAAGGAATAGGTCCAGGTGGCCTCTGAAATCTGCAGACGTTTTGTTGATGAGAAAAATATGAAGTGCACAAGAAAATCAACCCCTACTGAGCCATTACCACTCCTGATAAGAAAACAGGACACCACATAGCAACTAATGGTATTTCTTACTCTGGTACTCCAAGATAAGATGAGAAGAAAAAGAACAGATGTTGGATTGGGAAGTGAAGGAGGGGAGGAAATATGGGCAGTAATATATTTAATCTGAAACAATGATAAGTTAATTTCATGCGTATCATAAATATTCATGCGATTGACCAATGCTGCCGGATCTAGAGAGTGTTCAGAGATTGAAATTCGAAATGCTTTATTCTGTAGATCACAGGATAGAGATTCCTTTAATACAGTCAGATACGCCTTGACTGAAATAATGGCTATGCATAATTGTCACATGCCAAAGTTAACCACCCGGAAAACATACCACCTCTGATTCAATTTCAATTTGCTTAAGCATAAGTTATCAGAACCCCAAGCTCCAACATAGATAATGTTATGCCAAGTATCCATAGACTCCGGAAATTATCAATCAGGATCAACAAGAACTCAATAACAACACCCAAATGACCCGTGATGGAAGATGCTCATTCCATAAAAGAGTTTCAAAGGTTCCAAGATGAAAGAAAGAATGCATCTTAACCCCCCATCCCACTCTCACACACACTCACAAAGCGCCACAAATTAGTCTTTGTAATACGTGACAGACCATTAGAGTAACAGTGCAAAGACAACCACCCAAATGGAAATGAACATATGAAAGATTGACAAATCATTTTTTTACACCCACGTCTTCCAAATATCTCATACTTAATCAGGTCAGGGAACAGGAACAAATGCCTCCTACCTATCTGAACAATCCAGGAGCCAAACTCAACAATCTTACTTAATAAACTACCCCCAGAACCCGTGAATCTATGCCCTCTAATTACTTATTCCAAGTAACTGAAGTAATTTCTTCTCATGAGAAATGAGCTGCATTCTATCACTTACTGCAGATTATATACTATTGTAGCAGAACTCAATAAAAGAAAACTGTTCTCCAGATATCACAATTCTACCTCCTCCTACTTTCTACCCGAGGATACTACTAATAGATGTTCTTGGGGGGAAGGAGGCGCCTTGCATCGCTTGTTTACTGCATGACACATAATTACCTGCTCGAATACCTAATGTTCCATGCCAGATGCCAACTTAGCCACATTCCACACAACCAAAATTAAAAGAACAACTATTGCTGCGATAGCTGACGATATCACAATACTAAATTACGTGAAATGAGACCATCGTCTACAACTGAGCTATCAGTAAAGGGGATTACTCCCTACACCCAAGTCATTATCAACAACCTACTTTCCACAAACAATAGATATCCCAAGTACCGAAAGGAAACAAATAAGAGCAAGGAGATTTTAGCATAAGGTAAACAGCAAGCAAGCATACCGAGTAAGAATTTGCCTATCCAGGTCCATCTTCAAAGGAAAGGCGGATCCGTAAGTGTTTGCAAGGACCTTTCTCTTCATGTCTTCATGAGTCTTAATTGTCTGCACACCAGTTTTGACAAAACAAAAAATCAAAACCAGAATCACTGTATATATTATACAGCAAATAACCCTACTAAAAACGTATCCACAAACAAAGTGCAAGGCAGTCCGTAATCCATACATGAAAACCCTAGATATCGTCTACTTCTTAGAACCGGGGGAAGAAAAAGATTGAAATTCTTCGAAATGCTATGTTTCGGGTATTACTAACGCAGATTGAAGTTATTGGTCATCGGAAGCATGTTTTTCCAACCAAAAATTTTCGCGAGAACCAAACAGAGAAAAGGAAAGCTGGTGAATATAGTGAAGGGGAAGAAGATGGTTACCGATCGGTGGGCAACATCGAGAGGATGAGATCCGACGAGGTCGCTCTTGACGCCATGGAGGCCGAAACGAAGGGCGTCGTTCTGGATCCCTCCGATTTGGTGAGCCAACGTCTTCGGTGCTTCCTCCATTATCAGCGATTCGCTCGTTGTTCTTCACTTGTGGAGGTTTCTTCGCGGTACTCGATTCGACTAAAACCTTGGCTGATTCAGGTCAAGCTTTCAAGTTTTAAAAGTGACCCGTCTTGCTTATGGGGCAAGCCAAATTTCATTTTTCGTTAATTTTTTTTTTTTTTTTTTTGTTAGGGAGGGGGTAACGGGTTGGGCTTGGGCCTGATGAGCTTGCGGATTCAATTGGGGTCATACGGGTTAATTGGATCAAGCTTTGTCAATTGACAAGGCATTGCCCAACCTAGGTCCGCCCCTGTCTGTCTCATGGTCTACGGGGTCGTTTGGGTGTGGAAATGTAATACAGTAATTGGACCCAATTACCACATAATGCAGTAATTGGGTTAAAAACCCACGTTTGGGAGAGCAAAAATGGTATGGAAATTGGACCATGGAAATTGGCTTCAATTACCACATTCATGGTAATTGAGAATACTACACCTCCCCCTAGTAATTTGACATTACCACGCTTTCTTACTTCTTTTTCCAAATTCCACACCATCAATTCCCACAAAACTAAACCCTATCCAAACGTGATTTTTTTTTTCAATTTCCACAAGTCAATTCCTTGGTTTTGTAAAACATGGAAATTCAGACAAATTTCAACGTTTTAAAATTTCCACATCCAAACGACCCCGTAGTGATTAGTGATAGCAATTTGATATCAGTCGTTGGGTACTATCCGACCTAACTCGCGCTGAGATGGAACATGGTACTGTCGTCTTGCTCTATCCATAATAACATGGAGCGGCAGTATCGGTACTGTCGCCCCGTTTCGCCTCGTTCTTAACATGCTGCTATCCTGATTTCTCTCAATATTTAATTGTACTTCTCCTGTTTTACTTATTTTCAATGATAATTTCATCCAACGATACTTTAGATAAATGCAATACTTCATCTTTCAACTAATTTCATCAATTAGTCTACCTATTATATTTACTTTCCATCTATGAACTCTTTTCCCATTTAATTTTTTTTTAGATAAATATTTTCTTCAAATTATACATAAGAATGAGTTGATTTATCTGATCCGTACCCACTCACGTATTACATGATCCACCCGACCCCCTTGGTACGAGCCGAATATGAGTATTCACTCGTCTCGGCCCGCCCATTACTATTACTATTTGGCCCATATATTTTTAGGCAAAATACACTTCTATATCCACAACTTTGACGTTTGTGACAAATATATCCATAACTATCGAAATACACGAAATACCCAATTCCGTCCATCTATTTAACGATGTCAGGTTAAGAGTATGATTATACTCACGGAATAGCTGAGTTGGCAAAGTTCCGTCCCCACCCATCTATCTGGATTAACAGAAAAATAAAAAAATAAAAAATGCTAGGATTTAACTTTAAAAATTTAAACTAACAAATAATAAATGGAATCCTGCAGATCGCCCAACCTGTTCGTCTTCCTCTCGCCCCAGAACCCTTCCATCACCGAGCTCCAAATACTCCGACGAAACCTTCTTGTGCTTCCTTTGACGACGATTGGCGCAAGTAGAGTTAGAAGCCACCGGGTTCTTCCTGAACGGCGTGTAGCTTACCTCGTCGTCTTCTTCTCGGATCCGAAATCCAGATCTAGAACCAAATCATTGGAAATGCGACCGGAACACGATTAATCGTCTTCCTCAATCTTAGGACTCCAGAGTCTTCACCAATAGATCCGTCGTCATTAGAGTCAATAGGGAGTTTGGGTTCAGATTGGGGTAGACGCCATCGCCGGCGGGGGCTTTGTCTGCGATTTTGGAATTGGTGTTGACTGGAAGCAGGGGCGAGAGCTGGCAGCGATGGAGCTAGCGGGTGCGAAGCAGATCCTCGATGCCGTCACCATCATTCCTCGAAGTCGCATCACCTTCTTTGATGCCCTTGTCGCTCGCATCATCGCCGTCATGGTCTGCTTCAATCGATCTCCACCTGCCCTACCTTTAACTCCAGCATCGACAGGGAATGAGACGGCAGGAGTAAGCATCTTCGGGAGAAGAACGCTGATTTTGGCGAGTTTCAGATTGTGAGGTCGTGACCTACTCCGTCGCGCCGCCGCTAGCTGCCGCGATTAGGGGTGTTTAGAAGGCTAACAAGTTCAACGTATTGATGGCGGATTTTATTTTGGGTGTGGGAGTGGGCGGTGGTAGCGGATTTGATGTCGGCGGTGGGAGTGGGCAGTGGTGGCGGATAGATGTCGACAATGAGTGGTGGCGGATTTGATGTCTGCTTTGGCGATGGGAGTAGGCGGAGGGGAGAAGATGGGGCGGAGAGGAGAAGTTGGGGCAGAAGGGGAAGAGTTACGAAATTGATTTTTTTTATTTCTTAAAATTAAATATATGTAAGTAAATATGATGTGTAATTTCCGTGTCATTTGCTGTTGATTTTTTGATGACGTGTGCACTGATCTGGCGTCCTAGTCAGCGTATAACTAACATAACTAACGGCGTCACTAACGGCGTTAAAGTTTGTAACGGAAATGGATATATTTGTCACACGATAGTACGCTTTTCTGGGTATTTCGTGTATTTCGATAGTTATGGATATATTTGTCACAAACGTGAAAGTTATGGATATAGAAGTGTATTTTGCCATATTTTTACTGATAAGCTACTATCCGTTGACCTACCGCTAGAGACGCAAGTTAGCGGTAGGCCGAATCCGAATGTGCCGAAATACGGGGGTATGGGCCGCCATCTTGCATCCGTTGGCAATAACAACCCACCCAGACCCAGACAATCGGGCTGATTCGAGCCCATAACTGTTGGCGTATACGAATCGTATTTTTCTCGTACGTACACATGGCAGTTGTAGGTACAAAAAGACAGCAAGTTACAGGTAATCGGATCGGAGGAGGAGTAGTTGTTCAATCAATTGAGACACCGGTCACAAAACCTTAGCTCATCGCCTGCTGCAGACAACTTGGATACAAACGATCTTGCCTCTGTTTTCTCAGCAAGAAAACAATTTGAAGTGGACAAGTTTGTGTTGAAAAAACAATGGTATTATTGTCACCACTTTCCAGAGTAGTCATCAATGGGTTTAACAAGTTCGTCTGGATGGAGTATTTGGTTTATTACGAAAAAGTCGTTCATTAAAAAAATAACTACACATTGTGAGTACTCGACAAAATTCGTGTTATAAACCATAACATAAAACAGAGATGGAACCAGGATTTTCAAATAGAGTGGCCAAATTTTTTTCATTTACAACACAACAACAGGAGACAAAAAGTCACATATGAGGCGTACGTGGACATCTTTATTCTTTACATATATAAAAAAAAAAACTCTACATTGTGTTCTAATTGGGAAAAGTCATAACATATATATAGTTGAGGGTTAATACCACTAAAAATACAAACTATTAGCAACATTTATATGACATAATTTGTGATATCTCATTCGTATACTTATTGTCTTTTTCATCAATTGAATCGTTATGGAGACTAAGATTAAGTAAAAGAGAAAGAAAGTTCGAGCGATTATAATGGGGACTCAGATTTTGTCTAAGAAAATATGAAGCGGGGATTGCGTGTTGTTAAGGATTAAGAAATCGGCAATGGAAGAAAACAAAGAACACACAAATTCACGTGGTTCACCAACGTAATGTACGTTAGCTAATTAACGGGCAGAAGTGAACAAGTTTCACTATACTGTACTTGACCGGATATATACAAATTATAAAAGTTGAAAAGGGTATATATAACACTTCTCCATACATACGATCTAACCCTAATCCAACCCGGAAAAGAAAAAAGGTTACACATCCGACCTAATTTCCCACGATTTAGATTAACCGGTAGTCCGACGACCCAATTCCCCCCGATTTAGATTAACTACTGATAGTCCTACATATCGTAGTCCACAATCAACTTTAAACTCAGAATTCTGCCCATGACGATGTTGACCATGGATGATTGCAATTTGCAAGCTTATTTACTCTGATTGCAGGCGGATCAATCTCGAGCTCAAGTTAAGCAAATTGCGAGAGTAACGTAGACCAACAATTGAGGAAGACACAAGTTGCGGCTCTGCTTCCGTTCTTATTAGTTAATCCATATTAGCTACTAGTACTCTGCCTCCCAGAATGTTATTTACATCTGCAATCTCAATCTCTGTCTCATTTTATCAGAAGAAGAAAAACAGGGGAAGTTGAGTTGAGTCGAGTTGAGTCAATCCCGCCAGCAGATGAGCATGACGACGCATCTCCTGATAATGTAGAGCCGCCCCTGCTGCTGCTTCAGGTACTTCCCCAGCTTCCTGCACGACATCATCACCTTCGGCCTCTTTGCTGCTGTTGCTGCTGATGAAGAAGAAGATGTTGATCTTCTGCACGCCGCCGCGGGCATCGCAGTAGCTGACGATGATGACGATGCTCGGCTGCTGCTGCTGCTCCTCATCCTTGTTTGTTTGTGTTCTTTCTTTCTTTCTTTGTTTTGCTTGCGTTGAGGAATTGCTCTGTAATGAAGGAGAGTAGTAAGTTTTCTGCGGGCGTGTGGTGTTGCAGGGGAAGGGCAGGGGAGTTGGTTTATATAGAAGGCAGGGGAAGAAGGGCAGAGGAGTCAGTTCATTGAGAGTGGGAGAGAGTGGAGTGGTCCAATCTTCCCTAAGAACATGCGCGTTGCCAGGAGATATAATTATCCCCCCACCTCTCCTCTGCTACCAATTAAACAATAACACTATAACAAAATCCAGAGCTAAAAACTAGAAAACAACCAATCTTTTCCAATTTTAGATTCTTCTTCCAATCTTTTATTTAAAACTATATGGTTTTTTAGGTTCCATGGAGATGACAAAATTGTTTTCCCCCCCAACCTTATTACTAGGACATCCAACTCAGGATCGATTTTGTATGGTAGATGTTAAGATGTTGTATATCATCCCATATACCAATATGGTATATGTTAGCGAACTAACCACTTGGTCCCAATAATTCGAGTTGTTGGGAAATGGATAGTTAAGCTTTTTAAGCTCTTATACTCCCCCTCAAACGAAAGCCGATGCCAAATTGTGGATTTTTACGGTTTGCACAGGTTGAACCCTTGTGTGCTGCCAAACCACGAGGCTTTAGTTTGCACAGGTTGGACATACCATTCCTTGTGCTAAACGAATTGGCATGAAATGGGGGGTCCTTATGAGGGTTCGAAACCATGACCTTTCGGTTCTAGGCTCTGATACCATGTTAGCGAACTAACCACTTGGTCCCAATAACTCGAGTTGTTGGGAAATGGATAGTTAAGCCTTTTAACCTCTTATAGTATAGGGTGGTAACTGGTGGTATACATTGACGCGCGCGAGATGATAAATGACGATTAGTATATTTATACTATCATGTATGCAACCATTCTACTGTATGATAATATTCATACGATCTTGGGACGGAAACTGACGAGCGAGAGAGAGTTGATAAGAGCATGTCTCCATGATGTTAATTATTTTTCATTATGTATTTATCAATTGTAATTCAGTTAGTTAGTGGCTAAGTGGCCCCTTAGTTGTAGCTACGTTTCTGTTCAAGATGTGGTATTTAAACCACTCTCCTACATGAATACAATCTCTACTTTCCATCTCTCACATGGTATCAGAGCGGTTGATCTGATCTCCTTAACCCTAAAACAAAACAAACTGCTCACGTTCCTCTCTTTCTTCTTGCCTACCCTTTTCTTCTTCTTCTTTCTTCCTGCGCCCCATTGCTGCGCTTCGTCATGGCCACTAACTCCGGCGAGACTGTCATTAATCTTGACGATGCCAATACCGTCATTACCCTCAATCCGGCCTCTCAACTTCCCACCAAACTCACCGGTGATAATTTTCCCACCTGGCGCGCTCAACTCACCACTCTCATGCGCGGCCTCGATCTCCTCAAGTTCTTGGATGGAACTTTTCCTGAACCGGCCGCCACTGCTGATGCTGCCATTCGCCGCCACTGGTATCGCCAAGACCAGTTGATTCTGCACTCCATTTTAGCTTCAATGTCACCTGGGGTTGCTCCCTATGTCTCTGCTGCTACGTCGTCGCGCCAGGCGTGGACGATTCTGGAGCGGATGTTTGCGAGTCAATCTCGCCAGCGCATTATCAGTCTCAAGGAGAAAATGGGCCGTGAGCGTCAGGGCAGTCGCGCGGTTGCTGTTTATCTCCAGGCACAGCGCACAACGGCGGCCGAGCTAGCCCTCATCAATGACCCGGTCTCCGACGAGGATCTTATTCTCCATATCCTACGCGGTCTCCGTGACGATTTTGGTCAGCTTGCAGCCGCTATTCGTGCTCGCGACACTCCAATTGCCATTGAGGATCTCCATGATCGCCTCGTGGATTTTGAGGCTGACCTCGCTTCTGCTCGTCTGTCCTCGTTGTCGGCGCCCACGACGGCCTTTTCCTCTGCTCGTGGTCGTCCCTACAACTCGGCTCCATCGTCTCGCTCTCCTGGTGGCACTCGCCGCCTCCCTGCTCCGCATTATTCCTCGGCCTATGATGTGCATCCACGGCGCGACTCGGGCCCTCGCTCTCCACGAGGTGCCTCCCCGGCTCGTTCTCAACCTCTGTATCAGGGCGGCTCTTCTAGTCCCTCTCTGCTCGGCCGACCCCAAGTGTTCTGCCAATATTGTGACAAGCCTAATCACACAGCCAAAGAATGCTATCGGCTTCATGGCCGTCCCCAGGCCCATTCCACTGCTATCTCGTCTGCTGCTCCTGGCTGGCTAGTGGATTCTGCTGCTACCAATCATATGACTCCCGATCTTGGCTCTCTCAACTTGTACACTGATTATAATGGTCCTTATGAAGTTCTCATTGGTGATGGTTCAGGTCTGCATATCTCTCATATTGGCCAATCTTCCTTATCTACACCTATGCGTCATTTGTCTCTTCGTGATGTTCTTTGTGTCCCTGCCATCAAGCGTCGCCTATTGTCTGTTGCACAACTCTGTAAATCTAATCCGGTATCTGTGGAATTCTTTTCTGATTTTTTTGTTGTGAAGGATCTAGCCACGGGGGCGCATCTGCTACGCGGCCGGAATAAGGGGGATGTGTACGAGTTGCCGCCTGCACCTCAGCCTGTTCGCCTTGCTTTAAGCACCGTGAAGAAGCAGTCGTCCAGCGTTTGGCATAATCGGCTGGGTCATCCTCATCTCAAACTTCTCTCCCGAGTGCTTCGTAATCAATCTCTCCCAGTCACTTCTGTGTCCTCTTGTTCTTCTTGCGAGTCCTGTTCTTTGCATAAAAGTCATAAACTGCCTTTCTCCATTTCCAGTCTCACCAGCTCTCGGCCATTTGATTTATTGTTTATGGATGTTTGGGGACCTTCTCCCATTTTCTCACATGATAATTTTTCTTATTATTTGGTCATTGTTGATCACTTCTCTCGCTATACATGGCTGTATCCACTTTCTCGTAAATCTGATGTTCATACCGTTTTTATGACATACAAAGCAATGGTTGAAAATTATTTCCACACCACCATTCGTCGTGTCTACAGTGATGGTGGTGGTGAATTTCAAAAACTCTGTTCCTTCTTCCAAACCCATGGTATTACCCATCTTCTCACCCCGCCTCATACCCCTGAACACAACGGCCTGGCTGAGCGCAAACACCGTCACATTGTCGAAACCGGACTTGCCTTGCTTCATACTGCTAATCTTCCCCTTCGGTTTTGGTCCCATGCCTTTCGTACGGCTGTTTACCTCATAAATCGTCTTCCCTCCACCTCTCTTCGTGGTGCTACCCCCTTTTTTACTTTGTTCAACGAACCACCTAACTATCTCAAACTTCGTGTGTTTGGCTGTGTCTGCTACCCATGGTTACGACCATACGCCCCTCACAAACTCGCCCCTCGCTCTCGTCGTTGTCTCTTCCTTGGTTATTCACCCACCCAAAGTGCCTATCTATGTTACGATCCTCTCACCTCTCGTGTTTACACCTCCCGTCACGTTCAGTTCGATGAATCACTCTTCCCTGGCATCACCTCTCCTTCGACTGCTTCTCTATGTACCTCCCCTGATTGGGTCGCTCTCACTACCCCCCCTGTTACTCAATTTGTCATTTCAAAATCTCCCACCACCCGCCATACCACTAGCCCGCCCCCAGCACCCTCGCCGCCAGCAACCTCGCCGACGCCATCCACCCCTTCTCCGGCTGCCTCCCCGCGTGCTACGACCTCGCAACAAAATCGGCTGCCGCCTCCACCGGTGAAACCTGCTCACCGCCCAGTTACTCGAAGCCAAAGGGGTATTTTCTGTCCGAAAAAGCTCTTTCATGTGCAGGTTGTTGTTCCTGATGTTGAACCTACCTCGGTCAAGCAAGCCCTTGCTGACCCACGGTGGCGTGCTGCTATGCGAGCCGAAATTGCTGCTCTTCTCGCCAACAAGTCCTGGTCTCTTGTTTCCCGACCTCTGCACCAGCACATTGTCAATTGTCGTTGGGTATTCCGCATAAAGCGTCATCCTTATGGTTCCGTTGCTCGTTTCAAGGCCCGGTTGGTGGCCAAGGGCTTCACTCAACGACCTGGTATTGACTTCCACGACACGTACAGCCCCGTGCTTAAGTCGGTCACTGTGCGCACGGTATTCTCCATCGCCCTGTCTAATCAGTGGCCTATTTATCAGTATGATGTAAACAATGCCTTCTTGCAAGGCTCCCTTCATGAAACCGTCTACATGGCTCAACCGACGGGCTTTCGTGACCCGGCGCATCCTGATTCTGTTTGCCAGCTGCATCACCCAATTTACGGTCTCCGGCAGGCCCCCAGGTCTTGGTACATGGAGCTCTCTGGTTTTCTTACTCAGGAAGGATTTCTCAAGTCCCGGTCGGACTCCTCCCTCTTTGTCTATCACAAAGGCGACGTGACTCTTTACTTCTTGGTGTATGTCGATGATCTGTTGTTGACAGGTAATGATGCAGCGGCTGTCACTCAATTCCAGACCCGCCTTGCTGCCCGCTTCTCTCTCAAATGCCTCGGCTCTGTGGGCTATTTTCTTGGCATTGAGGTTCTTTCCACCGGCGACAGCTATGTTCTTTCTCAACAAAAATATGTCAATGACATCCTTCGCCGGTTCGGCATGGCGGATTCACACCCAGCTCCAACGCCTCTATCATCTACGGCCAAGCTTCTTCTAAATGATGGTACGCCGCCTGCTTATGGCACCATGTACAAACAAGCACTTGGCTCTCTTCAATACCTGCTCTGCACCCACCCCGACATCGCCTTCACCGTCAACAAACTATCTCAGTTTATGCATGCTCCTACTGAACTTCATTGACAGCATGTTAAACGACTGTTCCGGTATTTAAAGGGCTCCTCGGATGTCGGTCTTCGCCTCACCACCGACGCTACTCCCTCACTCATTGCATTTGC